AAAAAAAAAACAAACAAAAAAAACTAATGAAGATCTTCAATGTTTGAGCCAAATAACAACTCCCACAGTGAGCTGGCAGGAGAGACACCAGAGAAGTGATGAGGAGATCTGTGAGTGTGTGTGTGTGGGGGGGATTTCTTTGATTTTAATGACTTTAATGGATCTGTAAGCACATGAAAGTTTCCCTCAGACTTAAAGAAGTCTTCTGGGGTCATGGTCATACAAGTCAGGACTAAATCAGTCCAGGTTTCCAGCAGGACTCTGCTCCTACAGAGCCATGCTGCTGTAGTGATGGTCTGGATGTTCAGTGATTTGGGTGGAGTGGTTCGCTGTCACAGCCTGGTTTAGCTCAGTGGTTCTCAAACTTTTTTTGTCATTCTCCCCTTTGGAGGAAGAAAAAATTTCATTCCCCCCTACCCCAACAAAATTGTGACAAAATAGGCCATGTATAACTTTATTGACATAACGTTCCTTCTGCTGTATTTCTCAAAACTAGAAAACAAACATGCATTCATGTTGCAAGAACAATAATAATCAAACAATATCAAGTTGAGTAAGTACAAAAAATCCTGTGAATCCAAGAGCAAGATAGCAAGATAGCTTCATCATATTTCCTTGACTTGGCTTTTTGTTGGTTTGGCCTACCGTCATCTAGGCATGCTGTATTGCTGGCTTAAGCTTTTCTTTTTAATCACTGTCAAATATCTCTCCATTCTGTACTTTTATATACAATTTATTATTCTGATCTGAACACAGTTGCTGGTTGTTACGGTGACAGGTGAAAGCGCGTGTTGTCCGCCGCTAAAAAAATTCCGATGTCCAAACATTGGTTTCGCGGCACGGACTCTGCACAATGCGAAACGGAGCAGCTTCAGCTCCTCTCGGAGCTCTCCACAGCGAGAGGAGCGGAGCAGCTGCTGCTATAGCACGGCGTCGGTGGTTATCTCCGCCCTGGTTTCTGAGCTAGTTCCCACCATGAATTAGCACAGCAGAAAGCCTCTTTGTACGCTTTCAGGAGGACGTTGTACAGGTGGGGATAGCAGCATACTTAACAGGTGTTATGCCGTAGAATGCACCCCTGCCGTAGAATGCACCCCCTGCATCCCCTCCACTTGTTAGCTTCTTGAAGTGGAAGAAAATGATCTCATTTTTTAAAAAATACGACTATTTGATCGTGACAACTTTCATTCTGTTTTTATGTGTCTCAAAAGTGCACATACGGAGGTGTGCTTGGGTATATAAACTGTACAGTAAGCTGTCAAGCTAGGGAACATTATGTTTTCTGGACAGCAAATATTCCGAATCAGAGGGCTATTTTTTCGGCTTATCTGAATAGCCTGAATGAAATTATTAAAGGCAGACACTTTTGAATTCATCCAATGCTAGGGAAAACTTGAATTATTTTCGCCTTGTTAAGTACTTTCAACCGCGCTCCCACCGAGGGGGCATTTTACGGCAGGGGTGCATTCTACGGCACAACACCCGGCAAGTATCTTGCCTTGAGCGTCCACCACAACAAACGCTGCTTCTTCGCGGTAAAATAAAGAAACAGGGTTTAGGGCGCTGGACTCCCCCTACTGGTGTGGCGAGTTCAGTATGGCGCATGTGTGACGAGCGCGGTGCCTGCACAGGAGGTGCCGCGCTATTGCGGGTTCACACCAACCTATTTGTAGCCGGGTGACTCGCGCCCCCCCAGGGATGGCTCCGTGCCCCCCTAGGGGGGCGGGCCACACACTTTGAGAAAGGCTGGTTTAGCTTCTGAATCAGGTTTTCAGAGCAGACTCTCTGGTTCTGGTCCCTCTAAGTCCAGGTTTTCTTTGTTTTCTCTGCAGGCGTCTCGTCTCCAGTGCCGACTCTCTCTTGATGATGACTCACTTCCTTGTTGTTTGAACCGACCAATCATGGCTGACGACCTCTACAGCAGCACCTTCTCGGCGTCTGAATCAGACTTCTCCTCCTCCTCATCCTCCTCCTCCTCCTCCTCCTCAGCGTCCGCCTACATCCTCACCCTGGAGCAGAGGGCGGCCTTCGTCTTCGTCCTCATCCTCTTCATCTTCCTGGGCCTGCTCATCGTTCGCTGTTTCCGGATCCTTCTGGACCCGTACCGCAGCATGCCGTCCTCCACCTGGACGGACTACATGGAGAAGGACACCTTCGACTACCGGATTTCCTGACAGGCAGCCTGAGAGGCAGTAACCCTGGCAACCAACAAGTTAAACTGAGATGACCAGACTAATGAGAGACGCAGAAACACAAGCACACATTCCCCCACAGAGACTAGAGGACTTATGTCCATGTAGATTCTCACTCAGCCAGGTCATTGTTTTCTTGAAGACTCCAAAATCAGGCAACTGGACTGTGTCAGTTGAACTATCAAAGTCCAGTTGCCTGAGTTTGGAGTCTTCAAGACTAGAGGACTGATTCTGAGGTCAAAGGTCACGCTGGTTAGTCAGATCTCTCGCTCTCTCCATCACATTGTTACTTTAAACCAAAGATTTCTGAAACCACAGCACTGCGGCGTGAAACCTGCGACTGTTTGACCCCAACACCACCTGTCAGAGCCACCATCACAAAACCCTAATCCAGTTTCAGGTCCTGGAATAAGACCTGCTGCCCCAGAGTCCAGGTCTGTTTAAGTCCAGACCCCCCTGAGGGTCCTCATGTGCAACAGAAGCTAAAGAACAAACATCTGGTAACTTAAACTGAACAGTCATGACAGAATAACCCATCCTGATCTCTCCGGGTTTTAGACCCTGACCCCCTGTCTGCCAGAAAACTTAAATCTTAACTTTAAATCTTAAAGTTTCGAGTATCAAATCAAAGTTTGTTCTCAGACACGAAGGTGACACAGGGGTCAGAAAACAACGATCAGTGGAAGTGTGCTCTGTGTTTCCTGCTGCCTGTCTGATGGTCGTCTCAGTCTGCCTGGCAGGCAAACATCTGGGCAAATAAAGACATCAGCAGGTATCATCAGTTTGAATTCAGACAAACGTTTGGGAGGAAGAAGATAAACGAATTCAAACGAATGATGACGCTGACTTCTTTAACATGCAGCTCTCAGATGACCTTCATGTCACAGATACACTCATGGATGCAGTAGTCAGATCCTGCAGGGGTCAGATCCTTGGTTCAGTGCAGACCTGCAGAAACTGAGAGTATCTGTAACTTTAGCCCAGATCTTCCTGATCTCGTAGAAACCTCTGCAGCTCTGCAGGACCATGAAGCAGATGTTGTGTGAGCTGAGGGGGGGTCTCTATGATTTCTGTCAATCTGCCTGCCAGGCATCGTGTTGGGGTTGCTGCCTCTCACTGAGAAGAACTTTTTATTTTGGATTTTTTGTTCTCTTTTAACCAAACGGACGATAGGGGTTTTCTTTTTCAGACTTGGGGAACTTTCTGGAAGAGCTTGTACGGCTCTGAGAACAATGTGGAGTTATTTTGGAGTGAGGAGGAGGAGGAAGAGGAGGAGAAGGAGGAGAAGGCCAGGGCCACTTGGATGCAGGAGTGCAGAGGAGTGATGGAGGTTGTGTTTAATCGCTCCGAATGTGGAGACAAGACGAGACGCTTTCCAGCGACCCTGCGTCCTTGTCTTGCCAGTTTGCCTGTTGCTTAGTAACCGGCGTTTTGATGCCAGTTGATGTCTGAATGCCGGCGTCTGGAGCTGGCACACACACCTTTGTTCCATGTCTTCAGCCAAGTCACCTCAGCTCTGAGGAGACGGAGGAGGCAAACAGCGGCAGGGTGACAAATGAGCATGTTGTGTTTCTGCACGCTCGGCCCATCAGAGGAAACCTGCTGGACGGACACTGAGGTGGGTCTGCTCTCACACACCCACACCAGATCACACTGACGCCCCTCTGAGATGTCAGAGTTTGTCAAGTTTTAGCAGATCCAGAAAAGGTTTAAAACACTGACCCCACCCATGCAGAAGTCTGGTCCCTCTTATTTTAGTTCAGGTCTAGAAATGAACATCTTTCATTGGTAAGGCGAGTCAATGGAGATCCTGATGAAAACTCGGCCTCCGCAGGTTTAGAGGGGCTTCTTTTAGTCTGATTAGGACTTCCTCTTCCTTCCTCCCTCTCAGTATTCACACTCTTCAACTTTAAGGCATGAGAATCACGTCCAGACACGACTGTTCACAGTCGTTATCTGCAGATGTCTGTTTGAATATAAATCATGAAAAACTCCGATGTCCACAGGTGAAGACGCAGAAAGGAAAGACATTTGAGATTAAGACTAAAGAAGAAAACAGTTCAGGACTTGAAATAAAGGGTCCTCTAAAAGCGAGGTCTGTTTGAAGGGGGGTCGTTTGGGTCACGTGGTTCTACTTTACTGAGAAACTGAAGGTAGAACTGGTGCCCAAGCTAGGCTACAGTTTTCTGCAGACCATGTCCTCCTAATCAGCTGTTTGGTCTGCAGGCCTTAAAGAAACCAAACCAAGACCTGAGTGGTTCTGGTCATGCTGAAAAACAATAACAGAGCCGAGTCAGACCGGACCCGGTCAGCTGTGGTCTAGCTTGTAAGTCAGTTTCTCGTCAAAGGGGGCGGAGCAGACCAGCTCCCAGACCAGTGACTACCAACCCCTCTTCAAAAATACTGAACTCTCCTTTAATGTAAGACCAGGATGTTTTTTCTCCTCCAGCAGACTCCAGATCCAGACCTGCAGGACCTCTGACTGCAATCATCCTTCTTCTCATGGTCGGAGGTCTCCTGGCGCCCTGAGCTGAAACCACTTTCAGCAGGGTCCTGGTCTGGGGTTTGTGAAATGAATCAGGAGGTACTGGGGGGTCCGAACATCGGAACAAAAACCTGCTGTTTGAAGATTCAACAAAGTGGATTTAAAGACTCGTCCACGTCTCCGTCTTCTGACCGGTCTAGGGTCTACTTAAGACCTTGAGAGGGTCCTACACCTCAGATTAAACCCCCTGCAGTGGGCAGTATGCACAGGCAGGGTCACTTCTCCCCTTCCTCCTTGTTGGGACCAAATCTGCCCTCCTCTATGGGAGTCTAAGAGGGGTCCTCTCTGCAGAGTGACAGAGCCGCCTGAAGGAGGAACATCTACAGGATCAGTAACAGAATCAGGATCATGATCAGGAGCAGGATCAGGATCTGGAGCAGGAGGAGGGTTTCTCTGAGAGACGGTCTTTGAGATCAGATAGAGGGTAGATCTGGGATCTCTACAGTCACCATGAAGTGGGTTTTTCTCACGGTTACAGAAAGTTGGGTTTTTCTTTTCTGAGGACTTATCAGAGATCTGGAATGCCGTGGATCCTGTGGCGCCCTGAAAGGCATCAGAGCTGGAGTACAAAACAGTCCAGATCTATCAAAGTCCTCTACATAATCAGCCTCGTCTCTCTGACAGTTTTAATCGCTCTCTTTGTTTCTGACGATCTTGTGATTTCTCTAAACTCTGATTCTCTGCTGTCAACAAATCAGCTTTGACTCATCAGGATTTCTGTAAAAATGCAGGACAATATCTCGGCTTGTTTAGATTTGGACAAAAACCACAAATGTGCCGAAGTGGAAATATCAACTCTCCCAACTTTTCATCAAGGTAACCCAAAGCTAAGAGGCGGGGCTGAGGGGGAGCTGAAGTGGGGCTTAGGTGAGTTAAAGAAAGACACAGTTGTAGTCTCCATCCTGATGTGTAACAAACACCTGACCCTCAGAGTCCTCCTCCAAAAGCAGTCCATCTCCTCACAGCTGCCTGTCCATGAGTTCTTTGGAGTGACTCTGTAAACCTAAATCCATTCAGTTCTGATCCTGGGTCCATGTGGGTCCGGCTCTTCAGTCATCCTCACTGGTCAGGTTTTCTGGTGATCTAGATTCATGATCCATTCGGACCTGCTGTGAAGGTCTGAACAGCTCCTGGTCCATGCTCGTACCTTCAGAAATGATCACAGCATGACGCAAATGAAGAGATGGTGGTCTACCAAAACCAACCGGATCCTTTATTAAGACTGTTATCTGTTTCAGATCTGGTCCCCGGAGTTCATGTGAACCCACACACAGACAGTGTTTGAGGGAAAGATCCTGTTACACTGAGAATGTAAAGTCTATACACATGCACGCACGCACGCACGCACACACACACACACACACACAAACACACACACTGACATTTTTTAACCTGGTCCTGGTTTTTACATGGAAACAGGTCTAACACAGTTTTTGGGTCACCCTTGGAGAGTAACACTCAGCAGGTCCTAGACCTAACCCGGGTCCAAGGAATCGGATCAACAAAGACAGCATCACAGTGAACTCTAGAGTCCAGATATACTGTCACAATGGTGATGAGGTCAACCATAAAGCTGTGACTTAACCAAACCACTGGAGGACAAAGGGGGCGGGGCTAGATGACAGGCAGATATGCTAACAGCTGTTACTCTCTTGTTTAGTCACCCCCCCCCCATTTCATAGACCTGGTCCATGTGTACTGTAGGTCCTCAAATAAGATTCCTGTCTGCAGGTTTTGAGGCATCCCAGATTCACTCTGGACCTGGGTCTGCTGAATCCTGCTCCAGTCATGAAGTCAGACCTTGGCCCGAAAGAAGAACTCGACCCCCAGAACCGTCATAAAAGATTCAATCAATCAGAAACTTTGTTGGAACTTTGTTAAACTTTCACCTGATTTGTCCTCAGAAAGATACAAGTGCACACACACACACACACACACACACACACACACACCTTATAGAGTATAAAGTATAACTACATCTACAGCACTGCTTTGTATTCATGTGCACATCTTGTAGGGGCACACTAACACACACTCTGCTAAATAAAACATAATGCGGCAGTAACTACACTCACACACACACTTACTCAGCAGCTCACTGCCGAAACAAACCCTCCATCCACTTCAGCCCTCCCCCCCATTTCTTCACCTTTATCGTCCCACTCTGTCGCTCAAACTCAACTTCATTCTCTTTATCTCCCTCGCCTTCACTTTTCTGTCCTCACGCCGCCTTCGCTCCTCAAACTCTGTCCCCTTTTTCCAAATTTGGTTTGGCTCTGCAGGCCTGACAGGTGAAACACACCGAAGAGTGTATGTGAGGAAGAAGAGAAGAAGATAAAGACAGAAAGAGCAGGAAAAGAGGCTCCTCGAGAGGAAGACATCTCACTCTGTCTGTTATCTTCTCCGCTCTTTTTCTTCTTCTAAAACTCTCATTACTCCGCTGTCAGCTGCAATAGGAGGGAAAGAAATGTGCGTTATTTCAGGGGAAATGAGGAACTTTAGGGCTGTAAGACTGTGAGGACCCCAAAGGTTTGAACATCTTTATTATGAAGCAGAAACAGTCTGAGGGACTGTGGAGAAGGTTCACTAACAGAGTTTGGATGGAGTGAAAACATTGAAGGCTTTAAGTCAACCGTCTGAGAACACTGGAGTGAACCATGAACAGAGAAGTCTGGTCGTTCTGGTTTTATCTGGTCTCCTTTTTCATGGATCAGTTTGAATCTCATTAGTGGATGCAGTGATGAACTGAGTTCACAGTCGATGGTTTTTGAAGCGATGCAGCATCTATGATTTCCAATTCTTAGTTGAAAGGACAACTGGACTTAGTTGAGACATTTGGTGAAACATCTCAACTAAGTCCAGTTGACCTTTCAATGCGGTGATTTCCACTACAGAGTCCTGTCTGTTTTTAATGCCCTGAAGATCAGGACCATCCAGTCCTGGTTTTGGTCTTTCTGCCTCTATAAGAACTTTGAAGAGAAACATGTAACAGAATGAAGTTTGAGATGATGGTATTAACCTTTATCAGACAAACTCAGTCTAACCCCCAATTTCCACCGCACCCTGAACGGCTACGAAAAGGCCGTACCCACCGATCATAACAATTCAAGTTAACGTGTCAATTTCCAGAGTTCTATTTTTTCCGGACGCCAGAGCATGCATGATAAATTCAGCACAGATTAACACGTGCTGGAAAGGAAGTCAGGCACAGACACAAAATAAAACATCCAGCTTCTTTTCAAAATAAATCACTCCGTGTTTCAGGCGGATCGTATTTCACACCATGCAAATGGGTGGAGATGAACAAGTGAAAGGTTTTTAGACGTCATTTTACCTCGATGACACCATGGATGAGGAGATGCTGATTCTTGAAGTCTAGAAGTAGATTTTCTCCTCTGGAAGGACACAATCTACTGCTTATATGTCTATGTGTCTGTCTTTGTAGAGACAACTCGTTATAGCGTGATTGAACCTGAATCCGCAAGTTCTTGTGAGTTCTTGCAATTTCTGCTGTCCGTCATGAAATTCGCCTCACTAACGAATCCGGTAGGAATTGGTGGACGGCGACAATCGTTCCGGATCGCTGCTGTTTTGGATCGCTGCCATTTCGGTTGCGGTGAAAATTGGGGGTTAACCTCGTCGCTCAGCAGGAAACAGATTTCTCTTTTGATGATTTCTTCAGAAGTTTGAAGTCGTTTTGTCATTGATGCTATAAATGCTTCGATGACTTCTCTGCCGTTTGGAGACTGAGGAGCTGCTGTAAAGCGGTCGATCTTCGTCTATCCACAGTCTCCTTAAATTTTCGCTCCAGGTGAACCTGAGTTTCCTGCAGCGGCTTTTACATATCAGCTGCTTTTGCTGCCACATTTATTCATCCCCCCTCCTCCTCTGCAGCTTTATGGCTTTGGTTTCTCGTCAACAGGTGCTGATCAGTTCACCCCAGCTCTCACAGCTCCATTAGTCCTTCATCTGAATGGCTGGGCTGTGTGTTAATGGAGCGTGTTTCCCCCGAAACAACAGTGAGGGCTGTAATTATCAGCTGCTGAAAGAGCACACAGGAATAGACAGAAACAGGACAGAGACGGACGAGCTGCAGCTGTCCTGCTGAATAAGAGAGAAAAGAAATAAATCTCAGAGAACACACTTTTCCAATTTGTTTCTCCTCTTCGAGTCTCATTCTTTCTAAATCCATGAGACGACGGGGAGAGGAGACAGGAAGAAATGTAGCTAATCCATCAAGATAAAGATGAGAGAGCGGCAAGAGACGAGAAGGGAATGAGAAGATGAGACATCAATTAAGCTCCTGTAGTAAACGCAGCAGAGAGAGATGCAGGAAACATCAAAAGACTTCATAAGGAGCAGGAGGTTTTCAGAGAGCCAGTCCACAACAGTAATCCCAAACACACCAAGGAGGAGGAGGAGGAGGAGGATCACAGAGTCCCCGTCCTGTCGTCATTTCACTCTTATTTACTGATCTGAAACATAGATATTATTATAGATTTATTCTCTGAAGTGTTTTTCTTTTTAATCAGGTGAGAGAGATTCAAAAGTTAATTAACCTTCAGAGATTCTCCTGTTAAATGTTTGATATTGATTTAGAAAGATTTAGAAACGTCTTTAAGGTCCAAAAACAACTTTTTATTTTCTTAAACTTTAACTGTTCGAGTCAGCGCTGATGTTTGTTTCTTTATTTATAAATCAGGAGCTGATTTTAAAATATGATAAGGAGTAGGCCAGTTTTACTGATACAGAGAGGGTCACTTTATTAGGGACGCTTCAGAGCCGATTCACTGTAAACCCATAAACGATGTAAGACAGATGCAGAAAGACCCGGAGTTGTCAGGTTTTCATGATGTCTCCTAATGAAGCTTTGAAAGATCTGATTCTGATACCTTCAGTTTGACCTCAAAGAGAACCCCATAAAGTCCATCGGGCTGAAACAGATTTTAAAGTGACCTCCTCATTTTAGCCACAGACAGATTTGAATGGTCACAAGAGGACGGATCCGTCTCTTCCTCCTTCAGGTTCCTGCAGCAGTTTGATCCTCTGAGCCTTCGTCTGATCCCTTTAACTCTGCCGTCTGCTTCTTAGCCATCTACATCCTGCTGTTCATCGTCTTCCTCCTCCTCCTCTTCGCCTGTCCACCTCTCTCTGCTTACTCATCCTGATCACTTTCCTCCTCCTCTTCATCGTCTTCCTCCCACACCTTCATCCCTCACTGCAGCCTCTCTCCCTCCTCCTCCTCCTCCTCCTCCTCTTCCTCCTTGCCTTACACTATGCCTGTTTACATAGGATTAGAAGCTCCAGCAGTCGTCTCTGCTGTTTTCTACCCTTTAATGGAGTGGGGACTGGTGTCTTGTTTGTTTGTTTGTTTGTTTCTGGTTTCCCTTCCTCTTTTCTCTGTGTTGAGTTTCATGGACTGCAGCTGCTTTGGAGCTGAACTCTGCCTTTGAGCTGCTGCTTTCCCCTCAACTCTTTCATTCCTGTTGTTTTCTTTTGTTCACACCAAGCGCTCGAAGGAAAAATCCACCCTCGCTCATGAGTGGAATACTGAACTAGATTCCTGTGCAGGTGTCTGTTTAAAGGTCTGTCAAACTGATCTGCGCAGGCACCAGTCTCCAATACAGATAATTAAAACCACCTAAAATGAAATTAAAATCAAAGGAAGTAGGTTTAAAAACACTTACAATATTTTTAGAATCACCAGTAATATGATTAATATCACCTAAAATATAATTAAAATCACTTGAAATATGTTTAAAATCACCTGGCATAGGTTTAAAATCAAAAGGAGTAGGTTAAAAATCACCTAAAATATGTTTCAAATCACCTGAAATATAATTAAAATCACCTGATATATCATTCAAATCAAAGGGTGCAGATTTAAAATCACCTCAAATGGTTAAAATCACCTGAAAAATAATTAATATCAAAAGGAGTAGGTTTAAAATCACCTGATGTATGTTTTAAAAATATATTCTAAATCACCTGAAATATATTAAAATCTCCTGAAATGCGTAAACAGCGTTCTCTATACTCCACGCTGGCGTTCTCAAACACACTCTCTGCGCCGATAATTTGGTTTAACGTCCTCAAACTGTTAAGTCTTTTATTTGCAGCGTAAATCTTAAAATCTAAATGAAGAGTGCGTCTTGTTTTCTCTGCTATTCTTCTGTGTCGTGGTTTTGAAAGAGTTCATCGTTTTTGGGGGACGTTAAAGTCACACGTCTTTCTCTCTGCAGCGTTATCGTTACCTGCTGATAACAGTAACATACACTAAAAAATAGTGTTAAATACTGTTTGAATGTTTGCTCACGCTTGAATTTCTTTCTTGAATTTTTTTTGGGCTAAAAAATGAATCTGATTTCTGAGTTTTATTTTCTTGCTCTCAAAAGAAAAGAGAGAAAATAAACAAAATGGTTAAAAATCTTTAAAAATGTTAAAGAGGGACTTTAACTTTAATCAAACACAAATCCTCCAAAATATTTTAAACTTATAAAAAATAAAAAAAACTTTTATTGTTTCCCAACTTAAAATTTGACTTTTACGGTAAAGTCTCTTAAAGACAGGAAACACAAATTAAAAGTTAAACTTAAGTACAGATAAAGAAACGCTCTCATTGTCTCTACAGAGTTTAAATCTACCTGGACTGTTTCACTCGTTTTGGCCTCTTCATTGCATTCCCAACGTCTGGCTGGGCTGGTCTTTTTTTACGGTGTAGATGGTGTGCAGATCGTGTGTTTCGGTACGTGAACAGAGGTCCTCTATATTTTCTAAGTGGTTGAATGTTGTGGTGTAGATTTTCCTTCCTGCCCTCTGTCTGAGCTCTTTTCTGAGTCTGCGCTCTTGTTTTGTAAAGAAATAAACTTCCTCCTTGAACAAAAACCTGCTGTGTGCTGTTTGTGATCTCCTGTATGAAACACTGCCATTTGCTGAAAGGTTCCTCTAAGGTTCCTTCATACTCTCTCTATTTTAGAGTGAGTTTCAGAAAGTTGAACCCATCAGCTCCAACAGCAGAATCACCCATAATCACAGAGAAAGAGCTAAGCGGCGGTTCTGGAGATGGAGCTCTCCTGTTTCTTGGTGTTGTGATTAGTCAAATGTTGGTCTAATATTAGCCTCCGTTTCCATAATCTGCATGTGAGTCATCATATATGACGGCTGACAGATGGAGGACGGGCGGAGTCACAAACTGCAACATGCTGTTAATCACACTGATGCTGTGAAGTCTTCAACACAACCGAAACACACACAAAAACCCGATCGGAGCCGCTTCTGTTTCTGCTTGATCAGTGCTCATTCTGGATCAAACTGATAAAACTGCAGAACCCGTCCAAAGACCCAAGCTCAGATCCTCAGGGACACAAAGGGCAGGGGACTCAGAGCAGGATGTGTATGTGTGCTGTTCCAACACCCCGAGGGTCTATGAGTCAAACAGACACACACACACACACACACTGGTTTTTCCAGGCCCTGCCGCTCCGTCACATTTTCTGTTCTTCTTCAGGGACACAGATGGAAAATATTTTCGATAACTCTGTGAAGACCTGAGTTTGAGTCCTGAGTCTGCACCAACAGGATGAGGTTTTTCCTTTTCTGTGAGTACCAGTCTTTTCTGTTTCTCTGTATTTGTGCACAACCCAAGATGACTCTTCGTAAGGAGGGTTCCACAGACCACAGTTAAACCAGAGATCAGGATTTCATGGTCCAAGGGGGCGGTTTAGGGTTTGTACCTTTGGTTTAGGACCCAGAGGTCCGTTTCACGTAGCAGGTTTAATGGAAACTCAGAGTCTGTTAACCCTGAAATCAGGGAAACTCTGAGTTTTTCGTTTCACAAAGGAGGGTCAGTTAAACCAGAGAGAGAGGGGTAACTCTAACCTGTTTCACAAAGAGAGGTAACTCAACCTCGCGGTCAGTTACCACAGTAACAGACTCCGTGAACCTAACCTGGGGCCTGTTCTACGAAGCAGGATTACTGCCTAGCGAGGTAACTTCGAGGATAAGTTCAGGGTTTCCTGTTCTACGACGCGGGTTCACTTCTGCGGATCGCCGGACTCCACAGCTGATCGCAAGAGTTCTATTTTTTCCGGACGCGGGAGCATGCTGGATAAATTCAGCACAGATTAACCCGTGCTGGAAAGGAAGTCGGGCACAGACACAAAATAAAACCTCCAGCCTCTTTTCAAAATAAAACACTCTGTGTTTCAGGAGGATCGTATTACACGCCATGCAAACGGACGGAGACGAACAAGTGAAAGGTTTTTAGATGTAGAAGTAGATTTTCTCCTCTGGAAGGACACAATCTACTGCTTATATGTCTATGTGGCTGCCTTTATAGAGATTTGCACATGTATCCGCAGGTTCTTGTGAGTTCTCGCGATTCCTGCTGTCCGTAATCCGCCACGAAATTCGCCTCACAAACAGATCCAGTAGGAATTGGGAGATGGCCAAAATCACTGCCGTTCTGGATCTCAGCTGTTCCGGATGTGGTGGAAATCCCAGGTGAAGAGGATCACAACAGTCCCGTTGATAGGAAGAGAGGAGAACAGATGTAGACTCTGGTTGGTCGAGAGAAACTTAAGCTGCATCTGATTGGTTGAGGAATAAACACAATTGTTAGATTGGAGAGAGACCATTGGAATGAGGGAGGAATAAAAAAGGACTGGATGAACGGATGAATGTGGAGAAGTCCCGTAAAAACTGAACCCACAGTGAGGTCCAGTCCTCCAGGCTGATATTACTGTCTGCTTTAGTGAATCTTTATCCTCTGTTATGGCTCTGTGTGTTTGTGCTTGTATCTCTGACGTATCGGTGTGTGTGTGTGTGTGTGTGTGTGTGTGTTTTTAGTGCTCACAGTGTTCTGCTGCAACTCGATGACCACACAAGGTAAATATACTCCCACGGCCTCAGGTGTCTCCTCATGTGTACTCTGAACCTGTCGCCTCTCTGCTGAACCTCTTTCACTGGATTTTGGTCTCGGCCCGGTGCGACAACACTGACACCCATCTGTGAAGGTCAACAGTTAATAAGATTGACATTAACCATCCTTTCCTCTGATGTGTTGATTTCTGACAGAGATTTTTGAAGGTCAAAAACAGTCAAGCCTAAAACCTGGAGATGAATGGGATTATGTAATCCTGACCTTTGACCTCTGCTGTGCATTTCAGAGAAGGCATTGACCTGTGACCTTCAGGACCCGGCACAGAGGTTGAGCTGCGGTATGACACCTTAAAACACGTTTCTGCACCTGTCTACCACAATAATCAGTAGCTGCGTTTCCATTACATTTTTTCGCAAAATAAAAGCGATGTTTATCAAATTTCGACAAAGTACAATTGCGATTTGCGGGTGTTTCCATTGAATGGTGTTCAGTGCATAAGCGAGCCGTCTGCCTCTCGCGAGCCGTGTTTAAATGGCCGTTGCCTAGCAACGAGGTAAACTTCCTGCCCGTGCGACCTCGTATTCCTTAAGCCTTTTTGCACACCGACATGGACGAGACACAAAACATTTTTCGTTTTGGAGCAGCTATTTCTGTGACCATTACTGCTGTTGCCGCTGCTGTCATCAGAAGACGAAGGCAGCGGGTGATCATTCAAAGGCAAAGCCCGTATGTATGGGAGCGAACACGGAGGAGCGATTTCTGGGAGAGGATCGTTAATGAGGAATTCACAGACGAATTGTGGATTCAAAACTTCAGAAAAATACAAATTCAATTCAAAACTTCAGAAATAAGTCTGTCTCCTCCCCCGTCCACATACACCGTGCCATCTACGCTTGAAATGAACTGGTCACTTGACCCGCTACGTCACGTCCGGTGACAAAGAATTGCGAGAAAAGTGTTTCCATTACACTTTTGCGATATACTTCTATATCGACACTTCTGAAAAACCACCTCATGAGAGCGTAAAAACTTTTTAGCGATATTTGGGAGGTTTTTCGAAATGTAGGTGTTTCCATTACCAGTTTTCTATTGCGATATTTACGTTTTGCGCAAATCTATGGGTAATGGAAACGCAGCTACAGATGTCATCACGAATGACAATTATTGGTTTGTTTGTCAAACTGTTCCCCAATCTCCTCTGCCCGCCTCTGCTCATCCTTCATGTAGATTTATGTCTCCTCAGGCTTTAACTCCTCAGGCTTTAACTCCTCGAGTTTAGCTCCTTAAGTTTAACTCGTTAGGTTTAACTCCTCAGGTTTAACTCCTCAGGTTTAACTCCTCAGGTTCACTGTTGGTAAACGAGTTCAGATGACCTGAACAGTGGAGAATCGTTGACTCAAAAAGAGGTTTGTCAAAGTTTGGAGTGAAAATCAGAATTTTGTTCAGATACTTTCTCAGGTAACATCCTTGTGGTTTCTCCAGCACGATCAATCCAACCCACATCAGTGAGATATCCCTGACACAGGGTCCTGCTGCTGTCATCTATCCTTGCGTGGTGCTCCTCTCTCATCCTTCTTTGTCCTGGACCCTCTCTCCTCTGAGCACACCTGTCCCCCCCCATTCCTTTAGGTGATGGTTTGATCACAGTGCAGAGCGTGGGGGTGAGTCACAGAGAGTCGGAGGTTTGTGTGGACGGCGTTCCCTCAGACCGGCTGGGGGTTCAGCTCTGCTCCTCAACGCCGGTCCTGAACATCATCAGAAAGAGGTCAAACAAACTCGCCGTCCTCGTCTACAGATGTCAGACTTCCTGTCTTTATTAGGACTGAAGCCCTGTTTCTCACTCTTTGGAGTTACTCCAGTTTAAACCAGTATAAAGCCACTTTATTATTAGAGGTAGTCACGTGTGTCCTCTTCTCGTCAGGTGTAACGGTCACTACAGGTGTCGGGTCCCAATGGATTTGTGTCATGCAGCTAAACCCTGTTTGACCCGGTGTGTCTGGATGGAGACCACATACACCTGCAAGTCTGGGAGTATGTACTTGTGCATTACTGTATAAATTCACTCAGTGATGAAAGTAATAAAGTTCTAAAGAGAGTTTTGGTTCTGGTCTCAGGAGTCCACTATGTGTGTCAGAGAAGGAGGGCGGTGCTTCACTGTGGTGGGTTTTTATTCATTCTTTATGATTCTTCTGAACTCACTTCAGGCTCCTGTTTGTTTAACATTGTTTTTCTTCTCAGGTGATCAGGTGATCAAAGTGTTGATGGCTAACTACGGCAGGACCAGTAAGAGGGTGTGCTGGTACCGCGCCCCCCGCAGTCATCCACCCAACACCTCCTGTAGACTCTCCAACACTCTGCAGGTGATGGCCGACAGGTGAGAACAAAACCTGAGGAGTAAAACCTTTTTGGCAGAAATCCTGAGAGAGCACGAATTCACGTTCAGACTTCAAGGACAGACAAAAGTGAACGCAGTATTTCACACAGGTGTAAACAACAATGATTTCTTCCCGGTTAACGGTACTGATTATATTTGTTTTGATTTCATGCAGGTGTGATGGCAAACATGTTTGTTCTGTCAGAGCCTCAAACCAGATCTTCTCCAACCCCTGTCCTGGGACCAAAAAGTACCTGAAGTATTCATACACCTGTGTAGACCCGGGTACCTGTGAACCTCCCTCATGTCTTCAAACCCTTTAAAGCTCAAAAACAAAAACAAACTCCTGAAATCAAAAACGCTTCATTTGTTCACATTAGTCATTTTCACCTGTTTGTGGTCTTCAGCAGGAAACTCTGACAACTGAAACTACAGATCAACACCATCTGGAGGAGTCTCCACCCGACCACAAGAACACAGAGTCACTCCTCATGGTCCTGAAGAATTAATATTTTCCAGCAGATTTTCACACATTTACAGTATGAAGTGTCAATCTGATGTTTGATAGTTATTTTTAAAGGCAATAAATCAACCAGTTCGTCTTTTTAAATAAAATTCCAAACCACAACAAGTGTTTCTTTAAGATGCTGGTAAAATTAATTTAGGGTCAAACACACGGTAACACCGAGTTAGACCCCCCCTCCAGAGATGAATGTTGTCGTCCGCTTGCTTCTCTAGTTATTCCAACTTTAGATAGTAATACACAGCGGTCTGAGGAGCCATAAACGAACCTCAACCATAACGCCAGTCTATAGCCACAAATAATGCTCAGGACAGCACCTAATTTCATCAACAGTACATATAGGGTCCTAGCCATAGTACTAGCCACCAAACATCCTTTTAACTTTGACTAATTTCTTTAGCAAAGAGACTAAACACAACTCACCTACTCTCTTCCAGCAGCTGCTTGTTTGTAGCGAGACCTCAGGCCAGTCCATTATGGACTACAGCGGGGTGACGCAGCTCAAGGAAGATCATTTCTTCATGGAAATGCAATCAGACCGAGACGCTTAGGCAGAAGAACTACCGTGTCTGCAGTGCAAAATGATTAATATGGTGATTATTACTTCAAAGAAATGATAAAGTAAAGTAGATAGACAAGGTTGTTCATCTCGATCATCTTGTTAGCTTGATAAACATCTGTCAAAACCCAGTGTGCAGGACTGTGGCAGTCTAACATTCACCCCTGTCATGGGCCAGGGTTCAACAAAGGAAAAGGAGAGAAACTAGAGATTCACCCATCAACTATGACTGACACACACTGACTGACTAACACTCACACACACACATGAATGCATGCACGCACACACGTAGACACACTGGGAAACGAGCAACAGGTGAGACTCATGAGTGATTAACAAAGGAGGGAAAACTGGGGAAGTAAAACCAGATTAGAAACACAAGGAATCAACTAGTACAAGATAAAGCAGGAATTAACACTGATCTAAAGAATAAAACACAGAGAACAGGAGGGAAAACAGGGTCAAAGACAAACTGAAAACTCACAAGAGTGGACTACAGGGGACCAGGACTACAGGGGACCAGGACTCCACTGGAAGTTTGGTGTTCAATCCCAGCTCTTCAATCTCAGCCCTACGCCAGAGTGAGGAGAACCCTGAGTTTACTCCAACATGGATCCTGTTGGCCTGGTCAGTGGTTTGTGGACTTGGTTCGAGAGGCTCTGTGTGAGGACAGGTTCAGTAACTGGATTTATAAGTCAGTGCTAAAATAGAAGAACATGAACCTCTTAAATAATGATCATATTTATCCTTGTTGACTCACTTGCGCTGAGCTCCTGGACCTGGTCCCTGACTGCTGTGTTCAATGAATGAGGTTGCTGATGTCAATAATGTAAACGTACTCAGACCTGAATGTTTTTACTCCTCATTGCTGCAGAGTTAAACCTGAGGGATCCAGCTTCATTGATTAGAGATATTTGATCAATTAATCAGCAGCTGCGGTACTGCAGCCCTTCACCCCCCCACCACGGCGGCTCCATTATGAAACAGGGAACACTTCCATGCAGGGCTGTCATCATTTGTCTTATAAGATGTATTGATCAGCCACCTCATCAATAAATGAAGAGCAGCTTCAGGCCGTTTGGAGCAAAGTGATGAAACAGAGTTTATCAAAGAGGCAAATCCTCCTCTGATCCTCCACACCCACTGATCTCTGCTCAGTGTGAGGAGGAGGAGGAGGAGGATTCAAATCTACAGATCATCTTTATCATCAATATTTCAACAAATTCAAATAAGTCATTTCAGAATTTCTATTTCCCGTTCGACCTCTTAGATCCAGACCTGATGAGTTCAGTCACATCTTCCTTCAGAATAACACAGGCCCAGTTTCAAGAGTCCAGATCCTGGATAAAGTATTACAAAAACATTGTCTGATGGAAATCATTCAACATTCAAACTGGACAAAAAGTCTTTCTGGGGTCATGAGGGTCCATCTGTTGTCAACAAGTCAGAACCGCATCAGTCCAGTTCCACAGCAGGACTCTTCTCCTACAGTGCCATGCTGTTGTCAGAATGTGGTTTGGGATCATTATGGTCTTCTCTGAAAAAGTCTTTGTCTGGATGGCAGCAGATCCTAAACCTGGAGATATTGTGTAAAACTAAGGATGCAGCATCTATGATTTTTAGTTCTACGTTGAAAGGACAACTGGACTTACCTTTACCAGATCTCAGGACAGTTGATGGACAAGTGATGCGTTGACTCCAACTACAGAGTCCTGATGCTCCTAAACCTGTAGATATTGTTCAGCATTAATGTGGCCCTCACAGATGTGGAAGATACCAATGACATGGACTCTGATGGTCCTCATACCATCAGGGATGCTGGATTTGGACTGGGAGCTGAGCACAAGCAGGATGGATCCTCTCTGCTCTGGATGCAGGGTCTATGATTTCCCCTCAGTCCACCATACATGGGCTCATGTCCATAAAAGTATCTGGTGCTTCTGGACCATATTTCTACCTGGACCTAGACCGCCTGGATGTTTCATACAATAGGAAGGGCTGAGTTGTAGCAGGCATCGGAGGAATCGCCTGACGTCCAAAAGCCAAGCCCCTTGATGCAGTGCACTATGGGAGGTGTTGGTCCGACTGCAGAACAGTCAAACTCCCCGACCTCCTCTCCTCTTTCTTCTCCTACCCTCTCCCTCACTCCGGTCCTCATCAGAAACCTGCACAGGTCTTCTCAGAGTTTCATCTCCTTTATTAAAATGCTTGGCCCTCAGGTGTCTGCGCCGCTTTACAGGACTCATGCATTTACACAGGCGTTAGATAAGACAGGACTGACACACACACACACACACACACACACACACACACACACACACACAGACTTTAATCAAAGTTAAACCTGGTGAGTCGGCACACTGCAGGGCCTTAAAGGAGATGTTTGAGTTTTCTCTGTTTGAACTGATTCTGTCATTTACAGAGCAGCTGTTCACTTTCACTTCATTCATGCTTCTTCTCCTCCATTTATTCTCTTCATTCCTGTTTCTCCTGCAAAGATTCCAATTGAACAGCTTCTAATCAGCGGCTCCAGTCGAACAGAGCAGATGCTGAAGATGCATCAGCTGCAGGAGATAACAGATAATTCTGCAGAGATGTCCCTCCCTGGTGAAGCTCCCTCAGGTTTGTTAAGGCACAGGGCCAGAGACAGGAAATGTAAGTCCTACAGGTGGGCCAGAAGCTGTCAGGTAGGCCCTCGTTAGATCTGTCCTGGTGGTCTGAACTGACACAGTAAAGTATTAAAGGTGCCAACTGGGTGTCTAAACTCTCGGATCCTGGTCTTGCAGCTCTCTGTGCTCTGCTTTGATGAGGATTTGGTGGACCAACAGGGAGAGAGGAAAGGGTCTTGTTTTCCAGTGACAGCTGCTTTCTTACCCGTGTGTCGAATTTTAAATATAAATGTCATTATTTTTATTAGGATTATTAAAATTCCTCACCCTGCGTTAAGACTTATAATCCCATAATCCTGGACCTTAGAGTTAAAGTTGGAAGTTTAACCCTGCAGTCCTGGTCAAGTTTTTAGACTGGTGATGTTCATGTCACTGTCAAATGGAGTTCCGTTTCTTTGGGACCAGCATGTCTGCAAACAGCTATGAAGTTTCATAATGTTAGTCTGAAATAATACGATCAAGACCCCAAACACAGCAGGACTCACAGCTGCTGCTGGAGTCAGTCTGAGACCGAGGCCCTCAGGGATGTGGGGATAAAACCGAGTTCAGACTTAAGAGCAGACGGGGAGGAATTCTGAGTTTCGATCACAGCGACTGACAGACATCTGAAGTTTCATCTTGTAGTGATGGATCTCTCCAAAGGTAGATTTCTGCCTTCAAGCTCTACTGCAGCAGGTTCATGATCACCTCTGAAACATGGATGTGGTTTCTCTGGACTCTGGCGCCCTCTAGTGTTCATAAACTAAAACTATACTCAAACAACGAAGCTGGAACATTCCATCAACCTCACTTCATTCAGCTCACAGGTGAGTGCCAAGATGATGATGGGACAAGGATCTTCAGGGTTAGAGAAGTGAGGTGGACTTCAGGATAAGAAGATGACTGAGGGCTAGATAAAGACAGAGACACGGGAGGTAAAAGTGAAAATATCTTTGTAAAAAAAAATCAAGTTTTTATTACAGCTGTACAGTTCAGACGTCCGAGTTTCACATTCATGACTCAACATCATTTCTTTACTTCAAACATTAGACAGAAGTCACGTCTGAAGTGATCCTGGTCTGCACTGGATCCTGGTCCAGAGAGTAGCCTGGCCTGCACAAGATCCTGGTCTGCACTGGAGCCTGGTCTGCACTGGCTCCTGTTCTATTTTGGATCCTGGTCTCTGTGTTGCTGCCTGTATTTCTGATTTGGACCATTATAGACACATGGTGCTGAACTTGAGATGGAGCACAGCGGACCAGTTCCTCTTCACAGCTCTGCTTTATATCTGCAGCCTCACTGCATGATGTTGGTGTGAACAACCTCATCCTCTCACTTCTTCAATAGAGAGAAATAAAGTCCTGACAAACACTTCTTTACCTGATCAAACTGCAGAGGTGACTGGTGAGTACTGATGACTACTTATCAGTAACTACTTATTTTCAGGTTTGTGGAACTTGTTTCTCAGTTTTTAGGTGATTTTTGAAGACCCTCTACGTCTGCTGTTCTCAGAGTCCAGAGTTATATGGCAGTCTCAGAAGATCTTTCAGTCACCTCAGAGACCTGCTGTTAAGTTAGGTTCTCGGATGGTTTTAATGACTCTGAAAAATAATGATTAAAGCTGCTGAATATTTGAAGTGGATCAGTATGGGGTCAAAGATGAAAGTTGGACTACTGTACAGTCTGAAGGGATGGTTCTGACTCCTCATCAAATGTACACTCGTACATTTACATCAGTGTGATGGTGGGCTTGTTTCTGCAGTTCCCACTCGCAATGGTTTTAATGTTTCACCCTAATTGCAGTTTTATAGAGTCAGTAAATGCTGCTTTGGATGTTAAATGATTATTTTAAATAAGTTAGTGTCAAAAGTTACTGATGTTAGTTTCAATTATTTCAAGTGTCCATAATTAAGTTATATCCAATATCGTTAACAATGTCTAACCATGACTGATTATAGTCACATGATCAATTTAAATTTTAATGTCAATATATTTGAATTCAACTATCAACTTGTTTTGTTTTTACCATAATTCTTAGTGACTAATCCCTCATTTTAACTTCAGCTCTTATCATTTTAAGTGTTTAACCATGACTGTTTTCAGTTTGATAATTCTAATTTTGAGTTTTAATATAATATTTTTTATTTCAAACCAGTCTGTTTTTTTCAGCATTTAACTATCCAAGTTTGTCACATAATCACAGTTAGAGTTTATCCATTAATTCAACCACTCAGTCTATGTCAGTCACACTAACTGATCTATCCCGGCCTTAAATGAAACCCCTTCACCATTTCATTTCTATGCACAGATAAAAGTCCATCCCTTTGTCTTGGTATACTAATCTGCAGTATTACAATGGGGTTAGGGTTAGGGTTTTACTCAAAGCCACATGGTGCTGAAATGATAAATTCTGAAGCTCTGACTGACTGATATTGACCCAAACGATTGTGTCTAATTTACAGGGAAATCACAGAAGTGAGCTAAAACTGGATCAACATGCTCCACCGCTTCAGCTTCTTCATTTCCCTCCTGACTTACCTGCTTCAGTCAGACCCCTCTCTGGCTTACTCGCTGAAGAACTGCACTGTTGAATATACTAAATATGTCGGAGAAGTTCCGGTGGTATGCTCAGATCGCGACCTCACTTCTGTCCCTGTTGACATCCCTAAAAATGCAACCTCCCTTGATTTGAACAGCAACAGCATTTTGACAATCAACAGGACTGAACTGAGCAGATTATGGAAGCTTAGAAATTTACAGATCGAATCCAACTCTCTCTCGCACATTGTGGATCGAGCTTTTGAGGACTTGGTGCAGTTGACACAACTTCTTTTGGGCTCCAATCATCTGACAACCCTGGCAGATGGCATGTTCCAGGGACTGTCCAAATTAGAAGATCTGTCTGTAGAAAAAAACCAAATCACATGCATCAGCCCCCTGGCTTTCCAGCCTCTCGCCAGCTTAAAGAAAGTGGATCTGTGCTACAATGAGCTTCATGAGTTTACTCAAATTATGCCTATTTTTCAACTACCAAAGATAGAGGAAGTTGTGGCAGGAATGAACAGGTTCACATCATTCGAGTTTGAGGACACATCTTTTAATGCCTCCAACCTCAAAATGCTTTGGTTTAACGCAAATCCACTGAGAAAGTTCAGCATCACCAGAGACATCTTCCCTAATCTTGAGTCTCTCGATCTGTCCAAGTGCCTCCCTGGTTTTGAGTGGAAAGTGACCGACAAGGTCTTTTTAAGGAGCCTCAAAAAATTGTATTTAAGTGGGACTGAAGTAAGCTTCGAGACCCACAGAGCAATTTTCCAGAGTGCTTTTGCCGTGGAGTACCTCTGGCTTTCTTACGTGACAGATTGGTTAAGCCAAGGCCTGCTAAAAGTGGCCTGCCAGATGCCTGCTTTAAAAGATCTTGATCTGACATTTAACGACATCCACGTTTTGAACGACACACTTCTACAGCCTTGCTCCATGATCACAGATTTAGCCCTAACTGGTAATGTCATGACTGATTTGTCTGATCGTTCACTCAGGTCGTTGAATCGTCTGGAGACATTGAGTTTAGACCACAACTTTCTACCCCAAGTGCCATCTGCTGTCAGAGGCCTCTCCACTCTGGTAGTCCTGGATCTGAGCTCCAATGATATCGGAGAGTTACATTGTTTGGACTTTCAGAATCTGACAGGATTAGTACATCTATATCTTGATGATAATCGCATCTCAATACTAAGAGGATGTGCTTTTCAAGATTTGAAGACGTTAACAAAACTCAATATCCAATCAAATCAAGTCTTTGCTTTGCACGACACTTTTCAAGTAAGTTTGCCGAACCTTCGCTTCCTAAACATGAGAATGAATAAATTTGTGAACGTAGATAAATATGTCTTTAAAGGTATCCCCCACCTCTACTCTTTAGATTTGCAAACAGATAGGATCTGCCTTGTGGAAAACAACTCTTTTGTAGGCCTTTCTCATCTAAAAACTCTGGTCCTCTCAGCTCACACACTTGACAAAGACATATTCAGAGGAATGCCAAACTTAGCAAGCCTGACACTGTTTCTTCCAGCTGGGAACGCTCTGAGTCAGCAAGCAAACAAAGACCCCCCTTTCCTCTATGTGCCACTTTTGGAGACACTTACGATCCATGATAGCAATAGATGGACCATGGTTATCCCCAGAAACCTTCTCAAGGGTCTCTGGCACTTACAGCAATTTGCAGCTGTGAAGTTTTTCACCGGGACACCACACACAGACTTGTTTTCAGACACTCCTAACCTGACAAGACTTCAGATTACAAGCAGCCACATCTGGGATCCAAAACCAGAACTGTTGAAGCCGTTGGCAAAACTGGAGACTCTAGATCTGTCCAAGAACAAGCTCAGGTCTCTGGATTTTCTGGCCCGGGCCAACCTGTCTGCACTCCGCTGGCTGAACTTAGGAGACAATGAGCTGACTGTGATCAACGAGACAGTCTTCCAGTCCCTCCCTGCACTAACATATCTGGACCTTTATGGAAACCCTTTCACCTGCAGCTGCCTGAACCAGGGCTTCATCCAGTGGGTCAAGAACAACAGCCGCACTCAGGTGGTTAATGCCTACCACTATGACTGTTACTTTCCTCCGGGTCAACAGGGAAACAGACTGCTGGACTTTGATTTCCAGTCCTGTAAGATGGACTTGGACTTTCTGTGCTTTATTTCCAGCTCCTCTCTGGTCATGCTCACCATCCTCATGTCTTTTATCTACCACTTTCTGAGGTGGCAAATCATCTATGCATTTTGCCTCTTCTTGGCCTTCCTTTATGACAGCAGGAAGAGGAAGAAGGAAACTCCTCACCGCTATGATGCCTTTATCTCCTACAACGTTGACGATGAGGCCTGGGTTTTCAGAGAGATGCTCCCAGTGCTGGAGGGAGAGCAGGGCTGGAGGCTCTGTCTGCACCACAGAGACTTTCAACCAGGTAAACTCTTTGTTTTTCTGTGTTCTTCCACTTCTGTATGTCTATATGCCTCTTATTTTCCTCTCACACTGCTGAAGTCTGACTCAGATTTACTCTAAGCATGTGGATGAGAGGAGACAGGTGTGTTGGAAAATTTTATTGACACTTGCCATGTCATGCTGCAGCTTTTTGGTGAGTTAGGCTGTAAATTGGTTTGTTTCTCTGCTACATCTCCTCTGAATAGCCCCCCCGCCTCCCGTCCTGCGCTCGCCCCCCGGTTGAGAACCACTGCTCTAAGGTATCAGTCAGAGCCGTTTTACTCATCGGCCAATGCTGCTTGTGGTTTTCCAAAGTTTCACCACTCAGCTCTTCAGTTCTTGGGGAACTACATTTTATGCAATCACAGTGGAGTACGGCGTGCTTTCATAGTTTAGACACTGAGGTAACCTGTCACTTATATTTGCAGGAACTCCTGTTTGTCTGCTGCTACAAAACTCCCATGATTTATCTCCACTTTGTCCTCCTGTCTCAGTCACCAGAGTGGAGGCACGGTACAAAGGGCTTTGGGAGTGGGCCAACGGAAAACAACTGTTTGGGTGTAGTGCTCATGGGAGTTGCTTCACATTGCAAATAGTTGCAGACTAAAATCTAAGAGAAGACCAAAATCAAAATCCAAAGTTAGGACTAACCTTATATTCAGTTTTTTTCAATGGGGCCTGAGGGTTAACTGCGGCACCCACCATTTCCATCCTGTTTTCCCCTACTCTAGTTGTTGAGTCTTTATATTTCTTTTACTTCTCCTTCTTCCTTTGATTAAGACCTTCAAAAAAGGAACTCTGAAATTGGGTCTTTTTTTAAAAGAGGTGTTGCTGCTACAAGAGTTTTACTTCCCTAATTTGTTGGCCTGTGGTGTGTTTGTGCTCACTTGTGCGCAGTTCAGATAGTTCAGAGGGTTCAGATGATGTCTGATTGTTGTATAACCGCCCCAATAAAGTGTGAAAAACAAAAATGAGTCTCTTTACAAACTCTGCAGCAGAGAGACAAGCTGTCATAGAGACTCGGGTATGTTTCTAGTCAGAAGTTTTAACACAAATGCAACCTCTACATCATGCACTGTTGAGAAATTTCCATATTTCTATTGCATCCATTTTTTGGAGCTAAACATGAACCTGAATTGTTGTGTCTGCAGGAAAGGCCATAATTGAGAACATCATGGACGCCATCTACAGCAGCAGGAAGACGATCTGTGTGATCAGTCGGAGCTACCTGGAGAGTGAGTGGTGCTCCAAAGAGTTCCAGATGGCCAGGTGAGAGTGCTGCCTGTCATGATAATAATAATGAGAATGATAAAAGCAATTATGACTTTTGGTAAAGTTAAAGAGGATGTGTTTTAAATCAACTCCTGGTCTCTTTAAGCAACAACAGCATTTCAGAAAAACTCACCTCTGGTTACAATGCCAACCGCAGAGACTTCAAGTTGTAAACGTCAGAATGAAAATAATGTTACTGTACTTTTTTAGACCTCAGCTCCGCATTTGACTCTGTTGACCATGAAATTTAAATAAACAGACTTGAGGAATAAGCAGGTCTGTGGGACCCTGTTTTAGCCTGGTTCAGTTCTTATCTTTTTAACACATAGATTTTTATTTGCCTTGGTGCCTGAGTGTCAGACATACCTGACTTTAATATATCTGCGTATATGACAGAGCATCATGAATGAAATGCAAAACTTATCAAGCATCCTGGAGCCAGACTTTTACATGCTGAAAATGATGAGATGAGTTTATTTTTTGTTTTCAGAAATTTGCTACCATCTAGTGTTTGATATATTAGAGACAGATTTGAGACATTTTGAGTGCTTGGTTTTACCCACAGATACAGCTGAGTGCAATAAAAGGAAGTATTATGGGCCAAGCAGCAGCACGTAGATATTAAACAAAATTGGTCCAAGTATTGACCCTTGAGGAATTCCTCATTTTAATGCACATACTCATGTTTAAGAGGATCTATGTTATTAGAAAACAAAGGTTTTTCGTATTCTTTTAGTATTTCTTTCCCAGGTAAAATTCTGTCCACTTCAAGTCTGCGTCTTTGCCACACTGTAGAATGAGCAAACATTAAGTTGAGTCCTCATCTTCAAAATGGCGTCAATAGGCTTCAAAACTCTATTTGTTGCTTGTTCGACACAGTCCTCAAATCCATCTAAACCTCCTTTCAGACTAATTTGTTTGTCTTAATCATCCCCACACTCTGTCCTTTTCCCTCTTGCTTGTTGTTGCAGCTTCCGTCTCTTTGATGAACAGAAGGACGTGCTAATCCTGCTCTTTCTAGAAGAGATCCCGGACCAGCAGCTTTCACCCTATTACCGCATGAGGAAGCTTGTGAAGAAACGCACCTACCTGAGCTGGCCGAGAGCTGGGGGACACACAGGGGTCTTCTGGCAGAATGTCTGCAGAGCTCTGGAGATGGAGGACACCCCTGCAGAAGACTCAAACCTGCTCACTGCTGGTGCAGCTGTGGATGTCTGATCTTCGGCTGCATATTGTTATTGTCAGCAGTGACCTGTTGGCAGAATGTCATATTAGTTGTGTTTTCTCAGATAGAAAATAATGTAACTGTCTGCGCTTATACTGTTTAGCACAATTTATTTCAATATTTTGTATTAAAGCAAGAAGAATGTTTAATAGAGGCTGCAATAATATATATTTCCATGTGGAGAATTGGGCTCATAAATGTGTTTTTTAGGACCTTGATCATGATTATGAAATATCAAGAAGAAAAAACATTGTATGAAAGAGTAACTTCCTGTTTCATGGTGATACATCAAAGTGTAATTAGTCTCCAACACAAAAAAGGACAAATTTATTCAGAAGTAGACTCTGAAAATCAGGCAATCAAAAGTTTAAATCAAGATGGCTGACTTCCTGTTGGGTGCAAATCTAGGACTGAGTAGCCATCTGATGTGCATGCTACAATGTCCTTTTACTAATACCTCTAATTCATGGGCCTGAATGGGATTCCACCTTTGCTGTCAGTCGGCTCTCCATGGCGGTCACCAGTTCAACATGCAATGCCCTAATTCAAACACCACGCCTCCACAGACTTTGTACCTGATGTCATTCTTCCAAGTTTGTCATCTAGTAAGTGCTCACCAACAATTAGTGGGAGAGTTGACTCAATTTAATGCGCTTTGTGTAGGGTCTCAGTGAATCAGGCCCTCAGTGTCTTATTTGTGGGACTTGTTTATACAATATGCTGTTTTTTGTTTGCAGCATTACAGCTGGTGAGGCTAAAAGTCATGGACCGAATTCAGGGGGGACTGATTCAGTCCTGTGGTGGACTTGGTACTGAGTGTGTTTGTGCATTGCGGGCAATGCACAAACACACATCTGTAAATGTTTGAAACAGTATCCTCAGATATCCTACAAACACAGCACCACCTGTGTTCTCATTTCAACACGCAGTGAGTCATGGTTGGACTGAACTTTGACCAACTCAATGAAAAATGTTGATCAACCCCAAAAAGACCAAACATAGAGAGAGAGAGAGAGAGAGAGAGAGAGAGAGAGAGAGAGAGAGAGAGGGAGAGAGAGCTTGAAGGTGTGCCAGAAGGAACCTCTATAAAGGCTCCTCTCTCAGTCTTCATCATTCTACCTTCTCCTAAAGCTCCCTGCTCTGTTTCCTTCCAGGTGAAGTCTGAAGATAACCTTCTTTGGCATCATGAAGCTGTGGGTCAGCTGTCTTGTCCTGGTTTTGGGGTCATGTCTGAGCAGCTCAGCCATGTCACCTGAGGAATGCCAACCCTTGGTCACACCTTTGTCTTTGGCCGACCCTTCACCGGTAAGTCCTCTTCTGTTCCCTGCCCCAGTCTTAGGCTCAGCATTGAGACATTTTTTCACTGATAGCTTATCCTTGGTATGAATCTTTGATGATTTCAGAGCAGCACAGATTTAATCAGTTTGAGCTTTAGCTTTGAAGAAAGAAATGAGCAGTATCTGTAATCAAAGACGAATACAGAAAACATCACATTTCAGACAAAGTATACTTTTGGGATCTGTCGTGCACCGACTCAAAACAATGGGGTTTGTGATGCAAGTGTCATGGTTATTTCAACCAGCGCCAATGCTCTGTATCTGTACTGATGGTTGTTCTTTCCCATCTGCCCAGCAGGGATTGGATGAGGTAAATGACCTCAGACATGTGGCTGCTCTTCATGGCATCATTTTAGCTCTAGTTAAAAGTACATTTTCAAAAGTTACTCTGATAATTATTGATCATTGGAGGGGTGCCCAGCTCTGGAGATGAAGAATAACTGCATCCTTCATTTCATTGAGCATTTTGCTGCTTTGTCATTGCTGCTGATGGTTATGCCATTTCTTATCACATCTTCTGCTTCTGTGGGCCTCCTTAGCTCATGCTCAGATGAAGTAGATGACTTATACGTGGACCAGAGTTTCTGATAGTCCCTCCAAGACTTTTGTCTGACAAAGAGTGTCCGATTATTTGTTCACATGACTGCTTGACTAATGAATAAACTCCTGAAATCAAACAATGATCCATCTGTTGGTGTGCATGGGAACACGGTTTGTTCATTTGACGTGTTTTTTGTGTGTGTGCAGATGTTTGGCAAAATGCACTTCCTCATGGGTTTTGTTGAAAACGAAGTGTTTAACGCCATCTTGAAGGTAACCGACAGCTCCTGGGTGAACATCTCTCAGTCATCCGCATCGCCCAATGAACTTCTTATGACTGAAGGGAACAAGTTGTGAGTATGTGCAGGAGAAACCCTCATACAGGACATTCTTCAAAAACAGGAAGTCAAGAAATAAGACCAGAATGTCAGATTTCAGTCAGGATGAGGCCCTCTTGGCTTGTCATCCATTAAACAGGAAGTTACTACTTCTCTTTCATACAGAGTTCAGTCTGTTTGATATTTCATATACAGGATCGAGATCCGCGCCTGAACACATCAATATACTCATTTGTAAACTAGTCAGAGCGGCACCCTGTGGAAGAACATGGTACCAAATTTTACAGGAATGATGATGGTCCTGACCTAAACTTATCTCCTGACCTAAATTTATTTTTTTAATAAGTTTAGGTCAGGACCATCGTTGCGCTATCATAGTGAGAGCACCACCTGCTGGTTACACTGATTTTTACACCCACAAGCAAATCCCAACTTTTCACTAATTGTTTCACTAATGCACTTTCATGACTTTGCATTACCAAAGACTTCGTCAAAGTCATAGCCCCACCTACTGGTCAAACACAGGGCACACACAGTTCTATGTTTTTTAAATCACACATGTATGCTGACAGTCCAGCCTGCGCACAACTAAATCTGACTTAAGCAGAGACCACCAACAGAGGCACAGTTGCTTCTGGCCCATTCTTAACTACTTGCAGCTTTAATGTCTTTTTTTCTTACTTATATTTGTACAAGCAGATGTAACATGATTATTCAAAGAAACAAACATTTTGACTCGGTTATAGTCTCAAAAACTGCTGAACACACAATAATTTTCAGTTACCAGCTGCTCCTTTTTTAGCTACACAATCATCCTGTAACACTTGTTCCTTAATCTGACCATGCAATAACTGCACTCATTGTCTCTTTTCTTGATTAATTCCAGAAATGGAACGTGCATATCCTCAAAATTCACCATGACTCTTGAGGAAGACATGGCCAAAATCAAAAGTAAGTGACGTGATCTGATAGGAAACTGGATCCTCTAAATGTTTCTGTAGGTCTGTTCGGGAGCCAATGAAGGGACGATCCAATCAACCAAGAGTCCATGATCCAAAGTAGGGGAGAGGGGTCATTATTTAAACATTTTGATCCCTAAATTAAATAGTCCACAGTAAACTTCAGAGGGCCAGGCCATGCATTTACGTGGACAGCTGTGATTGACAGCTAACCTTTTAGCCCCTTTACAGAGGGCTTTGGGCAGTTATGTACTGTACCTTTTAAGGGGGTTTCAGTCCAGCCTTGTGCTGTGCTTGATCAGTTTCATCAGTCTAACCCCAACTAGAGGGGGACAATGACTTTGGATCAGCATGGCGACAAAACAGACACTGCTTTTTCTTCTTTGTTGGTTTTTTAGATGGTGGCATTCAATTTAGATCAGTAGAAATTAAACAAGAGACAAGATAGATAAAATAAATCGCAGTTATGACAGAAAGGTTCATTCGCAACTTTGACATATGTAAAAAAAAAAAGTTCAGACTTGAGGGAAGCAGAGTGTAATGGCTGGGTCCTTGATAGTCAGAGATTTATTCCCCGTTTTTTGTCCTGATGGTCAAATAAGTAATCATGTATCTGACATCAGTGCAGCATACATATTCTGAAAGCCAAATAAACTTGATTGTAGTAAGACGGGTTAAGGTGTAACATGGGTTATCACACATTTTTACCAATAAACAGGTTGAGATGTGTCTTTTTCTTTAATTTTAAGAAGGCGAGCGGCTGTTTGACATTTTAATTTTGTTTCCACTCTAAGCGGCCAACCTCAGCTGCACCTTTTACTCTCTGCCATCCTGTGAGGGCTGTCTGGCCCTCAACATGAACAGCAGCGTTGTCGGCTTGAAGGACTTACTTGACATGATGAAAATCGAGAGCCCCACAGAAGCGGATGAAGTCCACACTCATGCTTTTTACCTGTTGGGTAAGAAGAGATCAAGAGAGGCAGATCATTAAAATCATGAAACATTTCTCTCCTTTATTCTTTTGTTTTCTTGTTCGTTTCCAGCCAGAAACACAACTGTGGATGCCTCAGACCTGGAACATTTTAAGAAGCAGGCAGAGTGTCTTGGTTTCAAGGGAGAACCAAACTACCAGTTTGACCCCAAGAACGGTTCGTCATCTTAACCCCTGTCCTCCTCTGAAAGAACTAAACAGAGCTGTGTAATTTCAGACAGATCTGAACTCTCTCTCTCTCCTTTTTCTGCAGATTTTTGTGAAGAAGGTGAAGGAATATTCGTCGCATACTAAGGAACAAACTTCCCTAACTCATATTTCAAACTTCTGGAAGTAAAGCAACTAAATGTGACTGAAACATGACATGTGTGGGGCTTTTTTTCAAACACCCAGACTCAGTTTCTATCTGCTGTTGGGACTTTATAAAAAGAATAAATAAAAAAATCTCAAACAACATGAAGTATGAAGCACATCCTCTGTCATCCCACAGAGTGAGGCTGTTCAAAATATGGGGTGGATCGGTCACTGCTCCAATCAAATTAAATTAAACGCTCCTTCAGAAAATGAGGGAACTTGATAGAGTGAAAGTGTAAGGTTTTCTGCTGCCACTAGGGGGCACTGTGATCAGGATCAAATATTTCTGTATGAAGGTCTTCAGGCCCAGGTGAGTTTGGGCCCAAAAAATACTAGTTTTGTTTCATGGCTTTGAGAGTGTGCTACTGCCACACCAAGATGGGAGCCCTCACTTCTATTGAATTTCCCTTCGGAGATCTATAAAGTTCTTCTTATCTCAGATATCTCAAAAAGGAACATTTGATGGTCAGATCAAAAAAATCACAGCTTGGATTTAAAGTTTGGGTGCAAGGGGATTATTTAAAGGTCTTGATGTGACAAATTTGCATAAACTCAAACATGGAGCTTAAATAACATTTATCAGTGTTACTCAAATACAGAGGAAATGTCCTTACACAAGGCCTCAGACACTCAAAGGTGACACAGTTAAAAACACGAGTTCAAACCCTTTCTGTGTTATCTAACACACTTTTAAAGAGTGTTTGAGCTCTTTCTCTGAGTTATGCTGTTTATGATACCAAGACAACTTATAATTACCTCCGCCAAGGAGGTCATGTTTTTGGTAGCGTTGGTTTGTTTGTTTGTCTGTTCGTCTGTTAGCAACTTGACAGAGAAAGTAACAGACGGATTGACCTGAAATTTTCACCAGAGGTGCGTCTCAGCCTCAGAAAGATCCCATTACATTTTGGTGGTGATCCGGATCGCCTTCTGGATCCAGGAAATTTTTTGAAGGATTCTTTATCATTGTGAGATAGGGCAAATTTTGGAATTTTTGCATTTAACTCCATAAAAATGTCCAGAGTCTTTAGTAAAAAATTACACAAAAGGATCTCATTGAGTTTTATCAGGTGTCAAAGGTTGATCCTGATCCAGACAAAATTCTGGATACTGTGATCCAGAACACACAAAAATAAGGGTGTCGTTGGAATTTCCAATGCTGAAAGATAACCAATGAAGATACAAGGAAGTGTACACTTACAAATATTCCATAATAAATCATGCATTTATGTATCTAATATGAGTTGTTAATAAAAGACACGTAACAGTAAAAGTTTTGGTGTGAATAACAATATAAGGGGGGACATGAGCTGCTTGGTGGAGGTCTGCGCTCTCCGAGTGCTTTTCTAGTATTCTAACTGAAACACAAGTGAAGCTGCTCTTCAGAAATAATATTCTGCTCTGTGTTTTTGCTATAAGTTATTTAAAAAATACATGTTTTCTCTAGAACTTTGTCATAGTAATTCCTTTGAGGAAAATTTCCTCTTATTGAGGATCAGAATCATCACAGTACCTTACATCACTGGGTTTGTGTTGTTACATTGACCGTAATGTTATTTTTCCAAAGTTTCCAAATCGATATCCTTTTGGTGATAAATAAAGTTTTCGTATTCTAAGTTCTGGTTTGATAAGGTAAAAAGCCAAATGGAATGATATTCTTAGTTTATTCTTTGTGGTATTCAGGTTTGGGGGGCGGGTCCGTACTCAAACTATTTAATATCGAACTGAAATTCAACAAAATAAAAAAGCAAAACTGATGAGAAGGTCAAAACTCTCATGACCTTGCTTTAGACTGTACGATGCCTCTGCAGTGAAGGACTGCCTGGCACCATGCTGACCATGTTGATGCACACCTTAGAGCCCCAATGACAGATCAGCATAGTGGTCGCACTGTTCCTCAGGGGGCAATAACTGGTCTGAACAGAGAGACATGAATCACATCTTCTTCGTCACACTAACCGACTTTTTCTGAGAAAACTATGAGTCCTGATGTCCCTGAGGAAACTAACTTTCAGATTTAATAAAATTCTTCAAATCAAAAAGTTGCTTTAAAGCAATTGAATTCAAATTAAGTGACTCCATGTTGATATTTTTATACTGTCTTATTTTCCCCAGAGCATTATGGGAACTTTAGCATTTGAATCTTTAAATGAGGTAACACCACAATACATTTGTGGTGTTACCTCCTGCAAAGCCACACTCCTGCAAAGTCTTTAAGATCTACAAGATGGCAGCTTCTTGTGGTGCCTAAGACCAGACTAAAAACCAGGGGTGTTTGTGCCTTCTCCGCAGTGGCCCCAAAACCATGAAATGGCCTGCCCTGCGTGTAAGATTGTCCCCAACATGAACAGTTTTTAAATCCCGCCTGAAAACAGATTTTTACTCCTTGGCTTTCAACCCAGCATGAGAGTTGTGTGGTCGGTCCCTGTCTGTTCTTTTATTGTATTTTTATTCTTACAGTGTTTTTATTTTATTTCACTTCATTATTATTTTAAAGTGTTTTCATGTGGTTTTATGATGATTCTTTATTTTATTCTATTTTATTCTCCAACAGAGTTTTATGTTCTGTGTGTTTTAACTTATTTTACTGCACTGTGCAACACTTTGCTAAACTTGATTGTTTTTAAAATGCGCCATATAAATAAAGCGAATTGGAATTTCACTATAAGCACAACTTAAACAATTAGAATTAAAGCTGTGAGCAGCAGTAAACAGGTCCTCACACCTTTGTGCATGTTAGGGCCTGAAGCAGCTGCAGCGACGTGTGAGATCTCTGAGGTCTAAAGATCTCCAAAGCAGGTCTTGTTTAAAGCATTGTGTAGCTATGCTATGTCTTAGATCTACAACCCTCAGTAATCTTCATGACAACATCAATACATCTGCAAAAATTAAAGGCCTATTTGGCCAAGCATAAGTGTGAGTTAGTACTGCTTTTGTCCAAAAGGTGGCGTTATTACTATGACAGTGATGTAGAAACGTCAAAACTGGGATGGTCATTAAGCCCGAAGAAAATTCCATAATGACTGTGAAATGCAGTCTTATGTGTTTCCACAGGGTGGTGCTATGACCGCAGTAGAGATACCGACACATGGATGGTGTTCAGGGCTGGACCTGGATCATGTTTATGAAAAATCACACAGATCAAACTCTGTACGAAACACTTTTACTAACTTCCTGTTTGATAACTTTCTGTCCTCTCTGTGTGTCTACATTACTGCTGTTCAATTAATAATGCTGTACATTATTGCTGTACAATCTGCTGTTCTACGCTGCAGTCTGCTGGGGAGGAAGCATCAAACACAAAGATGCAAGACGTCTTAACAAACTGGTGAAAAAGGCTGGCTCTGTGGTAGGACTCAAGCTGGACTCAGTGGAGGATGTGGTGGAGAGATGCAGCTCCTCAAATGTAATCTTTTATTAAAATTACAGTTTGATCTCACTCACATCATCTCATGCAATCTCAGCGATTGCATACAATGTGGGCTATTGAGAACATTAGCTAATAGGAACATTTACAATAAATGAGCAAGGAGGGTTGCTAAGTTTGAACATCAGTAAGCTACTTCAGTGGGTGCTGAATCTCAGACATATTTTGAATTTTAAATGACAGAAGAAATTTGGAAACCTTTCACTTGCATCTCCTCCAGTGTACCAACTGTCCTCCCCAACCTGAGTTTCTGATAAACATCAGTTTAGAGGTAATAAGTGCGATGGTGCATCAATAAAGGTAGAAGTGAGGTTGTCCTGGACTGAGGCCGTCCCTCTATGAACTGTATCTTTGCTGTATTTGTGTACCATGGGCAACTCGGGACAAGTCAACAAATCTGTAAATGTTTGATGCACACACCAAACAGTGTCCTCAGAAGTCTGATAAAAGCCAGCCCTTGAGTCTGGGGCAGCGGTTATCGCATATGCCCCCTGTGCCATAACCACTTAGTCTAGCAGCTACAACCCTGTACTCTCCTTTCAGGCACTGAATCAATAAGGGCAAAGTCACCAGGAATACATAATCACAATGACATGTAATCCTTTACATGGTTGGGCATGTTTGGACTGATGTGTGGCTTGAAAAACTGAGAGCAACACATAAAACCTCCAGGCGAACAGCTTTAAGAGGTCGGAGACAATACTAACATGAATACAATGAGAACACAAAAACACAGTGATAATAACAGAGTGTGTGTGAGCATCGCCACAGTACTGCTCTGATTTCACTGTGGTTTGAATTTCTAGAAAATACAGTTTCTAAAATCAGAAGTGCACGTCTTAAATCAACAGAAGAATCTGAGTTGTTGCAGTCTCTACCAACCTAAAGGGAGTTATCAGGAAGTCTAACCCGTGTCTGGGTTAGCAGAAAGAGTGTGACGTCAGTCCCGTGTCTCTGCGTCCAGGTTACTTCTGTGTACGCCTCAGGCTGCCAATGTTATCAGTCAGCGTCTATGGCGACCGTCTTTTGGCTTCGCACGTAAATTGGGTGAAATGAAGATGTACTGTTCAATACAGGAAACATAAAGGAAATATATCATGTCTGTTCTGATTAAAGTGTCTGCAGCATCTCAACAATATCATGAATCAAAGCCATTATAACCCAAACATCACACTACTGTCAAAGATAATTTTGTTGTAGGTTCTTTATGGCATCGGGATCAGGAAGTTCTTACACTAAGAGTTTTACCTCGAATTTAGTAGTTGCGTGACAGGTCTGGAGGATGGTGAGACTTTAGACTGGATCCCGTCCTGTGGTTGTTGTGACTAGTTTTGTGAATTCGTAAGAAGTCACGGTCAAGTCAACAAATCTGTAAATGTTTGATGTAAAAACCCAGACTATCCTCAAAAGTCCTCGAAGCACCAGGAACTTTCTTTGGCCCGCTGCAGGACAAGGCAGGAGTGACAGTACTTAATATTTAATATGATGTTCAAAAAGTTGCTTTACTTGGAAGTGCGCAGCTCTTTTAAACGCTTTAAATCTCCTGCTGATGCTCTGTGTGATTAAAGCCTCCAGCATTAAGCTCACCACCTGTACCTCCACGGGTCTTCAGTCTCCTGTTGATGGGACTTTTGCCTGCAAACTTTTAGGTTAGCCCTGCTCTGCTTCACAGCTGGTTTTTTCACATAAACCATTGGAAGCAGCTGGCAGCCTTCTGAAAAGTTCTGGTTGTCCTCTGTTTTACAGCGTTAGAACTCAGTTTGAGCTTTAGCAGACGACTGAGTGATAAGTATGTGTCAGATATAAAGACGGTCAGCAGTAACCCACAACAATGCCTGTTATTACCAGCTGATCTGCTCAGATCTGAAAAGGTGTGCTAAAATAACTATGAGCCAGAAAAGCTGATGCACTACTTATGTGCGGCTTACACACATCTGCTGTGAAGAAGTGTTGTGAAGTGTTGGAAACAGGCAGTAAGCAGGTCATGTCAAACATGATCATTTCTCCATCAGAGCTCCTCGACTTTGGAACGACCTGCCAGAGGAGATAAGGCGTGCAGAGACAGTCGCTTCTTTTAAGTCAATTTTAAAAACTCACTTTTACAGACTTGCCTTTATGTGATGCCATCTTTCATCTTTTATTGCCTTTTACCGTTTTTATTTTTCTCCTTTTTCTTTTACCTCTTTCACCTCTTTCTTATTTAGACTTACTGCCTTTTTAGCCTTTGTTTTACTTATAATCTTTTTATTGATTTTAATGTTTTCATTTTCCTTTATTTTATATATATATATTTAATTCCACTTTATCATTTATATTACCATCATTTTATTTTATTATGATTTTATTATTATTATTAATATCCTCTTTCATACTTACTAGCCTGTTTTCTTCCCTCCTTTTCTATTTCTTTTTTTTTTGCTTTTATTTTGGTCCTCATGGTCCCATTTATTTTGTAGGGTTCTTGTATTGCCTGGGTTTCTTACGAAAAGTGAAACAGGCCTACAATTCAGAGGCCTGTTTTTAACTGAGCTTTTGTTTTTATGTGTTTTTATTTTCAATGTGCTGATGCTCTGTGCTTACAACTGTTGTCTAAGCACTTTGTAAACTTCTGTTTTTAAAGGTGCTATATAAATAAAATTATTATTATTATTATTATTATTATTATTCCTCGTCGAATCAAAAGCTGTTTGTCCCCTTTCTAAAACAGACTCACAATAAAAGAAACAGATAAACCAAAAAGGAGAACTGTTCTGTTCTTTGGAATATAAATATGAAGAAAGAAAACATGTTAATACTTTTTCACCTAGGGGTCTTCTAGCGAATGGGTTACAAGAATGTATCCTAAACTAATAAAACATCTACTGTAAGCTTTCTGTGTCTGACATGGTGATGGTGCGTGATGTGAACAAAGAAGAGTGTGAAAGAACTGAACTGGTTTGCATCTAAATCCCTTCTTTCTGCTGAGGTGGGTTGAGGTTAGATTGTTGGCTGTCCTGTTATACCCTGTTCAATACCAATATTTGTGTATCCTCAGTAGCCAAGGACAAGTTGATAAATCTATCAATATTTGATGTACGAACCAAAGCGTGTCCTTAGGAATCCTACAAACTCAGGATACCTCTGGACCAACAATGAAACATGATTGGGCTGAGAAATCCACTAACCCCCCATGGGATAAAAAGAAATGTATTTATGTATGTATGTTAAGTTTCGGAAAAGCCAGAACAATTGGCAGAATGCCATGAGCAGCTACTATAAAAGCTAAACAACTCAGAGAAACTTGGTTATTCACTTTTCTCTGACTAAAGTTCCTAGCTCTGCGTGATCTTCCATTTGTACTCTGAAGTTAGCTATTGTAGCGTCATGAATCTGTGGTTCAGCAGTCTTTCCTGTTGGTGGGGTTAGTCTTGAATAGCTCGGCTCTGACACATGAAGACTGCAAACCCTGGGTGACACCTAAACCTACTTTCACTCCGGTAAGCTCCTGGCCTGAGTCTTAGCTTTAGCACCAACTTTCTGAGCAGTGTACAGTTGTCTGAGTTCCTCTTGACTTCGTTTTTTTCTGTTTTGGGGCATTAGATTCTGTTTTGCCCTGCTGACCCCTCAGTGATAAATGTTTTATACATTTTGGGAGACTCAGGACCTGATTCACAAAGATTCAACATCATAAGAATATACCAACAAACTGCACATTTGGTTGTTGATCATTCAGCTTGCACATTAGATTGCAGGTGATATCAAGTATAAATTATTTTACTTGAGCAAAACTTGAGCAGAGCCCAAAGATGATTAAAAATGTCAAGAATGGTACAAAAATAAATGTGGTTACTCATTGCTGGGATGTGAGAGGCCGAAAATGAATTTAGGGATACGTCCTGTGTAAAACTGAAGCCTTTAGATGGAAGCTCTTCTGTTCCTGTGTGGTGAGCCTGGAGTTAAGTTTTGCTTATTCTTTAATCAGCCACCAATCTATTGACCTGACTGTTCTCAAGCTTATAGAGCTAAATAAAGCTTTTGTAGACTTAGTCAAGCTGTTAGTTCAAGCTGTTAAATCCTAATGAAGTTCAGTCTGAGACTCAACATAAATCACAGACTGTCAAAGGATCTCAAGTTAGATCCTAAGTTTGATATTTAGTTACACCGAAAGTTTTTGACACTTCAACAACAGGAAGTTCTCCCAGTCAGGCAAAATGGGATTTTTAATATTTTGTGCTTTTGGTTTGTTGATACCAAAGATTAAATTCCAGATTAATATAATCTGGATGAATGATCAAAATTCAGCATGGAACTCTGAGTTTATCTGTTTGTCACTTTTTTGTGCTTGTCTGCAGGAGGTGGATCTTCATTATGGGTCACACAGATAATCCAGATTCTGAAGCCAAATTCAGATCAGCCAGGAGCCAGCGGACTGAGGACACTAACAAACTGATCAAGGATACAGCACTCAGGCGGTGAGTATTTACTGGAACAGCATTAGCCATGTGAATGTAAAACATAACTTAATCAAAGACCGAGAGAAAATCCCCTTTTACCCTGTAAGATCATAGACTGTATATACTATGGACAACTTGGTTCCGCCTACCGCCTGTATACAGATTTGAAGCCAAATAGCTCTTTGTATTTCCGGGATTTTTCTTCATTTCCTGAAACCAGAGCTGCGCAGTAGCGATGCGTGCATTCAGCCATGCAGTCGCAGAGAGTCACTGTGATGCTGCTCGGCTCAAACAGCTTCTCCCCTGGGAGAGCGACGCAATCCCTGAATGCCCACAGGCTGTACCAGGTGTCAATCATAGCAAACATGAACCCCCTAATAACTTTTAAAAACGGAGCTTCACAGAAAAAAAAGGACTTGAGCACAAACCAGTCTTACAATAACTACATGTCAACATCACAAGCAGGGGGGAGAAAAAATTATGTTCTGTTCAATAAATTTCTAAAGTTTGTCTACAGTCCCATAAGCTTTGCTGGTGGAGGCTGGATTGATGATCTATACTGCAGCCCATCACCAGAGGGTGCTGTTCTCAGAGTGGCTTCACTCAGCAAGAAGGCAGACTCTGTCCATTCTATAAACAGTCTATGTGTAAGACCCAGAAAACAGAACGGAAACTTCTTCAGCCTCACCGAGTTCACAATCATTCTGTCCAGATTTACTATTTGCAGACAACACTCACGTTTAACCTTCTTCATAGTAAATCCCTGATTCAAACAGCCTGTAATTAACCACCAGCCTACATCATCTTTGAAACCAAACACTGGTCAGCAGAGAAATGGTAATTTTAAACCTCCAAATGAAATCCAACATTTCCAGACTGGGGCTGAAGCTTCAGGTAACAGCTTCAGTCAGAAGGAAAGATAAGATAAACCTTTATATATCCCACTTTGGAGAAGTCTGCATTGTGAACAGCAGCAAAGGATCATCTAGGCAAACAGAAATGTGATAAAACAGTAGATTTAGAAAAATACAGTGTAATTTAAACACATGACAACAAAGGTGTCATCTAAGAATTTGTGAAAGAGTTTGTGGGGACCTATATTTGCCATTTAGAGAAGTAGCTACCTTGTGTTGCAAAATTATGTAAAAGACAAAAGTAAGATGTGAAAAATCCTCATGGGTGGCCAAGAACTATGCGCAGGCCTGCCAATAGGTGCGGACATTTCAACTAGTTCTCCTGGGTCCTTGGTCAGGGGGGACCAGAACTGGGACTCCTGACTGTTGAAAGATATCCAATAATAATTTTCACGAGTTTGCTTTTTTTTTAAATACAGAATGTGTTTTTAGTCACAGATCATTGTTTGCCTAAATTTTATAATTTTCCTTGAATTAGAGGTCACAAACATCATGCTCCCATTTAACCTCCCTATGCACAAATGGTGCAGTCCTTATGTAAATGATCGGCCAATATCAGGGATGCAAAATAACAGGTAGGAAGTAGACAAGACAGAGGTCTGTGGGTGTCCATGAACATCTTTTAAAGTCATGAAATAAGAAATGAAGTAGAAAGTGACCAATGAAGGGCAGACGGTTAAACACATGGCACAGTCCAATCAGATTTGATGTCTGTCCGCTTGTATAAAACCACAAGTCCTCAATGTCTATAGAGGACTGTTGCTCAGGAGATGATTCGGATGAGTGAGGGCAGGATGGGAGGAAGGAAGGATGGCAGGAAGGGCAGAGAGAGAGAGAGAGAGAGAGAGAGAGAGAGAGAGATGGAGGAGACGTCACATTCGATTCAGAGTCAGCGCCACAGGGATCAAAGACTTGGCATGGTACACAACCTGAAGGCCTATCTTTATAAAATTACATTTTTTAAAACATATTTTTACATTTATAAGAATGAAAAAAATATATTTGAACCCTTGAGAGTTCAAATAGTCCGTGTCTATCCCAGACACAGACAAACCTGTCAGCTAGCCTGACCATAACGTACAAAGATTAACCAAACACTTGAAGTTCAAGGTCAACATCAGCTCCTTAACTGTGGGTGAACTTTCACAACTTCTTCAGTGCATGTGTGTTTATAATCTGTCATCTCAGACTAAGTGAGACCTGGTCCTTAAATCTAACTTCTCAAGGAGGACAGACGGGGTAGAAGATTTTGAGGTAGAATTTAATAATTCTAACTCCTCTAATGTAATTTAATGTGTTTCCTGGTGCACTAGGAATGCAGTGGGGGTTGTTACTATTTATTATATAGGAGGGTGATCTAGAGGTTTACTTGAGCTTTTTTGCGTCACTGTGCACTTTACTATATTGTTATTGCTTCTGTTGTCCTGTGCTGTATTGTATTGTACTGTTTGTACTGTATTTTATGTATGCTGCCTACCCATATGTCCAAGACAAATTTCTCCTTTGGGAGACAGAATAAATTAACCCTCAACCCTCATCTTACACGTCATCTAAATGTGTCTTCTACAGAGTGTCTGCTGCCTTCAATTTGTAGGGATGCTGACATTCAGAGACTCCTGCACAAGGTCACATCAGTGGGTCTAAACAAGCCAAAGTGTATGAGGATGTTGAAGTTCAATAAGTGACTGGAAAGTCCCCTAGGAGAGTAAGTGGATGCTTGACAACTCAAGAACAGTTTGATGCAGTACTTTAAGAACCACTTTTACAACTTTTATAAAGTGTTTTCAGTCAACAGTCCCATATATCTCACTCTGTGGTTTCCAGCTAGGACTGAAGAAAATGGTGATTGATTTGGATCTGAAAGTGTCTGTCTGCTTTAGGTGATAATGCTGTCTTGAGAGATGTTTTTTTCCTCTCTGTTTTTACCACAGAGTCTGGGCCATCCTCGAGGGCTGTCTACTCTACCACACCACTGACTTTACCAACCACAACTAGGTTACAGCCAACCACCATGCTGTCAAGGAAAGCTCAAAGACTACCAAACAACAATCTTCTCTTTCTTCTTCTTTTTAAATTTAATATAATCATGATCAATTTTGCTTTTCAGCTTCAATGTCCATTATCTGCAATGAAGACCTGGAGTGAGCCAAGAAGCAGGCCAGCTATGACCCCAAAAGCAGTACATTACCTTATAATTTTTCAGATTTAAGAGCAAAATGGATGTTGAGATGTCTTTACAGATGGATTCTATTCTCTTTTCTTTGCAGCTTTCTGTCATGATAAATTTTTCTGAATTAAAGAAACAAAAAGTGACTCAAACATTAAACGTGAGGGCAGCATTTTCTTTTTCAAGTAAAATCATTGTGGATGGTGGTGGTGTGGGTTCCAATGGGATGAGGTTAAGGACGGTGCTTATGTTGGAGGTGCATGCAGGCGTTGTGACAGGAAGTTAGTCTTTCATACAGTTGTGATGAAATACCTCTTGATTGAATTTAATATCATAGTGTAATAACATTTAAACTATGACACCATGGGGCTCTATTTTTGTGCCTCGCCACAGACGTGTAAGTCAGGTCCACCGTGCCGACAAGGCGTTCCCAAGCACAATTTGGTATTTTGGTGAGCGGCGCAGCCCGGCGTAAGTATCCCCCCTCCCTAAATCAGCTCCTTCCAGCGGCGTAAGTCGTAGCAAGGGAGGAGAGAGGGCGTGGAGTGGGTTTAACACAGCCGAGACCTGTATTGACCAATAACATCAGCTCCTCTCCTTGCCTTTAAATCCGCCACCGGCGAGGCGAATTACTATTTTCGTGAAGTAGTCAAAGAGATCAAGAGATGTCTGAGGACAGTAATGCCACATGATGGCGACAGATTGGCAGCCCCTCAACAAGTGTCACTGTAAACGCTGCAGAGGGCATCCTGCACACTCTCTCATATAAGCACAGATGGAGTTGGTGTGTGTAATGTTGGACCCACTGGTAAGACAAACACCCTTTTCCACAAATAAAGACACTCACATAAAGTTGCATATACTCAAACCTCACGTGACAAAGGTGGGTTGTGCGCAGAGATCACAACATAAATTCCAATAATGGCATTAAAATCTGAACCATCTGTGCGTAAATGACGCATCGCGCTCCGTGGCCGGGCTCTTTCTTTCATAGATGTTAGCATATATAATAAATTTGGCTCACAAAACTGAATATTATAATATTTGTATGTAGGCTTAAAGTAAATAACTCATCTGATCATTGAAACAAATCATCTGTTCAGCCGCTGCAGCAGGACGGGGAGAGGACACGGAAACATGTCCAGGCCGAGCTGCGCGAGAAATAAGAGGAAGAGGAAGATAGAAATATGGGGGAGACGAATGAAACATCTTGTTAACTTCATCATGTGTGTCTATTTAAAAGATATTTAATTTTATTTAACACGGTTTCAGCTGTGTTGATTCGGTCAGGTTGTGTGTCCAAAGAGCAGGTTAACGTATCATTTTTACGGCATGGCGATGTTATGTGAAGTAGCTTTAGAAAAGCTTTAAATTGTCTCACAAATCCTCCCTTCTCCTTGACCGACACTACACGATTATCTGAGTAATTAGTTCCCCCAGAATCAGGGGACATAAAGTTATTAAACCAAAGACATTACTGAGACAGCTGCCCTGAGACCTGGTCCCAGAAAAGCAGAAGAAAGTATGTGAGTTGATGGATGGATGGATGGATGGATGGATGGATGGAAGGGCACAGTCTGTTCATACTATGTGGTCAGTCCAGGATGTAGTGTTCTTGGCAGAGACACAGAAGGTGTCTCCAAGGTACTGATTCGCTCTCTTACATTGGCCATTAGTACACAGGTAGAAGCTGGAGCTCATACCCACAAGGGCTCCTAATGCTTGGCAGAGGGCGTGCCACACCTGTGGCAAATCAGGGAATCAAACCTAAATTGATGTTAGTAGAAATGCCATGGAGCCTAAATACCTCTTGAACTATAATACCTGCTGTCCCCACAGCAGAGAGGGGTTTAGGCATAGGTATGAGATGCCAAGGCTTTGGAAATCGATCAGCTGTGGTAAATGGGATGGTGATAACTTTGGATGGGGGTGGCTGAGTCTAAGTCCAGAGCTATGTGAAACTAAGGGACTCGATACATATAGAGAGGGTGAAGGAGACCAGTAGAGGAAGCATTGGCAGTATGGACTTGGTGTCTGCATCCACAGTTGGCCATCAGAAGCGTCTCTTGGGAGGGTGAGGGTCTATCTAAATCAAATCAAATCAAATCAAATTTTATTTATATAGCGCCAATTCACAACAGTCGTCATCTCAAGACGCTTTTCAAAGAACAAGAGCAGGCCTAGACCACGCTCATTGTTTGATGATCAAGAACCAACCTAAGATGGGTTTTGGCCCATTTCATCTGACATGAGTAGCAGTGGCAAGAAAAAACTTCCTTTTAACAGGCAGAAACCTTGAGCAGGACAGCTAAAATAGGCTCCTGCCCCCCCTTCAACCCCAAACGGTAAGTGGTTAAGATCATGGATTAGGGCTTCGATAGTCTTGTACCTACAACAGGCTTATGTTTGTGAGTTAAATGTTTAAGCTTGTACAAACAGTATTTGTGTGATATTTTATGTCAAATGTTTTTCATAGAGAGTCAGTTTCTTTGTCTTAGCAGTTGATTGTTTGACTCTTGGCCTCAACCTATTTGCTGCATGTCTTCCATGCTCTCTCTTCAGCTGTCCTTTCTAATAAAGGTAAAAATTCCAGAAAAATATAACTTGAAAAGATAATGGATGGAGGGATGAATGGATGAAGTTAGATTAGCACCAGAATCTACAAAGGCCAAAAACGACAACTAAAGTCCAATATACTGTAACTTTCAAACTATTTACACGGGGAAGGATAGAAAATGATCTGACCATACTCCTGTACTCCCACTTCGACTGGTGAGCACCTTTTTAGGCCTGTCAGAAAAATCAGCAAGAAAATGGACCAGTATTGTCACAAAATGTGGCAAATGTGGTTTACCTGGTGTGTAGACTCACTCACATGCCTCTCAGTGCAATGATTTAATCAATGAAATCACAAACCACTATTTCAGCTGCTTTTATGCACTTTTCATAAATGAATTCATCTTTTTTAAGATGTTAATCTGTCTCACTTTACCTGCATTCTAGGAAAACTTGAGATTTCACACAGTAATAACAAAACAGTCTGCAGCCACAGACATCTGTATCATCAGATTTGTTTGATTATTTTGCCATGTTACATATTTTTATAGTGTTTTTACAACAACTCAATTACTAATGTCCTTGTTATTAAGGCGAGCTTCTTGATTGTTGCAGATATCTGGTGATTCCTTTAGGACCATTGCCATCAGCCTACTGTTTGAATTCATGGCTGTGCCCTCCACTGAACGCCTTGTCGGGGTGACGGACTAGACTTACGCTGCGGCCATGTCTCCGGCAAAGCACGAAAATAGAAAATAGAAAATAGAGCCCTATGAGTCAGGAATGGTTCAGATGAACTTAACATTAATTCATTCGTTTGCACTTAAGCTGTAAAGCAGCATTTCTGTCTATGCTTAGGTGTGAGGTTTGAATGATAGAAAGCCCCATGATGAACTGTTTAGTCTCTGTATTTGTGAATCCTCAGCAGCCAAGAACCAGCCAACACAATGTCAATATTTGATGAACAACTAAACAGTCTCAACACAGGACATGCCTTAATGTTTTTTTCAACCTGCAAAAAGACTAATTCTGACTGAAAAATCACTGACCCAACCCCGCTCAAACAGGAAAAAAAAAGACAACCCTTTGTACCTTCACAGTCCAAGAAGACAAAACACTTGGAGCTGTGCCACCATCAGCTTCTATAAAAGCTGAGCGGGTCTGTGAGGCTTCATCAGTCAGCTTTCTCTGCGAAAAGCTTCTAACTCTGTTTTCCTACAGCTCTACTTTGAAGAAAACCACATTCAGCATCATGAATCTGTGGATCAGCGGTCTACTCCTGCTGGCGGGGTTTGTCCTGAACAGTTCTGCTCTCTCCTATGAAGAATGCAGACCCCTGATCACGCCTCACTCTAAATGGACACCGGTAAGCCCTTCTCTGCTGCTTTTTCTGGGTCTTGGTACTGATATTGACAATCTCAGGTCATTTGATCGCCCCTTATCCTAAGGGTGTCATATCGTCAGAGAAAGGTTTGATTTTTGCATCTTTTCTCATTGACCAATTGGCTACCAATCCGAGGTGCTGATGACATTCATCTTTAACTTTAATCTGTCAATTCAGAGCATCAGGTCAATGATCCAGTTCAAACACAGTACAAGTCAGATCTCTTTGATACCAAAGGTTAGGTACCAATTATGAATATAAAAGATTTTCAATCTGAATTAATAACCAAAGCTCAGCATTCTGCTCTTCTTAAACCAATGAAATATAATTGTCAACTTCACTGTTCTCTGTTTGTCTGCAGATGTTCGGGAGGTGGACTTTCACAATGGGTTATACTGATAATCCAGTGTTTCAAGCCATGTTCAGGTCATGCAAAAGCCAGTGGATTGACTTTCATCCATCAGATTCCGGCAACTCTAATGAAGTTATTGAGGAGGTGGGACAAAGTCAGTAAGTATCTGATTTATTTATTTTTATTGTGTGTGTTTGTGTGTGTGTGTGTGTGTGTGTGTGTGTGTGTGTGTGTGTACATATATTTTTTAATCATTTATATATATATTTTTTTACTTGTCTTCTGGTTGCCTTAAAACTTAAACGATTCTGGGATTTGATTGAATTGAATGATTTTCTGTTTATGTAAAGCACTTTTTGCTACATCTTTGTATGAAAGGTGCTGTACAAATAAAGTCTGAGAGACTTATTTATTTATTTATTTATTTTATTATATATATTTTTATTTTTATTTTTTTTTTTTTTTTTTGGGGGGGTATGCATTTTTTCAGACTCTATTCTTCCTCTCTGACTCCTCTTAAATATCTTTACATGATTTTCAGATAAAAAAAAAAATCAGCCTCACTCTGGTGAATCAAAATATCATTATTTTCAGCCTTCATCTCAAGCACTTCATTTGAGCTGATGTCTCTTGACTTATACTTGTACTGATTTCCTCCTGAGATGAATATAGTATTCTGATTCTGATTTTGTTTCTCTTTTTTTCAGCCCAGAACAGGGTGTTTGCAAGAATTACGTTTCCAAGTTGATCATTATGAACAACCTGATGATAGGCTCAAGTAAGTCACTTGATCCTATATGATGCTTGAGTCTATTCATACAACATCCATTAGTAAATGAAGGACCCTGTTTTACTGTGTGGTTGAGTACTAACCTCTGCATTTGAATAAGAGTCGAGACATAATTGAACCTGAAGAAAATGTTGGACCCTTGCTCTTGATTTGGGTCTTAGAGCGAGCTTTCTGCCTCGAGTGATAATGCTGACTTGATTTATGATTTTTCCAATTTCTTTTATCCTCAGAGTTCAACTTCACCTGCACCTACCACTCTATACCAACTATTAAGGGCTGTGTGCTTTACCATGTCACCGCTTTGAACAACAACAACCTGGTCACAGCCGACAACCCCACAGTAAAGGAGGAGACAAGAGGCTATAAAACCTTCTACCTGTTGTGTAAGTAAAACAACTCTGGGCTGAAACACTTTATATAAATCTGGGACATTTTTTTAAAGTCAGTTTCATTACAACTTTGTTTCTGTCCAGGCACCAAGCAGACTATCTCTGACAAAGACCAGGAGTATGTCAAGAAGCAAGCTGAATGTCTTGGTTTCACAGGAGACCCTCAATTTATGTATGACCCCAAATACCGTAAGTGACCCTTAAACTCCTCTGATTGAACAGTGAAATGGAGATATTTCTTTCATGTGAAAATTAATTTTCTCTATTTTCTTTGCAGCTTTCTGTTATGAAGCCCACCCATAACTGAAGTCAAAATCAAGCTTCCTTGACAAATTTTCCAAATGGAAATATTTGAATTCAGGAAATAAAAAGTAACACAAACATGAAATGTGTGTACAGTATTTTTTTGAATCCAGCTAAGTTACAAATGATGGGAAGGGAGGGGTGTGAGGTTAAGGGTCATGCATGAGTTGAAGGGGCCAAATGCATGTAGTAATATCAGTAGGTTCAAGAAATACACAAATAGAGTTGAACAAGAATTTTGAAAAGCCTTGTTTCTTGGAGATGGTCCCTTGTAGATATGGAGGTCTGAAATCAGCAGCATTCTTCAAATAAACAGATGGGTTTAAATGAGGATTAAATCAAAGATTAACTTACCATATAAATGTGGTCAATATACCAGTTGCATCAACATATCAACAGTATTAAAGCTAGACAGTTAATTCTGTGTTATCAGCAGCAGGTACAATTCAAACTGATCGAGGTAAACCAGTGTTGAGCGTTGCAGTCTCAATGAATCCATGACTACATAGTTGCTGTCCCCTTAAGGGGTGGAGGAAGACTGCTGATCTACAACAGACTTAAACCATACCTACCTGAGATATTTGTTTGAGGTCCACCACAAAAAAGAGACAATGTTACTACATTTCATACATCATGACCAAAGAGAAATTAAACTGCTTAATTCATCATTCTGCAGAAGGGGGGGTTGATAAGGGGTTTGATGGCCTGGGTTCAGCATCCATCACACATGAGCTGTCCAAAGTCCAACACTGTGTTCACATTTCTGTCCTCTAAGGTCCATTTATTCATCCAAGTGCTTTCAAATGGAAGAAGTTGAAACCAATCCAATTAAACCCTTCAAACCGTCTGGAGTTTATTAATGATTTGTAAAGGGGTCAGCAGTCATGCAGCTGTGCCTGTGGGCAGTAAGAGAAGGACAGAGGTTGGACTTGGAGGAGGGGGGGGGTAAACACACACAAACAGCAGATCTGGCTCTTGCCTGCTCTGTAGATGGAGACTGAGAAGAGGATCTGAGAAAGTGAGGTCAAAGAATATCAGGGAGAGATAGACCCTTTTCCAAAGTTTGATTTCTGGATGATCTTTGACTGGGTTCATGACGTTCTTGTGGGAAAGATCATCTTCTTTCTCTGCAGCTGCATAGATTACAGTGAACCAAATGCCACCACCATTAAAGGGGAACTCAATCCTGCCTATTGCTTCCTATAAGGTCAGGAGGATCAGACCCTACAACAGCTCCTGGTGTACGCTTTTGTATTTTAAGGCGCTGACAACTGCAACTCCTTTCTGAAAGGCCTCCCTGCATCTCTCCCAGCCCCAAAAACTGTGATGGCTCATCTCCCACCACCTCTATGACGTAGACACCACTCCCGCCACAGGACCCCCCCCCCCCCCAAACCCCCCAAATCCCCCAAACAACAAGGGAGTACTGCAGCATCCTCTCCCCCAGTGTGATAAGAGCACAGGACTAACTGTGAGGAACACCTCGTTCTCAGTAAGCTCTTGCTGATTTGTTTTGGGTCCAGGCAAGGATAACTACAGTTATATCTCTTCCCAGAACAGCCTGCGGCCCGATGAGGTAATGTCATCAATCCCAGTCTTAATAAGTAATAGAAATACTAATCTGCCGAGGAACAGAAGGTACCTAACTAAGAATTCATCAAACTTAGCCTCCATCCCCCGTCAGCCCATCATGAGAAATAGTACAGATAATTTCTCTAGCACACTACATTCAGCTCTTTTAAATGTCAGATCTTTAGCTGGAAAATCATTCTTAATCAACGATTTTATCATCAAGCACAATCTCAACTTAATGTATTTAACTGAAACCTGGTTAGAACAAGATAACAGTCCAACTGTTCTTATCGAGTCAGCCCCCCCTAACTTCAGCTTTATGAGTGAAACGAGGAAGCATAGAAAAGGAGGTGGAGTAGCTATCTTATTTAAGGACTCATTGCAATGTAAACAGATGTAGTATGGGAATTTTCCTTCCTTTGAATATGTGGCCTTCCAGTTGAACTCTGCTACTAGAGCAATATTCCTTAACATCTACAGACCTCCTAAATACTGGGTGAATTTTTTTGATGACTTTACTGAATTTCTGTCTATAATCTGTATTGACTTTGAGTAGTGATAGTTGGTGATTTTAACAATCACGTTGACAACCTCAGGACAGAGGCAACCAAAGAATTGTGCTGTCTCCTTGATAACTATGGTTTGACCCAACATGTAACAGAGCCCACACACAATAGAGGTCACACTCTAGACTTCATTATTTCCAAGGGCCTGAACATACCCAAAATCATGGATACTGATGTTGCTATCTCTGATCACTCCTGTGTGTTTTTGAGAGTACTATTTCTATGCTATTCACTACTAACTACTACTAGAGGTAATCACCAAGCGGCTTATCACTGACAACACCAGTGAAATATTTAATCAGGCTTTGACTCTTCTCCCAGCTCTTTCACGGCTCTCGGTCAATGAGCTTGTAGAAGACCTTTGCTCTAGAATCACAGATGTGATGGATGCCATTGCGCCCACCAAGGTGAAAATAGTCTCTGACAAGAAAAGATCTCTATGGAGGAATGCCGCGCTGGTTAGAGCTGAAAAAAGAGAGTGTCGGAAAGCCGAATGCAGATGGCGAAAGACAAGCCTTCAGGTTCACTATCAGCTCTATAAAGAGAGACTTCGTATCTTTAACCTAGAACTGAGAAATGCTAGGCGATCCTTCTTCTCAGACATCATCACCAAAAACAAAATAATGCACACGCCTATTTACCACAGTCGACAGGCTAACAAACCGTTCAGTATCAGTAGCCTCTGAATTTCTGTCCGCCAAGGCTTGTAATGAATTTGCCTCCTTCTTCAATAACAAAATCCAGAAAATTAGACAAACAGTCAGTAGCTCAATATCCGGTACAGATTATGTGTTGTCCATGCGTACTAACCCCAGTAGCATGACACAATTAAACCCGATCAACATTAAAACCCTGGAGGACATCAAACTAAATCTGAACTCCTCCACCTGCTGCCTTGATTCTCTGCCAACAGGTTTCTTTAAAACAGTTTCTAATTGCATGGCCTCAGATCTTCTACAGATTGTCAACATGTCACTTCTGTCAGGTGTCTTTCCACAGGCCCTGAAAACTGCTGTCATAAAGCCTCTCCTAAAAAAAAGCAACCTAGACAACTCAGTAATGAACAAGTATAGGCCTATATCGAACCTCCCGTATTTAAGCAAAATCATTGACAAAGCAGCCTTCCAACAGCTTCACAACTTCTTAGTCCTGAACAACTGTCTTGACGTTTTCCAGTCAGGGTTTCAACCGCATCACAGCACTGAGACTGCTCTTATCAAAGTCTTTAACGACATCCACTTAAACTCAGACAATGGCAAAATTTCAGTCCTAGTATTGCTCGAGTATTGCAGCTGCATTGAACCACCTTTGGGGGGGCCCAGCTCGCAAAAGGTTGAGAACCCCTGGTTTAGATGAACTGAGGCAGTCCTTTGAGGAACTGTGTACTCTGTGTATCTCTGCCCACTTGTTTTTCAGCATCCAAGAAAAATCAACAATCTGTAAATGTTTGATGCCCAAAATGAACAGTATCCTTAGAAAGCATTTAAACACAACACAACCTGCAATCTCCTTTGAACCCACAGTGAGACAGGAATGACTTTAGATAGCAGTTGCACTTAAGTACATCATTTACACGCTCACGTTTACATGCACAGCTTAGAGGAGCTAGGGTTATTATGCTATCAGCTTGTTTCGGTTGACTTCTATCCTTATCCCAGTGTATGACCACCAGTTGAGAACCAATTTGTCGGTCTCTTTTCGCTCTGGTAGAAGGTGATTTACGCTCTTTTAGTTTTCTCACCATCAGGCCACCTCTTGGTTGAAGTCTCAAAACAAAAACTTAAAAGAATACTTAAGCAGCATAAACGAATCATATGTCAAACAAGAAAATCAATAACCTCCCCATATCTTTAGTTAGATGGTACCACAGGGTCGTCTTATCTTACATCAGTTCTTCTGCTCTCTATGTTTTTTTTATACCACACAGCTTCCTGTGTGATGTGCAAGTGCTGTCCAGCTTTCGAGCCAAAGCTAGACATGCAATATGTTTAACATACAACCTTCATCTGAACTGTTAGACCAGATTGCGAGGTATACACACTGAACAGAACTGGGGCTCTATTTTCATGCCCGCTGGTGACAAGGCGGAGGGTGGCAAACCCCGCGCAGTGGTATTTTTGTCTGGCGGAGCCAGGAGTACAGCCCTTTTGGTATTTTCGTAGACTGAGGCCCACAGAGGTCTGCCAAGCTGGGCGTGGTGGAAGGGGGAGGTGTCGACAGAATTAGCTGGTGCAGTGACATTTTCCTGCTCACCAGCGGCGTATAAAGTGCACTGAAATCTCGCCGATTCAAACCTGGTCAGCTTTTGGCGCAGGCGGAGCACAGCTTGTCTAGTGGTATTTTGGTAAACCGCCGGCGTATGCAACCGATGCCTCACCGGCAGGTTTCCACAGTGTCAGGCATATTTCACTGCAATAAATAATCATCAACAACTAAAAATCTGAGTCAGCACATACATTTAGATCTATATAGATATATTCTGATCTATATTTGATCTGATGAGCGTGTTTGGCACGCGTTTGGACACACAACCTGACCAAATCAACACAGCTAAAACGGCATTAACTTGAATTAAATATCTAGTAAACAGACACACACGATGAAGTGAACAACATATTTAATTCGTCTGCCCCATTTCTATCTTCCTCTTATTTCTCGCGCAGCTCGACCTGGACATCCTGCTGCAGCTGCTGCTGCGGCAGCTGAACAGATGATTTGTTTCAGTGATCAGATGAGTTATTGACTTTAAGCCTACATACGAATATTATAATATTCAGTTTTGATCATTTACGCACAGATGGTTCTGATTTTAATGCCATTATTGGAATTTATGTTGTGATCTCTGCGCACAACCCACCTTTGTCACGTGAGGTTTGAATATATGCAACTTTATGTGTGTCTTTATTTGTGGAAAAGGGTGTTTGTCTTACCAGTGGGTCCAACATTACACACACCAACTCCATCTGTGCTTATATGAGAGAGTGTAAAGGACGCCTTCTGCAGCGTTTACAGTGACACTTGTTGAGGGGCTGCCTTCTGTCGCCTACGTGTGACATTACTGTCTTCAGACATCTCTTGATCTCTTTGACTACTTCACGAAAATTGTAATATGCCTTGCCGGTGGTGGATTTAGAGGTGAGGAGAGGAGCGGTCCTTATTGGCAAAAACAGGTCTCGGCTGTGTTAAACCCACTCCATGCCCTCTCTACGACTTATGCCGCTGGGAGGAGCTGAGTCAGGGAGGGGGGAAACTTACACCGGGCTGCGCCGCTCACCAAAATACAAAAATGTGCTTGGGCATGCCTTGTCGGTGCGGCGGACCTGACTTACGCCACAATGCCGGGGAGGCACAGAAATATAGCCCCTGATCTCCAGTCTAGCTTCAGCTGAAATAACACCTAATTGGCTGAACTGCTAATGCTACTTGTGCTGTCAGCAGTGGCAGGCTGTGCAGACTTTGCTCACATTTTAATGCTTTCCGCATAAAAACTCGGGAAGTAATTCCTCAAATGATTAAACAGATCTGTTATCTTGCAGGTTTTTTGAGGGCACAGACTGCCGACATACCTTGCACATCAGCTTACGTGCTCAACGTCACTTTGGAGATACCCGAACCACTGCCACACAAACGACATTGAATAACTTTTCTTCTGAACAATGGCATTGTCAGAGGATGACTCACAGTCATGGCTGATGTCTATTTTGCTGCGCTTAGCTCCACGTTTAGCTCCATGTTCGGTTACTCTGTTTCCTTCTCCTATTTACTTTTTTTTTTTTTTTACAGGAAAAGCTCAACTCTGATTGGTTGTTGTTACACACATTTCGGCCTTGTTTGATCAAGTTAATATGCTCATGACTGTACTTTAACTTGATAACAAAACTGGGGAACACCATGGGTTAAAGGCATTGAATTATTGCCTTGATTGGGATTGTTTTCTACAGGGCAGTTAATTCATTAGTTTGCACTTAAGCTGTAAAGCAGCATTTCTGTCTATGCTTAGGTGTGAGGTTTGAATGATAGAAAGCCCCATGATGAACTGTTTAGTCTCTGTATTTGTGAATCCTCAGCAGCCAAGAACCAGCCAACACAATGTCAATATTTGATGAACAACTAAACAGTCTCAACACAGGACATGCCTTAATGTTTTTTTCAACCTGCAAAAAGACTAATTCTGACTGAAAAATCACTGACCCAACTCTGCTCAAACAGGAAAAAAAAAGACAACCCTTTGTACCTTCACAGTCCAAGAAGACAAAACACTTGGAGCTGTGCCACCATCAGCTTCTATAAAAGCTGAGCGGGTCTGTGAGGCTTCATCAGTCAGCTTTCTCTGAGAAAAGCTTCTAACTCTGTTTTCCTACAGCTCTACTTTGAAGAAAACCACATTCAGCATCATGAATCTGTGGATCAGCGGTCTACTCCTGCTGGCGGGGTTTGTCCTGAACAGTTCTGCTCTCTCCTATGAAGAATGCAGACCCCTGATCACGCCTCACGCTAAATGGACATCGGTAAGCCCTTCTCTGCTGCTTTTTCTGGGTCTTGGTACTGATATTGACAATCTCAGGTCATTTGATCGCCCCTTATCCTAAGGGTGTCATATCGTCAGAGAAAGGTTTGATTTTTGCATCTTTTCTCATTGACCAATTGGCTACCAATCCGAGGTGCTGATGACATTCATCTTTAACTTTAATCTGTCAATTCAGAGCATCAGGTCAATGATCCAGTTCAAACACAGTACAAGTCAGATCTCTTTGATACCAAAGGTTAGGTACCAATTATGAATATAAAAGATTTTCAATCTGAATTAATAACCAAAGCTCAGCATTCTGCTCTTCTTAAACCAATGAAATATAATTGTCAACTTCACTGTTCTCTGTTTGTCTGCAGATGTTCGGGAGGTGGACTTTCACAATGGGTTATACTGATAATCCAGTGTTTCAAGCCATGTTCAGGTCATGCAAAAGCCAGTGGATTGACTTTCATCCATCAGATTCCGGCAACTCTAATGAAGTTATTGAGGAGGTGGGACAAAGTCAGTAAGTATCTGATTTATTTATTTTTATTGTGTGTGTTTGTGTGTGTGTGTGTTTGTGTGTGTGTGTGTTTGTGTGTGTGTGTGTGTGTACATATATTTTTTAATCATTTATATATATATTTTTTTACTTGTCTTCTGGTTGCCTTAAAACTTAAACGATTCTGGGATTTGATTGAATTGAATGATTTTCTGTTTATGTAAAGCACTTTTTGCTACATCTTTGTATGAAAGGTGCTGTACAAATAAAGTCTGAGAGACTTATTTATTTATTTATTTATTTTATTTTATTTTATTTATTTATTTATTTTTTTTTTTTTTTTTTTTTGGGGGGGGGGGTATGCATTTTTTCAGACTCTATTCTTCCTCTCTGACTCCTCTTAAATATCTTTACATGATTTTCAGATAAAAAAAAAAATCAGCCTCACTCTGGTGAATCAAAATATCATTATTTTCAGCCTTCATCTCAAGCACTTCATTTGAGCTGATGTCTCTTGACTTATACTTGTACTGATTTCCTCCTGAGATGAATATAGTATTCTGATTCTGATTTTGTTTCTCTTTTTTTCAGCCCAGAACAGGGTGTTTGCAAGAATTACGTTTCCAAGTTGATCATTATGAACAACCTGATGATAGGCTCAAGTAAGTCACTTGATCCTATATGATGCTTGAGTCTATTCATACAACATCCATTAGTAAATGAAGGACCCTGTTTTACTGTGTGGTTGAGTACTAACCTCTGCATTTGAATAAGAGTCGAGACATAATTGAACCTGAAGAAAATGTTGGACCCTTGCTCTTGATTTGGGTCTTAGAGCGAGCTTTCTGCCTCGAGTGATAATGCTGACTTGATTTATGATTTTTCCAATTTCTTTTATCCTCAGAGTTCAACTTCACCTGCACCTACCACTCTATACCAACTATTAAGGGCTGTGTGCTTTACCATGTCACCGCTTTGAACAACAACAACCTGGTCACAGCCGACAACCCCACAGTAAAGGAGGAGACAAGAGGCTATAAAACCTTCTACCTGTTGTGTAAGTAAAACAACTCTGGGCTGAAACACTTTATATAAATCTGGGACATTTTTTTAAAGTCAGTTTCATTACAACTTTGTTTCTGTCCAGGCACCAAGCAGACTATCTCTGACAAAGACCTGGAGTATGTCAAGAAGCAAGCTGAATGTCTTGGTTTCACAGGAGACCCTCAATTTATGTATGACCCCAAATACGGTAAGTGACCCTTAAACTCCTCTGATTGAACAGTGAAATGGAGATATTTCTTTCATGTGAAAATTAATTTTCTCTATTTTCTTTGCAGCTTTCTGTTATGAAGCCCACCCATAACTGAAGTCAAAATCAAGCTTCCTTGACAAATTTTCCAAATGGAAATATTTGAATTCAGGAAATAAAAAGTAACACAAACATGAAATGTGTGTACAGTATTTTTTTGAATCCAGCTAAGTTACAAATGATGGGAAGGGAGGGGTGTGAGGTTAAGGGTCATGCATGAGTTGAAGGGGCCAAATGCATGTAGTAATATCAGTAGGTTCAAGAAATACACAAATAGAGTTGAACAAGAATTTTGAAAAGCCTTGTTTCTTGGAGATGGTCCCTTGTAGATATGGAGGTCTGAAATCAGCAGCATTCTTCAAATAAACAGATGGGTTTAAATGAGGATGAAATCAAAGATTAACTTACCATATAAATGTGGTCAATATACCAGTTGCATCAACATATCAACAGTATTAAAGCTAGACAGTTAATTCTGTGTTATCAGCAGCAGGTACAATTCAAACTGATCGAGGTAAACCAGTGTTGAGCGTTGCAGTCTCAATGAATCCATGACTACATAGTTGCTGTCCCCTTAAGGGGTGGAGGAAGACTGCTGATCTACAACAGACTTAAACCATACCTACCTGAGATATTTGTTTGAGGTCCACCACAAAAAAGAGACAATGTTACTACATTTCATACATCATGACCAAAGAGAAATTAAACTGCTTAATTCATCATTCTGCACAAGGGGGGGTTGATAAGGGGTTTGATGGCCTGGGTTCAGCATCCATCACACATGAGCTGTCCAAAGTCCAACACTGTGTTCACATTTCTGTCCTCTAAGGTCCATTTATTCATCCAAGTGCTTTCAATTGGAAGAAGTTGAAACCAATCGGATTAAACCCTTCAAACTGTCTGGAGTTTATTAATGATTTGTAAAGGGGTCAGCAGTCATGCAGCTGTGCCTGTGGGCAGTAAGAGAAGGACAGAGGTTGGACTTGGGGGGGGGGGGGGGGGGGTGTAAACACACACAAACAGCAGATCTGGCTCTTGCCTGCTCTGTAGATGGAGACTGAGAAGAGGATCTGAGAAAGTGAGGTCAAAGAATATCAGGGAGAGATAGACCCTTTTCCAAAGTTTGATTTCTGGATGATCTTTGACTGGGTTCATGACGTTCCATTAAAGGGGAACTCAATCCTGCCTATTGCTTCCTATAAGGTCAGGAGGATCAGACCCTACAACAGCTCCTGGTGTACGCTTTTGTATTTTAAGGCGCTGACAACTGCAACTCCTTACTGAAAGGCCTCCCTGCATCCTTGAAAAACAACACATCACTCAGCAGTGTATCTCAATAGCATTTGAAAGAGTCGATCAATCACACTTTTCTTATCCAGATACTTTTTCATACTGGCTTTGAATTTTTTTCTTGTAATTGGTTATGTAGCTATCTTTTTAATAGACATCAGTGTGTAAAGGCTGGAAACATTCAAACAGAGTTTTTATCTCCATCCAAAGGTGTCCCGCACGGATCAGTTTTGGAGCCTATTTTAATATTGTTTCCTCCTCAACAGTCTGTCAGACATTTTTGACCTTTATGCTGATGATATTTTCTTATATTCTTATATTGTTCTGGCTCAGTTAGAAAATGCTGCTGTAACACCATAATTTATTGATTTGAAATCAATAAAGTAATTCTGATTCTTACATTATTTTACACTGCTCTGCTGATTCTGCTTACTTAGCTGTAGAGAAGCTGCAATGTGCTTTTTATCATCTTCAAAATGTTTTTAACAGCCTTCCACACTCAGTGGTAACATTGTTTCAGTATATTAACATCCTGGTACTTGGCTGGATGAATCGTTCTCATTTAAGCCCCATATTGAGACTCTTAACAGTAAATTTAGGCAAAAACTTAGTTTTCTGTTCAGACACAAATCAAACTTCCCTCCTGAGTTCTGGTTTTGGCAGACATGAATAGGAGTTGTGTGATTCTGTGCTCGATTATTCTTCCTCATGGACTTAGATGACGTCAGTGTTTCAGCGGGGCGCCCTGCCAACTACTAGCCCTGCCAACAAGACCCCATCCCAGAAATTGAAGTTGTAGATTAACTAAAGCTCCCAATAGTTTCATTACTTTCATGAAAAATGTATCTCTCCTCTCCTCTCCTCGCGCTTGCCACTCAAAACCTGCCAGTTTTGCACAGGATGGTTTTGCCAACCCGGGGTTCTGGCTCCTTTTCATCACATTTGCCACCAACAAAACAATAAAAAAAAACTGGTAATGGAGCAGCGAAGTGTATCCGAAAGTTCAGCAACCCAATTGAAAATATCAAAATCTTAAAAAAAACAAAACAAAACAAAAAAAAAACAGTACGTAGTGATGTGGACGCCTCACATTCTCGTGGATGCTTGCCAAAGCATCTCTCCCAGCCCCAAAAACGGTGCTGGCTCATCTCCCACCACCCCTCTGACATAGACATGGATCATACAGTGTACGAAAAAGCTAGGGGGAAACACAGGAGGTTATGGTTGTTCCACGCTGGACTAAAATTTTATTTTTCGTTTTTGAAGTTGTGGATGATAGAAAGTTGAATTTTCAAGTAGGTCAAATATGGTTTCATAGCAAAAAAAATAAGTTTGAAAACTTACTTACAATGTCAGATCATGCTTTAAAATTCAATAAAATCATTCCATTTCACTTTCTAGTGGCACAAATCCCAGTCCATAAACCTGCAGTTATTATGGATCAGGACCTGAATGCAGAGCGTGTGGGCCAGTATGGGATGGTAAAGAGGGTGTTGCAGCAACAGCTGCAGAGATAAGACTATGAGTCAGGGATGGTTTAGATGAACTGAGGCAGTCCTTTGAGGAACTGTGTACTCTGTGTATCTCTGCCCACTTGTTTTTCAGCATCCAAGAAAAATCAACAATCTGTAAATGTTTGATGTCCAAAATGAACAGTATCCTTAGAAAGCATTTAAACACAACACAACCTGCAATCTCCTTTGAACCCACAGTGAGACAGGAATGACTTTAGATAGCAGTTGCACTTAAAACACATGAACCCAAAAACAAAGACACAGACAGGAAGACGTCAGCTGTCTGTTTTCAATTCAGGGTTTTCTGATGTAGGCTCTATCAGCACTCATCAGAGTGGATGCATTGTGGGTACTTTTGTACTTCTTTTGTGCAAAGGCAGTGATTGCTGTCTGTGTCCTTCACTCAGACTGTTGAAGTACATCATTTACACGCTCACGTTTACATGCACAGCTTAGAGGAGCTAGGGTTATTATGCTATCAGCTTGTTTCGATTGACTTCTATCCTTATCCCAGTGTATGACCACCAGTTGAGAACCAATTTGTCGGTCTCTTTTCGCTCTGGTAGAAGGTGATATGCGCTCTTTTAGTTTTCTCACCATCAGGCCACCTCTTGGTTGAAGTCTCAAAACAAAAACTTAAAAGAATACTTAAGCAGCACAAACGAATCATATGTCAAACAAGAAAATCAATAACCTCCCCATTTCTTTAGTCAGATGGTACCACAGGGTCGTCTTATCTTACATCAGTTCTTCTGCTCTCTATGTTTTTTTTTATACCACACAGCTTCCTGTGTGATGTCTAAGTGCTGTCCAGCTTTCGAGCCAGACATCAGAACTGATCTCTGGGTATGTCAGTCCTACTGAAAGAAACCTGATTGGGTGCTAATACAGTCAGACAAATATCACTACATGTCTTCCGCCAGTCCAGCTTCAGCTGTCAGCAGTGGCAGGCTGTGCAGACTCTGCAAGCATTTTAATGCTTTCCGCATAAAAACTCGGGAAGTAATTCTTCAAATGATTAAACAGATCTGTTGTCCTGTCGGTGTTTGAGGGCACAGACCGCCTACATACCTTGCACATCGGCTTCATTGCTCAACGTCACTTTGGAGATATCCGAACCACGGCCACACAAATTAAATTGAATAACTTTTCTTCTGAACAATGGCATTGTCAGAGGATGACTCACAGTCATGGCTGATGTCTATTTTGCTGCACTCAGCTCCACGTTTAGCTCCATGTTCGGTTACTCTGTTTCCTTCTCCTATTTACTTTTTTTTTTTTTTTACAGGAAAAGCTCAACTCTGATTGGTTGTTGTTACACACATTTCGGCCTTGTTTGATCAAGTTAATATGCTCATGACTGTACTTTAACTTGATAACAAAACTGGGGAACACCATGGGTTAAAGGCATTGAATTATTGCCTTGATTGGGATTGTTTTCTACAGGGCAGTTAATTCATTAGTTTGCACTTAAGCTGTAAAGCAGCATTTCTGTCTATGCTTAGGTGTGAGGTTTGAATGATAGAAAGCCCCATGATGAACTGTTTAGTCTCTGTATTTGTGAATCCTCAGCAGCCAAGAACCAGCCAACACAATGTCAATATTTGATGAACAACTAAACAGTCTCAACACAGGACATGCCTTAATGTTTTTTTCAACCTGCAAAAAGACTAATTCTGACTGAAAAATCACTGACCCAACCCCGCTCAAACAGGAAAAAAAAAGACAACCCTTTGTACCTTCACAGTCCAAGAAGACAAAACACTTGGAGCTGTGCCACCATCAGCTTCTATAAAAGCTGAGCGGGTCTGTGAGGCTTCATCAGTCAGCTTTCTCTGAGAAAAGCTTCTAACTCTGTTTTCCTACAGCTCTACTTTGAAGAAAACCACATTCAGCATCATGAATCTGTGGATCAGCGGTCTACTCCTGCTGGCGGGGTTTGTCCTGAACAGCTCTGCTCTCTCCTATGAAGAATGCAGACCCCTGATCACGCCTCACGCTAAATGGACATCGGTAAGCCCTTCTCTGCTGCTTTTTCTGGGTCTTGGTACTGATATTGACTATCTGGAATTATTTGACTGCTTCATTTGTTGGCTCCATTCAGTTTTTTAATAAGAAAATTTGGAAGGAAGACAAAGTCGTCAGACCCAGACTGCAAGGTTTCTGGGTGTGACGGTTTGTACTGGAGAACAGATTCCAAAACACAAACCAGCAAAAAGAAAGAGAAAAAAAGTGGGCTCAGTGAGGAAAGACCCTGAGTATGTCATTGGCTACCAATCCAAGGAGCTGATGACATTCAACTTTAACTTTAATCTGTCAATGTAGGCTATCAGGTCAATGACCCAGTTCAGACAGAGTAAAAGTCAGACCTTTTCTCTTTATTTCCTGTCTTATTATTCCAAAACAAAATTAACTTTTAATAGTTATAATAGAAATACTTAATACATACTATGTTGTGAATGATGGTTTTATAGGCATTTAAAGCTACTGTGAGTGACTTTCGTTTTTCTGTCTATTTTTCGGCCCCCTGTTAACAAAGAGATTTTTAATATCTTGTCATCTGTTTTTCAGTGGTGTCTTTAAAAATCTCATCCTGCTGGCTTTCAACAGTCAAATAAATCAATTTTGGCAAAATTATATGTGTAAAAACAGGGCTGCATTAAAGTCACTCAGCTGAATCCTACCACCTCACACCACTTTCAGACGTTCAAATTATATTTGTTGTCAATCTTTTCACTGATGGTCTAACTTTGTTTTTAAGGTTATAAAAAGGCATTACTATGAATTTCAGTGTGTTTCATCAATGTCAAAACACTTCACTGGAATTTTAAAAACCGGATAGTTGTTTTTTCCAGTCAGGTGTAAATATTTTTTTTTTCAAAACTGAGGCTTTTTGACACCAAAGTTTAAGTACCTAATAAAAAAAAAGATTAATAAACTGAATTGATAACCAAAGCTCAACATTCTGCTCTTCTTAAACCAAAGAAATGTATTTGTCAATTTTCCTGTTCTCTGTTTGTCTGCAGATGTACGGGAGGTGGACTTTCATCTTGGGTTGGACTGAAAATCCAGTATTTGAAGCCATGTTCAGGTCATGCAAGAGCCAATGGATTGACTTTCATCCATCGCCATCCGGCAACCCTTATGAAGTTATTGAGGATGTAGCACAAAGGCAGTGAGTATCTGATTTATTTTTAAAGTCCGTCTGTGAGTAAAGATACTGTATGTGTGTGTATTATAATATTAGCTCTTTGTGCTACATCTGTAAAAAGTGCAACACAAATAAAGTCTGATTGATTAATTGATTGATTATTTGATTGTTTTATTTGTACATGTTCTTTTATCAATTTTATTTTATTTCTTTTTACTTGTCTGCATGCTTTAGGACTTTCACGATTCAGTGATTTACTCTTTAATGAATTTCTATTTATGTAAAGCACTGTGCTACATCTTTGTATGAAAGTGCTATACAAATAAAGTCTGATTGCTTGATTGATTTGATGTTGGGGTGTGTATTTTTTTCACACTCTATACTTCCTTTCTAATCCCTCTTTAATATCTTTACATGATTTATAGATCAAAAACAGCCTCCTGTTTCTACCTCTGGTGTATTAAATGTCATTATTTCAGCCTCTGTTTCAAGCACTTCATTTGAGCTGCTGTCTCTTTATTTATACTTGTACTGATTTCCTCCTGAGATGAATATAGTATTCTGATTCTGATTCTCTTGTTTCGCTTCTTTTCAGCCCAGGTCTTTGCAAGTATTACACATCCAAATTAGTTATTATGAACAACCTGATGATAGGCTCAAGTAAGTCACCTGATCCTTTTTGATGCTTGATTTTATTCATAAGAGCTTTATCAGTTATTGGGGGACAATGTTTACTGTGAAGTTGAGAGCTAATCTCTGTTTGCAAGGGAATAGTAGTCAAGACATGATTGAACCTGAAGAAAATGTTGGCATGGACCCTTGCTCTTGATTTCGGTCTAAGAGCGAGCTTTCTGCCTCGAGTGATAATGCTGACTTGATTTATGATTTTTCCAATTTCTTTTATCCTCAGAGTTCAACTTCACCTGCACCTACCACTCTATACCAACTATTAAGGGCTGTGTGCTTTACCATGTCACCGCTTTGAACAACAACAACCTGGTCACAGCCGACAACCCCACAGTAAAGGAGCAGCTCAATGGCTATAAAACCTTCTACCTGTTGTGTAAGTAAAACAACTCTGGGCTGAAACACTTTATATAAATCTGGGACATTTTTTTAAAGTCAGTTTCATTACAACTTTGTTTCTGTCCAGGCACCAAGCAGACTATCTCTGACGAAGACCGAGAGTATGTCATGAAGCAAGCTGAATGTCTTGGTTTCACAGGAGACCCTCATTTTATGTATGACCCCAAAGACAGTAAGTGACCCTTAAACTCCTCTGATTGAACAATGAAATGGAGATATTTCTTTCATGTGAAAATTAATTTTCTCTTTTTTTTTGCAGCTTTCTGTCATGAATAAAATGGACAATCATAACTAAAGTCAAAATCAAGCTTCCCTCCCAAAATTTCCAAATGAAAATAACTTTACTCAAGAAATAAAAAAGTGACTCAAACACTGAATGTGTGGACAGTATTTTTTTCTGAATCCAGCTAAGTTACAAATGATGGGAAGGGAGGGGTGTGAGGTCAAAAGTCTTGCATGAGTTGAAGGGGCCAAATGCATGTAGTAATATCAGTAGGTTCAAGAAATACACAAATAGACTTGAACAAGAATTTTGAAAAGCCTTGTTTCTTGAAGATGGTCCCTTGTAGATATGGAGGTCTGAAACCAACAGCATGTTATCAAATTACTTTGACATGAATCGCTCTGTGACATTTCTCAATTAACAGATGGGTTTAAATTAAGGTTTAAATCAAAGATACACTTACCATTATATGGGTGTGGTAAATATACCAATTTGCGTCAACATATTATAAGTGTTAAAACAAGACAGTTACTTCTGCGTTACCGATAACAGGTATAATTTGGGTCCCAATTATTTATAATTATAAACTTTAGAACTTTTTCAACTTTTTCACCCTCTAGACAGATTTAAAAATTCCTGAAATTTGGCAGGTGGTTCAGGCCTGGCTTCAATTTGAGTATTTTACCGTGCCTCTATATATCTCAAACAAAATGACTTGCTAGCGCACCCTACTGTTTTCATGCTCACAGAGTTTCCTGTATGATTTCTTGTACACTAGTTCCAACTCCACTAGATTTTAGTCATTTAATAAGGGCCTGGCACTGGGCAATTTGACACTGAACTTTTGTTCGTATGTTGGAGCGCCACCTGGTGGCAGAGGGTAATGCGTTTTTCTGTGAATGGCCTGTAACTCCTTCTTTAATGATAGGATGCAGCTGAGATTTGTTCAGGACACACCTGATAGGATACCAGATGGGCTAAATAATCAGTACCTTGTTTTATTAAACTGCGCCTTGGTGGCACTATGAAATATCTAAGAAAAAAAAAAGCAATCTGTGGTATTGCTGTAAATATGCACAGCCACATGAAATTTGATGCACAGATCAAGAGTGGCATCCTCTTGAGGGCACCTGTCAAAATGTAGATCCAACTAAAAGACAAAAAGTGGATCCATAGCGCCCCCTACAAAATTTCAAATTGTAAGCTGCACTCCCGTGTGTGACCCAAACCTATGCAATCAAGGACATTTATGTTGGACCCCAAGACGAACAAAAAAGGCTCCAATGTCAAAATTGAGATCCAACTTAAAATTGCTCCATAGCACCCCCTACAGAATTTTAAAATATACCCAAACCTAAAGAACCAATGACACATGTTGGACCCTATGACAAACAAAAGGGAGAGGCGGTCCACAAAGGTGGCAGCGCCACACGGCTAAGGCACGTTGGTGCCCCGCGTGGCGCTAGTTCAAATTGATCGGGCTAAACCAGTGTTGAAATGTTGCCGTCTCAATGAATCCATGATCACATAGTTGCTGTCCCCTTGAGGGGTGGAGAAATACTGTTGTTCTATGACAGACTTCAATCACACCTGCCTGATATACTTGTTTGAGGTCCACCACAAAAAGAGAGACAATGTTACTACATTTCAAACATCATGACCAAAGAGAAATTAAACTGCTTATTTCATCAATCAGACACAGGCTGTGTCTCATTTCAGAGACCGCATCGACCTAAGTGCCCTTCTGCGCCGTCGAACGGTGCATTTGAAGCATGCATGACGTCACGACGGTGCGAACGGTGTCCCATTTGGCACGAGATGCTAAAAAATGCTAAGCGCGCTTAGCATGTTTTCAAGCGTGCATTTATGCACACTTTCGTGCCGTCGGTATCCCAGAATGCTTTACGTGCCGCTGCACAGCTGCGCATTTCAGGTGAGAGGCTGGACTCGCTTGGAGACGCAGCGCGTCTTCAAAGAAATTACAAGCAATCCAAAAACAGCAGACAGTCAGCTCAGGCTGTATGAGAGCATGATCTCTGAACTCACTAAAATCTGTAAACCAAACATTAAAGATTTAGAGACGAACTGATCCGCTCTGCTTCAACAATCAAAAACATTAGAAATAAGAAAGCTGACAAAACTACAGCAGAGTATCAGGACAACATTGAGGTTTTTTTCTTTTAAGATTTAGAGATTAAAGTTGTAAACTTAGGAGAATAAAGTCATAAAGTAAATAAAGTCATAAGCTGCTTTTGTGGAGGGGGAAATGACTGAAGCTGGTCATCTGCAGGGTTATCTGTGGATGTATCAGCGGGTCATTCAGAGAGATTTTGTGGTTTCTGAAGAAACAATCAAACTGATGATGATCAACATTTGTGATCCAGAGGGAGTCGAGCTCCAACGAGCACCACGTCTCTGACACCGGCGGTAACCTACACCTGCAGAGACACCAACACCTTATTATGGCATATGGATTCATATCATAAACTAAAGCTCAATGTCATTCACGGATATTAACGGCTGCATTGACAGATATATCCTCAGCATATTCATTTCTGCCTCCACAAAAGCAGCGATTTCCTTCAAGTACACCAGTTTTTTCCCCCGTGGAAAAGACGTATTTCTCATATATTCTTTTTTAAGTCTTTATACTTATGACAATGTGATGCTGATGTGCCAGAGGATGAAGTATCTCCTATCCTCCTTCTCAATAGGGCCCTCATACTCCTTCATACAAAACAATCATTGGATTAATTTTGTGGGAATGATCTGGGCTTGTATGTATCTACTATTTTGTGTCTGTGCAAGGTCGCACAATTAAAACAATACATGCTGCGCTCCGCAGCTTTTTTTCTAATCAGTCGTGACGTAAGCCTGAGGGCGGGGACATTTGGAGACCTTCGGAGGACTTCCTGGTGGAGTTGCCAAATGTCCCCGCCCTCAGGCTCGCGTCACGACTGACTTAAAGGAAACCCGCGGAGCGCAGCATTTATTGTTTTAATTGTGCGACCTTGCACAGACACAAAATAGTAGATACATACAAGCACAATTCATCCAATGATTGTTTTGTAAGAAGGAGTATGAGGGCCATATTGAGATTTAAGACTTTAAGGACTTCGAGATTTAAGTCGTGAATTTACGAGAATAAAGTCATTAATTTATGAGAATGAAGTCATAACCTGTTATTTCAGAGAGACTTGTTAAAATTAGGGCCATGAAGCATTTGAAGGAACTGTGCTTCAGTATAGGTTTCACAAACAAGGAGATACTTCATCCTCTGGCACATCAGCATCACATTGTCATAAGTATAAAGACTTTAAAAAGAATATATGAGAAATACGTCTTTTCCACGGGGGAAAAATATTGGTGTACTTGAAGGAAATCGCTGCTTTTGTGGAGGCAGAAATGAATATGCTGAGGATATATCTGTCAATGCAGCCGTAAATATCCGTGAATGACATTGAGCTTTAGTTTATGATATGAATCCATATGCCATAATAAGGTGTTGGTGTCTCTGCAGGTGTAGGTTACCGCCGGTGTCAGAGACGTGGTGCTCGTCGGAGCTCGACTCCCTCTGGATCACAAATGTTGATCATCATCAGTTTGATTGTTTCTTCAGAAACCACAAAATCTCTCTGAATGACCCACTGATACATCCACAGATAACCCTGCAGATGACCAGCTTCAGTCATTTCCCCCTCCACAAAAGCAGCTTTATGACTTTATTTACTTTACGAGTTTATTCTCCTAAATTTACAACTTTAATCTCTAAATCTTAAAAGAAAAAAAACTCAATGTTGTCCTGATACTCTGCTGTAGTTTTGTCAGCTTTCTTATTTCTAATGTTTTTGATTGTTGAAGCAGAGCGGATCAGTTCGTCTCTAAATCTATAATGTTTGGTTTACAGATTTTAGTGAGTTCAGAGATCATGCTCTCATACAGCCTGAGCTGACTGTCTGATGGTTTTGGATTGCTTGTATTTTCTTCGAAGACGCGCTGTGTCTCCAAGTGAGTCCAGCCTCTCACCAGTGCACAGCTGTGCAGCGGCACGCAAAGAATTCTGGGATACCGACGGCACGAAAGCGTGCATACATGCACGCTTGAAAAAGAGGCGGGGGTAGTGTGGTTTTGAGACCGAATTTGAAGCGCGCTTAGTATTTTGTGCCAAACGGGACACCGTTCGTGCCGCGTGGTGACCTCACGTACGCGTCAGATGCGCCGTTCGATGGCTGCTGTATCTGAAATGGGACACAGGAAGGGCACAGAACGGCTCAAAACAACACAAAATGGCACAAAGCGGCAGTGCACTCAGCTAAGCGCCGTTAAGCGCGCTTATCACGATGCGGTCTCTGAAATGAGACACAGCCACAGTTTTCCTTAAGCAGTGTTGGTGATCTCTAAGGGATTTGGGGGCCTGGGTCAAGCATCCATCAAACATGGGCCGTCCAAAATCCAACACTGTGTGCATATTCTGTACTTTAAGGTCCATTTATTCATCCAAGTGTTTTCAAATGGAAGACATTGAAAAATATCCACAAAAAAACTTTTCAAACTGCTCATACCCACTAGTTGTGTGCTGCTTCGTAAATTTATTTTAATGTCTCAGATCTAAAATGGAGAATTCCTCCTTTACCTCAACACCACAGGGACATACACGTGGATCCTATTGGTGGAGTTAAGCATTGCAGTTGACACCATCATTCCTAATGACAAACTGGCCAAGCTCATTGTGCCAGCCCACATCTGCTACTCTAACCTGTTGACTCCAGACATGTTAACCTCAAAATTTACTGATAAGGTTTCTCCCATCAGTAAACAATTCTCAGGATCTGTCCAGCTCTGTTTACAGTCTCTGGCTAGAGGTACCTTGCTGAGTTCATTTACTCCATTAAGCAAAGAGGAAGTCTCCAGGCTTCTGCTTGACTTAAGGCCCACAACCTGTCCACCAGACTCAATCCCTAAAAACTCTTTGCTTACCATTCTGCTCACACTCAACCCCACCACTACTCACTGAGGCAACAACCAAATATTCCTCTCCCCACTCACTGATCCTGGTATCTCTGGCTCTGACCTCCAGTGGTTTGTGTCCAACCCTTAAAGGGAGACCTTTTCAGATTATCATGGAGAGGAGAAGTGTCCAACACTCTGCCTATGAACACGGGTTCTTCAAGGGTCAGTGCTTGGTCATGCATTGACTACTGGTACTCTTTACTGGCAGACCTCCCTACATTTTCCTGAAACAGTACATGACTTAGCAGTTCATCCCTCTCAACCAGTCCCTTGTAGTAGCCTACATCAAATAAAAGGCCCTACTTCTTGCCAATAAAAAATACAACTAAATGGGCTCCTGCCTCACCCGTTGCACTCTGCCAATGAAAGGCGTTGGGTGCTTCCATCACAAAAAGGGGCTAAGTCACTTGCCAGACTCTTCTCCAGACACAGTTCTTTGGAGATCACTTTAGCTCAGCCTTAATCTTGTGTGACTCCAGTGGTAGAATGACTGAAACAAACGTTCCCTGATGATGGATGGATGGTGGATGAAAGATGGATGGATGATAGTTGACAGATGGATAACGGATGGATGGATGGATGTGATGATAATGACGATGATGATGAGGTCCCTGATGCAGGTCGACACTCCCTCACACATATTAATGATGACAATAATGATTGAGGACTGATAACGATTGAACAAGAAAGACGATGAGGATGAGACAAGGCATCTTCCATAGTCCAGTTTTGGTGAGCCTGATTGAACTATAGCCTTTGTTTTCTGTTCTTACCTAACAGTGGGTCCCTTGCTGTGGTCTTCTGCGGCTGTCGTCCATCTGCTTCAAGGTTGGATGTGTTCCTCTGTTTCAGACCATCCTCTGTAAACCCTAAAGATGGTTGTGGATTAAAATCGCAGTCGATCAGCAGTTAGTGAAGTACTCAGACCAACCTGTCTCGCACTAACAACCATGCCATGTTGAAAGTCCCTGAGGTTCCTGTTTTTCCCCATTCCGATACTCGGTTTGGACTATAGAGGGAAGATGAATATAATCGGATCCGTCTGTTTTCTTTTCAAAGAGCAAAGTCAAACACTACAAGGACAAATATATCTTTAAAGGTGGAACAAAAATGTTTTCTTCTTTTGGTCTATTAAGCAGATCATTGAAATAAATCTACAAAAAACTGAACTGAATTATTGGCAGAATGAACAAACTTCAACTTTAGCATAACAAAGACATCAAAATGCTAAGAATAATCCACCATTAGAGAAACCTTCCCTTAATTACAAATAACTCAAAAGTAAGAACATTTTAGGAACCTTCATTCATGTACCAAGAATGTTCTCAAGAACCTGCAATTATTTGGATTAGGACCTGGAGGCATAGCATGTGGGCCGGTATTGGATGGTATGGAGGGTGTTGCAGCAACAGCTGCAGAGATAAAGCTTTGCGTCAGGGATTGCTCAGATGAACTGAGGCAGTCCTTTGAGGAACTGTGTACTCTGTGTATTTGTGTCCACTTGTTTTTTTGTTTTTTGTATTTGGCATCCAAGAAAAATCAACAATCTGTAAATGTTTGATGCCCAAAATGAACAGTATCCTGTAAACCCCCCCAAAACAAAGACATAATAGGACTGCATGACTGTATCCATTATATGAAAAACTGGATGTCTAAAAACTTCCTTCAGTTAAATTCCAGTAAAACGGAAATCCTTGTTAGAGGGTTTCAGAAGATGGCTGCATAAATCCCTCCTTTCCTGGGTTGCCGGTAAATCACTTTATACCTGTTGGAAGGAACCTTGGAATCTGGTTTGACAGCAGTTTGAATTCTAAACACCACACCACTGAGCTTGTTTAGTCATGACCCATAATTTGAGAGATATCTCAAAGATATGATCTTTTTTTTAAGTTTGAAGGACACAGAGAAGATTTCACATGCTTGAAGTTACTCAGTCTCCAGGTATGCATAAGTGCTGTCCAAGTATCGAGATAAAGCCAGACCTGCAAATTGTCAAGCATGCACAGAATGCTTCGGCCAGTCCAACTGAGGGGTATACATGAGGACAAATTCAATCCCCTACAGCGCTGTCAAGTTATGTTGGCCAAACTACCATTCAGTAAGGCTCACATGTTTACCTGTATTTATAAAGTTGAGTTCAGTTGAATTATGTTCATATTTAGATTTTTTAATGGGAAATGTAGATGCGTAGATGCGAGACTGCTTTTTTGAGGAAAGTCAGGAATCCTGTAAAATTGAAAAAAAATTAAATGATTTTACAATTCTATAACTCTGACTTTAATCAGCTACAATGAAATAGTCTAATTATTGTGTCTGTCTTAACTGTGACCAAGGTACGTAAGATTTCATCTGAACAGTCATGACTGAATTTTACTGGATACTTTCAATTTGTGGATAAAACTAGGGAAAAGCACTCGGAGCTAGCCAAATACAAGTTGAATAAATTCATTTATTTAGTTCATTATGACTATTTTCAGGAGAGCATAAACTTTTTTATTTCATGGTTTAAATTGTCTAACAAATTGTGTTCACTTGGGCAACTCTGAAGGAAAGCCGGGATGCACATTTTTTTCTACTTTCACTTGTGAGGTAGCATGAGTTTAAATTTTCACCATTCAATGAAAAACTGTTTCAAACTTAACATTTGTCAATCCTGAGCAGCCAAGAACGAGCTGACAACATGTCAATATTTAATGAGCAACCGAACAGTCTCCTTCCTGGTACAACAAACAAAGGACATGCCTTAATGTCTGTTGAACCTATAGAGGGTCAATTCTGACTGAAAAATCACTGACCCAACTCTGCTCAAACAGAAAACAAAAAAAAGACAACCCTTTGTACCTTCACAGTCCAAGAAGACAAAACACTTGGAGCTTTGCCACCATCAGCTCCTATAAAAGCTGAGCGGGTCTGTCAGGCTTCATCAGTCAGCTTTCTCTGAGAAAAGCTTCTAACTCTGTTTTGCTACAGCTCTACTTTGAAGAAAACCACATTCAGCATCATGAATCTGTGGATCAGCGGTCTACTCCTGATGGCGGGGTTTGTCCTGAACATCTCTGCTCTCTCCTACGAAGAATGCAAAGCCCTGATCACGCCTAAACCTGTTTGGGAGCCGGTAAGCCTTTCTCTGCTGCTTTTTCTTGGAGCTGGGTACTGATATTGACTATCCAGAGTCTTTTGATCACCTCTTATCTTCAGGGTGTCATAAATTTAAGGAGAAGGTTTAATTTTGTATTTTTCTATTTGACCATTGCACTCTCAAGTGTGCTCTAAAGGCTTGAATCAGATAATACGGACAACTTCTTGGTGTTTACCTGCACATTTCTGTCGGCACATTTTAAGTCATGTGTGTATTTTGAACATGTCTTCAACATACTATAAGTTGGTCATTGAATGTGTGGTTCTGCTAAACGCACATTAAACTGGGCTAACAACATCCTGAAATCTATCTGGATGCAAAAAAATCGCTACGAACCTGTCTTGTTGTCAAGAGTGGATGAACCCCACATAATTTTTCCCATTTAGTGAGTAAAAGAAAGAATTTAGCAACACTACTTGCTGGCTTCACAGAAAGAGAAAAATAGAGGACTTGGTGAGCAAAGTGCCTTCGCATTTCAATGGCTACTAATCCATGGAGCTGATGACATTCAGCTTTGACTTTAATCCAAAAACTCAAAGTATCAGGTCAATGATCCAAGTCAGACACGGTACAAGTCAGATTGCTTAGATACCCAAGTTTAGTTACCAAACATGAATATAAAAGATTAACAATCTGGATAAATAGCCAAAGCTCAGCATTTTTCTGTGCTTAAACCAATGAAACACAATTTTTCAACTTGTTTTTGCTTGTCTGCAGATGTACGGAAGGTGGACCTTCATGGTGGGTTATACTGAAAATCCAGTATTTGTAGAAAAGTTCAGGTTATGCCAGAGCCAATGGATTGACTTCCTTCCATCCGGGACCCCTAATACAGTTATTGAGGACGTAGCACTTAGGACGTGAGTATAAAACAAAGTGACAACAGTTTTATAGATATCAAACCCATTAAATTTAATCAGCAGTGATTGAAGGTAGTGGTGCTTGACATGACCTTGCTTTCTACCAAGGTCATGTGACCAGACTGAGGCTTAAGCAGATCACTGAGTTTTTTTATGAGGTAGCTCAAATATGCTAATATATAAGTTATGAGACAAATGCCAAAAATTTGACACATTTGTGTACAAGGAGGGACAGTTGAGGCCAGACTTGCTGGTGTTGTATAGATGATTCTTTTTTGTGGTCACATGCACAAAATCTGTTTTGAGACCTTCTAGTCTAAACAGATTTTTCTACCTCTAAAAAACACGCTTGACTAAACTTGTACTGATTTCTCCTGGGGTAAGTGATATATTCCGATTCTCTTGTTTATCTTCTTTTTCAGCACCGCAGGGTGCAAGGGCTACACATCCGAATTAACTATCATGGGCAACCTTGCAATTGGCTCAAGTAAGTCACCTGACTCTATATGTTGCTTGAGTTTATTAACACAACATCCATTAGTAAATGAAGGACCATGTTTACTGTGTGGTTGAGTGCTAACCTCATCAGTTGAATAAGAGTCAAGACATAATTGAACCTGGAGAAAATGTTGGCATGGACCCTTGCTCTTGATTTGGGTCTTAGAGCGAGCTTTCTGCCTCGAGTGATAATGCTAGCTTTATTTAGGTTTTTCCAATTTGATTTATCCTCAGAGTTCAACTTCACCTGCACCTACCACTCTATACCAACTATTAAGGGCTGTGTGCTTTACCACGTCACCGCTCTGAACAACAACAATCTGGTAACAGCCGACAACCCCACTTTGAAGGAGGAACTCAGAGGCTATAAAACCTTCTACCTGTTGTGTAAGTGAAACAGCTCTGGGTTGAAACACTTTATATAAATCTGGGACATACTGTATTTTTAATTCAGTTTTATTACAACTTTGTTTCTGTCCAGGCACCAAGCAGACTATCTCTGACAAAGACCGGGGGTATGTCATGAAGCAAGCTGAATGTCTTGGTTACAAAGGAGAACCTCATTTTATGTATGACCCCAAAGACAGTAAGTGACCTTTAAAGTGCTCTGACTGAACAGTAAATGGGAGAAGTGTCTTTTGGACTAATATTGATCCTTTTCTCTTTTCTGTGCAGCTTTCTGTCATGAAGGCATCGACCCATGGGTCTACCAAAACTGAAGTCAAAATCAAGCTTTCTTGACAAATTTCCAAATGGAAATAATTGAATTCCAGAAATAAAAAGTGACTCAAACATTTAATGTGTGTACAGTATTTTTTCTGAATCCAGTTAAGTTACAAATGATGGGAATGGAGGGGTGTGAGGTCAAGGGTCATGCATGAGTTGATGGGGCAAAGTGCATGTAGTAATATCAGTAGGTTCAAGAAATACACAAATAGAGTTGAACAAGGTTTTCTTTTTCAAAAACCTGGTTTCTTGGAGATTTTTTTTGTAGATATGGAGGTCTAAAACCAGCAGCGTGTTATCAAATTAATTCTTTGACATGAATCACTCCTTGACATTCTTCAAATCAACAGATGGGTTTAAATAAAGATTAAATCAAAGATAAACCCATCATTACAATGTGGAAAACATGTTTATTTGTCATGTGCATGTCAGACAAGGTCAGCAGTGCAATGAAATGCCCTAGATGAGAGGACCGCTTGACTTAAAGGGGTACAGATCAAACACACAATAGTACTGAAGGAAACAATAAAATAAGGATACAAAAAAAAGAAATTTTATATATATATATTTATAGACTAATAAAAGTATAGGAGAAATATTTGCGAACAAGTGATGTCTCCTGAAGTCCACTATCCTCTCCTTGGTCTTACTGGCGTTTAGAGAGAGATTATTCTCCTGACACCAGCTGGTCAGAGATTTCACCTCATCCCTGTAGGCGCTCTCATTGTTGCTGGTGATAAGGCCCAAGATGGTAGTGTCATCAGCAAACTTGAAGATCATGTTTGAGCAGTGCCTGGCAGTGCAGTCCGGCATGAAGAGGGAGTGGAGGAGTGTACTCAGGACACAGCCCTGAGGAGCCCTGGTGCTGAGGACTAGTGTGGAGGAGAGTTGACTGCCAACCTCTACCACCTGTGGCCTGTTGGTGAAAAAGTCCAGTATCCAGCAGCAGATGGACTTCTCCAGGCCCAGAGCGGTGAGCTTTGTGTACAGTTTTGAGGGGATTATGGAGTTAAATGCTGAGCTGGAGACAATGAATAGCATCCTCACACAGGTAGTCACCTTCTCCAGGTGGCTCAGGGAGGTGTGAACAGCTTGAGCAATGGCGTCATATGTAGACCTGTTTGCTCTGTATGCAAACTGCAGGGGGGTCCAAGGTGTTGGGGAGGGAGGTGCAGATTTGATGCTTAATGATCCGCTCAAAGCACTTCATGATGACAGACGTAACAGCTATGGGCAGAAAGTCATTAGGGCAGGACGCTGCAGGGGTCTTAGGGATGGGAACAACAGCGGAGGTTTTCAGGGTGGTGGGAACGACAGACAGGTTCAAGGACAGGTTGAGGATGTTAGTGAATACTGTGTCGAGTTGGTCTGCGCAGACTCTCAGCACCCGCCCTGGGATCCCATCGGGCCCTGGTGGTGAGTTGGGTCAGGTGGCGGGGGAAGTGACCGCGCAGACCTGGCACGCCCAAATGAATAGTGAGGGTCTGTTGGGAACGCCTGGTGGAAGAACCCATCAGGTTTGCTTTCAACTCCCACCTCCGACAGAGCTTTAACTACGTCCCGGTGGCGGAGGGGGACATTGAGTCCGAATGGGCTTTGTTCCGCTCTGCCATTGTTGAAGCAGCTGTTGCGAGCTGCGGCCGCAAGGTTGCTGGTGCCAGTCGTGGCGGTAATCCCCGAAATTGGTGGTGGACACCAGAGGTGAGGGGAGCCGTCAGGCTGAAGAAGGAGGCCAACAGGTCATGGTTGGCCTGTGGGTCTTCGGAATTAGCTGAATGGTACTAGTTGGCTAAGCGGTCCGCAGCGGGGGGAGTTGCAGAGGGAAAAACTCAGGCGTGGGAGGAGTTTGGTGAGGCCATGGAGGAAGACTTTCTGTCTGCTCCAAAAAGATTCTGGCAAACTGTCTGGCCCCCTTTAGGGGCAGCAGATGGCAACTTGCCCACACCGTTCTGGATGGGGGTGGGGAGTTGCTTACGTCATCTGGCGCAATTCTCCGGCAGTGGAAGGAGTACTTTGAGGTGCTCCTCAATCCTACTGTCATGCATTCCCAAGGGGAAACAGAGTCAGGGGACCTGGTGGGAATCCTGTGGGGGGTGCTCCGGGAGTACAGGGTGGGGTGGTTCATAGCTGAATGTGAAGCGGCTGAAATGTGAAGCGGCTGGAATGTGAATCAGCACCTCCAAGTCCAAGGCCATGGTCCTCAGTCGGAAAAAGGTAGATTGCCTTCTCCAGGTCAGAGGGGCGGTCCTGCCTCAAGTGGAGGAGTTCAAGTATCTTGGGATCTTTTTCACGAGTGAGGGTAGGATGGAACGGGAGATTGACAGGGTCATCAGAGTGGCATCAGCAGTGATGCGGACGCTTAACCGATCAGTCGCGGTGGATAAAGAGCTGAGCCGTAAGGCAAGACTCTTGATTTACCGGTCGATCTACGTGCCAACTCTCACCTATGGCCATGAACTGTGGATAATGACCAAAAGAACAAGATCGCGGATAAAAGCAGCCGAAATGGGTTTCCTTCACAGGGTGGCCGGGCTCAGCCATAGAGATAGGGTAAGGAGCTCGGACACTCGGGAGGCGCTCAGATTAGAACCGCTGTCAAATTTAAATCTTGGCACCTACAAATAACAGGACACATATAGTTTTTACACATATTTTACAGTAGGACAGAGTATCACATTGTTTTAATACAGGAGATGTCATTATCAGTCATTTGAATTCTTTCACTATGGAAATGCATTTTCTCAGCAGCATATGGTTGAGTGTAGGCCTGTCACGATAACAAATTTTGCTGGACGATAATTGTGCTACAAATTATTGCCGATAAACGATATTATTGACACCGTTTTTTAAATTATAGAAAATGATATTAAATGGCATAATAATGCGAGTACACCGTGTCAAAAGTGATAAACTTTAATTTCACCCACGACGAAGACGTAACGTTGACGAGCTAAACATAAGTCGGAGATGACTAAAATGTGACGAGACGAAAGTGCGTTTACGTTGATGGGACGAGACGAAAATGACAAACAGAGTTGCAAAACTCAGTCAGTTAAACGCTAAACATATAAGAGCAGCTTCAGTCCGCTCTGACAGCTCTCATCAGCCTGCTGTGCTCCTCCAACACACAGACACACGAGTTTTGTGGTTGACGAAAACAAAACTGGTTTAAAGCCGAAATATTCCCACACTTGGGCTGTTGCGTTCGGTTTAGACACCAAAGCTGTCGTGTTCATTCTGTTTGCTTGCTTTTCACTCACGACGCTCACTTGCAGGACTGTATCCAAAAGTCTGTGTCTGTGTGCCTGTGCGCGCCAGCCCCCTCGTGACAAAGACACTGAATGACTGACAGGAGGGTTCACTAACTCCGTTCATTCCGCTATAGAGCCAACGCCCCCAGGTGCCGAGAACAATGCGCAGAGTGAGACCTCTTCTCTCAACCAGCGTGTTTGGTAGCGAGAGAGGAGGAAAACAAACGCACGTCAATTATCGAGGCTGGCAAAATGACCGACCTCGTTTTTATTTACCGAGCGATAAGGCGATTTATTGATTATCGCGACAGGCCTAGTTGAGTGCTTAGATAAGGTGTTTTATGAGAGAGATCAGAGGGTTAGTATCCAGTGCCTCTTGTCTTTCAATGGATTCCAAGTGTTCAAAGGCTTAAAGTTGTAAATCTAGCTCTTGAAACCTGGGTTGAGACATGAGTGTTTGTTTCGATAAGTGGTAATGGAGTAATGGAGACTCTGTAAGCAGAATGTCTGATCAAGGATGTTAGTTTGGAAAAATGTATATTATCTTGTGTCAAAGAACCAGATGGAGAACCTTTTCTGAGGGGATGAGAGTTTCTTACAGAATTGTCTGTGCTACAGTGAGAAGAGTATCTGAGAAGGAGAAGGTGTATTTGGGATGGTATTTGGGAGAGATTAGCTTTTTCCAAAGTTTGATTTTTGTGTCATATTTATCTAATTTGTTATGTTATCTTTGGACAATCCAAAGACAGGTCTCTGTGACTGCATAAATTACAGTAAACCACAATGTAGTGCACCAAATGTCACTGCAGTTATGAACACTGTAGCGATTTAAATTTATAAGAAGTGTCTGAAGTGTAATAATCTTCAATTATGACATTTATGCACTTGTTGAAAGTGGCACCACCTACCCTTATTATAAATTTAAAGAGAAAATACCTCCTAATTTTTCCAGAATTTTTTTCCATTTCTTAATGAAAAATGAAACTACTCTGAAAAAAGACAACTTGAGAACAAACCGATCTAACAGTAACTACATTTCAATAAAGGGAGACTGACTTAGGTTTACACTGTGATGATTATGTGCTCCTTTTATTTATATTGAGCAGTGTATTCTGTGCAATAATCAGATGTTCTGCATGTTTTGGAGGAAAATAAAGTGAAATGTATATCACAACATTCTTGCCTGGAAATGCACGCTGTTCTGAGAGAAATTTAGAGCTAACACTGATTGGTTTGATTTGTGTTACAACTACAAAATACCTCAAGAACACTTGGATTAATCCAACCTTTTTTCAGCCTGTGCTTCGTTTCGTGCCCCATGTGCTTAGGGACAACAAAATGCAGCGAGACATCCCCAATCTCGTGCTTTCACTAATCATCATGAGGTTTATTTATCTCAACTGTTATCTTTCTCACAGACATTTCATAAAAATTATCTATAACATACCATGTTGATAAATAATTATTTTAACATCAACGAAAACACTTTAGAAATTTTAACGTTTGTGCCTGTCATGCATGCAGGTTGTTATAGTTGGTCTTGCTCACTTCCTTAATTTTAGCCTAATTTTTCTATATTTTATAAGCAAGCAATTCTTTACTGAATTTTACCTCAGAATAAGTTATATATAAGTTATATAATAAGTATTTTTATTTTGATTCCGTTATCAATTGACCCATAACTGGAACAGGATACAGAAGACTAGCAAAGGTACATAGCCTGCACTGCTCAATTCTACAGGAGCCCCAGCAGAGGACACTCACATTGGATATAAACACAGGGCTAAGTGGAAAGCCAACAGAATTAGGTTACAAATTGTATTTGCACAATCAAAATGGCCAAATATTGACAAAATATGCCACCTGATGACATGAGATAGCAACCTTAATTACATATATTTCAAAATTAAGAGCAGAAACTGTCATTCATATGACAACAGTGCTCTCAACAACCTGTAGTTTATTTTGATTATTAGTAAGTCGTAACAGATGAAATGTTCTGTGATGCAGAAATTGCTGCAAAGATAAGGCTATGTGTCAGGGATAGTTTGAGCTAAGCTGAGGCAGTCCTTTGAGGTACTGTGTACTTTGTATAAGTGTGTCAACTATCTAAAATCAACATATCTGTAAATATTTGACGCCCAAGTTAAACAGTGTCCTCAGAAGTCATACTAACACATAACAATCTGAAATCTCCTTTGAACACACAGTGAGACTGATAAGAATAAAGATAGTAGTTACGTATTAGATATGATAAGCCCAAAAACAACGAGAAAGAGAAAAATAAAGAAGGCACAATAGAAACTGTGAGGTTGGTGTCATCAGCATAAAAGTGAAAATCAATGCTGCGTCTGCCGATCCCATGTCCAAGGAGCAACATATAAATTGTAAACAGCAGTGGTCTCAGAACTAACCCCTGAGGCACCCCAGAGAACAAATTAGCTCTGGATGACTATGAGTTTCCGACAGCAACACTGAAAGACCTCCCAGTTAAATAAGAGTAAAACGAATTAAAAACTGAACCACGAACATTAATTCCAGAGTTAAACACATTGCAATAAAACCAAGTGGTCAACGGTATCAAGGCAGGTGGTGCTGATAGCCTAGCGAGTTAGACGCCCCACGTACTGTTCATGCTGTTGCTGTTTAAGCCTAGGGGGAAAAACCTTCATGGTTTGGATGGAACCTTTCTCTGGTAAAGGCAGTGGAGAGGTTCATCAAGAAATTGTCAATAAAAACCCAGTTTTACAACCCAAGTCTGCTGAAGCGAACACTGCCATGCCCGAGATAGGCAAGCTAACAAGAGATGAACATTTTTTCTCATATGATATCAAGATGCCAAAGAGACGAATACAGTCACCATTCAAAAGTTCGGACTGCTGATAGGTGATGTTGTACATGCCAAAGTGAATGATAAGTTTCTGCAAAGAGGAGTGTTCCGAGCCAGAGGGGGAGAAAGGCTAGAATGAACCTCACCTTGGCACCAGGGGCCTAGTCTGTAACAGAGCATTTTAAGCAAATATTCCTTGCAATGGAATCTGCAATGATAAGTGTGGTTGGAGGGGGAACACTCTGCGGTGGAGACTTTTGTTGGGCATATCATTATTATCATATTAGTGCAATATTAACAGCATCATACCGTCACCTTTGAATCCAAATATTGCACAGGTAAAACCAGTTTTACCATAAATGAGTGAACAACGGTGCAAGTATTATGCTCCACCATGTCTGCAGATTTAAATCTACAAATTTGTTTCCTCACTATGACCCTGAGATTTTAAAGGCAGGTCAATGGCCTCATGTAGAAAAAAAATTAACTTGAGAGGTGAAACTAAGGCTGTGTCTCATTTCAGAGACCGCATCGACCTAAGTGCCCTTCTGCGCCGTCGAACGGTGCATTTGAAGCGTGCATGACGTCACGACGGTGCGAACGGTGTCCCGTTTGGCACGAGATGCTAAAAAATGCTAAGCGCGCTTAGCATGTTTTCAAGCGTGCATTTATGCACGCTTTCGTGCCGTCGGTATCCCAGAATGCTTTGCGTGCCGCTGCACAGCTGCGCATTTCAGGTGAGAGGCTGGACTCGCTTGGAGACGCAGCGCGTCTTCAAAGAAATTTGTAAATTTAGGAGAATCAAGTCATAAAGTAAATAGCATAGTAAAAAGTACTATGAAAAGTAAAGTAAAAAGTAAAGTAAAAAGCAATAGCAATGTTTTTGATAGTTGTAACACAGCGGATAAGTTCGTCTCTAAATCTATAATGTTTGGTTTACAGATTTTAGTGAGTTCAGAGATCATGCTCTCATACAGCCTGAGCTGACTGTCTGCTGTTTTTGGATTGCTTGTATTTTCTTCGAAGACGCGCTGTGTCTCCAAGCGAGTCCAGCCTCTCACCTGAAATGCACAGCTGTGCAGCGGCACGCAAAGAATTCTGGGATACCGACGGCACGAAAGCGTGCATACATGCACGCTTGAAAAAGAGGCGGGGATAGTGTGGTTTTGAGACCGAATTTGAAGCGCGCTTAGTATTTTGTGCCAAACGGGACACCGTTCGTGCCGCGTGGTGACCTCACGTACGCGTCAGATGCGCCGTTCGATGGCTGCTGTATCTGAAATGGGACACAGGAAGGGCACAGAACGGCGCAAAACTGCACAAAACGCCGCAAAACGGCAGTGCACTCAGCTAAGCGCCGTTAAGCGCGCTTATCACGATGCGGTCTCTGAAATGAGACACAGCCTAAGTCATGACCCCCTCAAACAGGCTAGGAATATCTTTATACTTGATCTACAGATTCTTTCATGTTCTATAAAGCAGATACCTTTAAAAATGCAGTGGCCTCAATGCAGACTGCACAGGCCAGTGTTGGATGGTATGGAGAGTGTTGCAACATTAAAGGCAATTTGAAGGCCATGTCTCAGCAATGATTTTAGCTGAAATGAGTCAATAATGAAGTGCACTTTGTTTATCTGTGTTGACCTGTTCATGGCCATCTACAACTGTGTCAATATGTCTGTAAATGTTTGATTCCCAAGTTAAACATTGTCCTTAAAAGTCTTCCAATGCAACAAAAGAATTAAGATAGCAGACAGTGAAATAAATCTAGTATTCTTATTCTGATTCTGTTATCAATTTATCTATTACTGGGACAGGATACCAAAGACCAGCAAAGGTACATAGCCTGCACTGCTCAATTCTACAGGAGCCCCAGCAGAGGACACTCACATTGGATATAAACACAGGGCTAAGTGGAAAGCCAACAGAATTAGATTACAAATTGTATTTGCACAATCAAAATGGCCAAATATTGACAAAATATGGCACATGATGACATGAGATGGCAAGTGGAATCCCAAACACTGCTACACCAGTACAAAAGTATAATGACAGCTGAAACAGAAATTCCAAAGGTCTTAACCAACTTATTAAATAGATCAATACAGATTTGTTTTTTGCTCTTTAAAGCAGATAACATCCATAAATCTACCAAACACTGGACAACAGTTTTAGGGAGAGTTACCAAACTTATATTTTCATACTTAAGACTTAAAGACATGAAGTACAGTTCAGAAAAACAACATTGATGATGTCTAACCTTAATTACATATATTTCAAAAGTAAGAACAGAAACCTTCATTCATATGACAACAGTGATTTTATTACAACTTTATTCTTGTAAGGAATGATTTTATTAGGACTTTATTCTTGTAATTGATTATTTTATTACAACTTTATTACCATAACCATGATTTCATTACGACTTTATTCTTGTAAGTAATGATTTTATTAGGACTTTATTCTTGTAATTGATTATTTTATTACAACTTTATTACCATAACTAATGATTTCATTACGACTTTATTCTTGTAAGTAATGATTTTATTAGGACTTTATTCTTGTAATTGATTATTTTATTACAACTTTATTACCATAACTAATGATTTTATTACGACTTTATTCTTCTAAGTAATGATTTTATTATAACTTTATTCTCGTAAGTAATTACTTTATTTTGATGTCATTCTCCTAAATTTATGGCTTTAATGTCGAACTCCTATTTATTTATTTTTCGTATTTCAAGACTTTTGACATGTTTTTGTTGTTGTTGTTGTTGTTGTTGTTGTTTTGAGACAGATTTTGAAGGTCTGTAGATCAAAATACAAAGGGTTTTGGGGTTCCCAATAATCCTCAATCAGCAAAGTCAAAGGACGGAAAATCACCTAGAATAATTTGTCTACAATAAAAATTATTATTATTAGAAATAACTGCTAGTCCACCTGCTCTAACAGAGAGTCTGGGCGTGTTAAAAAAAGTAAGATAGGGGGAGCTGATTCAATCAAAGGGACAGACTCACCAACAGTTAGCCAGGTTTCAGTCACCATTAAAAACAAATCAGCGTGTTGCATCTGACAAAATCCGTAACAGATTTATTGGACAGGGATCTTGTGTTTAACCAAGTTTTTTAAAAGGTCAGCGGAGGTGGGAATTGAATAGAAAATTATTAAGTGATGAGGGTTTGTGCGATTAGTACTGTTCTGTTCTTGAGAGCATTAAACGTGTGACTGCTGAGATAACGGGAAAGATCTCACCTGTAGTTACATAAAACAGGGATAAAACAAGCGGTCGCTTCAGAGTCTGCTGAAGATGCTCAGAAAAATTGACTAGTGACAATGTCTTACTGTAATCGCATCAAATTCAACAGTAAGAAAACTTCATTCATGCAAGAGTAATATTCAGAATAACCTCAAGTTATTTTTGATTATAACCTGAACACAGACGGCAGTATTGGATGGTATGGTATGGAGGGTGTTGCAGTATTAAAGGTAATTTGAAGGCTACGTGTCAGCAATGGTTTTAGCTGAAATGAGTCAATAAGGAATTGTGTACTCTGTTTATCTGTGTTGACCTGTTCATGGTCATCTACAACGAAGTCAACAAATCTGTAAATGTTTGATTCCCAAATTAAACAGTGTCCTCAAAAATCCTCCAATACAACACAATCTGCAATCTCTTTTGAACCTACAGTGAGATTGATAAGTAGTTGAATATCACCCGACTATCTTTGGTGGACAAAATGAAAAACAGCAACAGCTCCACAATGACTATTAATCGCACTCACGTATACTCAGTTATGGAGGATTACAAAACACGATGATCAAAAACGACACTGCTGTGTAGCAACAGAGTCCTGTCTGTGTTTAATGCAGTGCTGTCTGAGAGCCTGAAGATCAGGACTGTGGATGATAAAATCAACTCATTTTTGCAGGGCTCTGCTCAGACACGTTGTTTCCTAATGCGGTCTCTAAAGGAGAGCTAAACCCCTTCCCCTCTTTACTTCCCTGAGACTCGGCCTCTCTAAAATGCCCTTATCTGGTTGTTTACTGTCCTTTCTAAAATTCCTGAATCATATCACTGACATTGGATATAAAATCGGCGGACTCTTTATGAGAAATAATAGGAAGTTGTTGTGGCATCATTGACTGTCATCTTGACTCAATTGTCAAAGAAATAAGGATTTTAAAAACCTGCAAATAAACAAAAACTGTTTCTACAGCTCGATGTCCTACATTTTCAGAATTGGGTTTAAACTGTGTTCTTGATTTATTTTCCAAACAAGCCTGACAGATAGTCAATAATAAAAAATGCCCCAGTGGTAATAGACATCAGGAGCTGACCAATATGAGGGGAAATGAAACAGATTTTAGTCCAGCTTCATGCCAGTATGACATTTATTGACCCTTTAAGTGACTGACCTCAGGATGGTGTGTGGAAATTCAAAGATGGAGTATGTTTCTACATGTCTGTGTGATCTGCCTCAGTTTGTCTCTGTTTGCTGCCTGAAGGTGTCCTGTGATAAACTGTCCTGTCTTTTATACCTGCACCCTGAACAGCAGGGGCACGTTCACAATTATGCAAATATTTGATGAGCAACCAAACAGTGTCCTTGGAAATCTGGCCAATTTGCTCTGAGTATGGACTGGAAGATCTCTTATCTGACCCTGGTCCAAAAGTAGTTTGGCGCCTGAATGCAGACTGTGTGTTGGATGGCCTGTGGGCTGCTGCAGTGATTCAAGTTTCACCAAATCGAGTCGGGGCTTTGAGGAACTGCATGGAATTGGTTTGGGTTTCCAAGATTGAGTCAACACGTCTGTCAATGTTTAATGCCCAAATTAAACAGTACGCTTGAAAATCATGCAATCTGTTTTGGAGCCAGCGAGAGACAGATAAGAGACAGAGTATCAGCCAACCAGCCTATCAGGCCGTTAAAAATCACAGTCAGCTGGAAATCGACGGTGAAGGGAGTACGAAGAAAGTCATTTCACACTTTGTCTGCTCAAAGGTGACAATTACTGTCTGTGAGGAGGTTAGGATCCAAACATGGATGTGGTCATGTGATGTCGTCAAACTGTGAGTGCGTCCGTCTAAACTTTAGAAATACTCATCAGAAGCTTTGTGGTTTGGTCAGGAGCTGCTTTCAGATACTGGGAACTTGGTAATCAATCTATTGATCTGACCCCGACTATCACAGCATCAGTGTCATTTATTACAGTAAGCAGGATCATTCAGTTCCCATCCTACTCAGCTTTGAAATATGACTAAAACTGTAATGTTTACAGGAGAGTCAGGGGACGGGCAGGGGTTCAACTATATTCAGAATCAGAACCAGAATCAGAATACTTCATTTATTTTCAGTGCATCTTCAATATCTAGTCGGGATAAGTGTGCCTAGTGTTGGGATGGGTGACGTTGGCTGACGGTTCATCAGACTTTAGAGACTTTGTGAAGACTCTCCTGCAGAACCATCAGGACTGTTCAGGTTCTGAGGACCTTTAGGAGAAGATATCAGAGGGAGTCAGCAGCAGCAGCATGCGCCACAGAGCCGCAGACCGTAATATCTCAGTGACATTTGTGAGGATAAGATTCACGATATCAGCAAATACAGACCAACGAGAAAACCGAGGTTTTCTGGATATAAAGAGCTCATTTAAACTTTAACTTATTTTTATTAACAATCTTCTTGTTTATGATTTAATAGAAATATCATTTATAACTTAACTATGTTTTATGTTATAAGTTATAATGCTTCATTCATATATATATATATATATGTCTCTTTTTTCTTAATTCATGGCCACCTGCTGGTCGTTTTATCGTACTTACTTACCTGTTTATCTTCATGATGCTGCAACAACCAGTCAACAGGAACTGTGGGATTTTGTCTCGTTTTTTATTTTATTTTATTTTTATTAATTTCAGTAAAAATTATTGTCACAAAAATGAATAAAGTCTGCGGATTAAAAGCGTCAAACACCAGCAGGAAGTCTGTTTCCTTTTCTTTTAGTAGTAAAACGAGAAACTGTGTACTGCGGTCCCTGCTGGGAGCTGAATTGAATTTCCCTTTGGGGATCAATAAAGTTCTTCTTTTTCTTCTTCTACTTCTGTATGTAACTACATCTGTACATGACACATGGATCATCCATCCCATTATGTAATATCACACGTTTCCATCGTGCTGCACCATAAAGGGATTATAAAAATACCTGTGAGTTGAAAAATGTGCACGAAGGAAAACTCAGGAAATAAATAAAAATAGAGATATGTTTGGATTTCAGTCCCAACACAGAAGTTTGTCTCTGAAATAGAAACTGGACTCAGTGCTGGTATCAAACCCCAGATGATTGACAGCTAAAGGTCCATTTGTTCTGATGCTGTCACCTTTTCTGACCAGAGCAGATTGTAGATCAGTATGAATGTTTATTTAACAGGTCCGGACAGTAGACTTTCTCTATATTTGTTCATCATGAGCCAAGGACGGGTCAACAAGTGTTCATGTTTGATGTAGACCAAACAGTGTTCTTGGAAATCCTACAAACACAGGTCACTATCCTTACTAACCCACAATGGGACAGGTTTGGAATAAAATCCGAGATAAATGAATAAATATATAAAAACTGATGTCTCAGAAAAAAGCTTTAATGTCAGAAGCCAGAACTCTAGGAGCTGAACCATGAGCGAGGCGGTTCTGGAGTCAAGCTTGGTCTGGTGATTTTGTCCAGCTCACACCTCAAACTCTGCTCTGCTCCAGGACCGGATCTAAGTATGGACCCTTTCACGATGCCCACAGTTTTTCGACATTTGCTCTTGACCTCTGACCTTAAACATGTTCCTGGTTTGAAGGGGGTTAAAATGTGAGAAGGTCTGGATGGTAGCATTTCTCCGAGGTGAGTCAGGACGTGTGACCTGAACTCAAAGATATCAATATTAAGACTGTTATGTAGACATTGAGGGGGGATATATACAGGATTAAACACAGTTCTGTCCCTCCACAGGTCCTGAACCATGATTGGAACCACAAACTCAAAGTTCAGCATTTATTTACAATGTGTGAAAATGTACAACCGTAAAAATGGAGTAAACAACATCTCAGGGTGATCCAACGCCTGAAAAGGACAACAAAACAGCGTTCTCTTTTTAAACACAACCTTACCTCGAAACGTCCAACCTAAAAGTGAAATCAGCTGTTCACCCCAAACTGCTCTCAACGCAAGTTACAAAAACTTTATTTCCAATCAAAACACAGAAATTAAAGTTTTTATGACGTTGAAGACCAAACCAGCTGCTGCTGTTAGCGAAGCCGCCGCACAGAAACAGCCCCACCATTTTAAACAAGAGGACGCAGACCGCTCCACCAATCAGATCATTCTCCCTCACTGCTCCTCCTCCCAGCCAATCACTGGCCTCCACCTGCCACACACACACACACACACACACACACTAATGCGCCCACACAGATCCACAAAACACACAGAGCACTCACTCCAACACAAACACGGTGAGGTCAAAAACACACAATATCCCACCAGAAGTAGAGTCATAGTGCCACCCTGTGGAGAAACATGGTACTGTCTTTTTGGTCTCAACCTGAGCTCATCCTTGTGTCCGTTTTGGTCATGGTAACAGTGACCCCTATGGGACACCACCAGTATTGTTTACATTTATACAAAAACAATGAAAGATAAGGAACTTTTTAACAAACTAAAAAAATAGAGACTTCTCCAGTACTTCTGGGGGAAACTTTTTTTTGAACTGGAAAAATGTCCCGTCCTTTACGGTTCGTTTATGTGGGTGTATTTAATGTTCTCACTGACCTGCACTGATTGTGAATCCTGACCTGGATCCAAAAGCTGTGGGACCGTCATCAGCGGCGTATTTGTCAAAGCTTCAGAAACTGTTTGTCTTTCCAGAAAGAGTCAGACTCTGATGAACTGAGATTTGTTTTTTTGTATGCTGGACTTTAAGGACAAGTAAACAAATCTGTAAATGTTTGATACACAAGCCAAACAGCTTCCTTGAAAACACAGAACATCTGGAGTCACCTGTTGTAGCTCACAGTGAAACAATGTTGGGGTGAAATATCGCTAACTCAACCCTGACCGGTAAAATAAAAACAGCCGGTGAAAAAACGATGTCATGAGCAGCTTCTATAAAAGCTGTTTCCTGCTGAGGTGCCAAATCAGTCAGCTATCATTCAGAAAATCTTCCCTACGCTAACCTCCCTGCAGCATGATGAGCCTGCAGCCCGGCAGCCTGTTTTTGAGTAGCTCTGCTCTGACCATAGAAGACTGCAGACGCTTGATCACCCCTTTATCTACTTTTAAACCGGTAAGCCCATTTGGGATTTGATATTTGGACTAGCATTAAAGACTGATAACAGTATTCAGTTTGGGGGTGCTTCAAAGTTTAGCCGACTATAAGTGTCCTTAACGCCACTCTGTAAAACCAGGACACTCAGACTTTGATACTGAATGCTGCTCCTGATTCAGGTTGGTGCTGATAAAGTCCTGAGGCTGGGCATGCTGGTGGAAATAACAAAAACCGTGTCTGACCTGCTGAGTGATTGTGTGCAGATGTACGGGAGGTGGAACTTTATAATGGGTTACACTGATAATAACATTTTTGATGCCATGTTGAGGTCAACCCAGAGCAACTGGATTACATTCACTCAGTCATCGTCCAAACCCAATCAGTTTGTTGAGGATGTCGGGATCAAGCTGTGAGTATAAAACAGGAACAGTCTATTAGTGTGTCATATGGTAACTTAATAAAGTAAACATTTAAGCAAAGACTGAAGGAATCACCTGAAAATAAGATAGACATGAGCAAGAGTCTCTCTACAACAAACCGGACTCATCTTTTATTGTTGTTACTGACTCTTTGACTTACTGATCACGCCATCCAGATCAACCAATATGCAGACGCATGCCTCTTTTGTCGCTCTTAAGTACTCTTGAATCGACCACAAAGCAGCAGCTGAAGTAAATTTAAAGGTTTTCATTACTTTACCTCCAATGCCTGTCATCACTGACACAGAGATTCCTAACTAACCTAGCCAACACTTTCTAGTTATTCAACAGTGCAGAATCTGGGTGCTGGGGAGGTACAGGGCGGCTTGAATAAGTCCCTCATTTCTCAAAGGTTTGTTCGAGATGTGACACAAATCAAACCTGTTTTCATTCCCTTTAAAGGGATATTCCGGAGTAAAATTAATTTAGGGTCAAACACACCGCAACACCGAGTTAGACCCCCCCCCCCCCCCCGAGATGAATGTTGCCGACTGCTTGCTTCTCTAGTTATATCAACTTTAGTAACGGCCGCAGGATAGCAATACACAGCAGTCTGAGGAGTCATAAATAATCCTAAACCAAAAAGCCACTCTATAGCCACAAATAATGCTCAGAACAGCACCTAACTTCATCAACAGTACACATAGGGTCACAGACATAGTACTAGCCACCAAACATATTTTTAACTTTGACTAATTTCTTTAGCAAAGAGACTAAACACAACTCACCCACTCTCTTCCAGCTGCCGTTTGTTTGTAGTAAGACCTCAAGCCAGTCCATTATGGACCACAGCGGGGTGATGCAGCTCAAGGAAGAACATTTATGATCATTTCTTCATGGAAATGCAATCAGACCAAGACACTAAGGCAGAAGAACTACTGCATCTGCAGTGCAAAATGATTATTATGGTGATTATTACTTCAAGGAAATGATAAAGAAATTATCATAAATGTTCTTCCTTGAGCTGCGTCACCCCACTGTAGTCCGTAATGGACTGGCCTGAGGTCTCGCTACAAACAAATGGCTGCAGGTAGAGAGTGGGCGAGTTGTGTTTAGTCTCTTTGCTAAAGAAATTAGTCAAAGTTAAAAAGATGTTTGGTGGCTAGTACTACAGCTGGGACCCTATGTGTACTGTTGATGAAGTTAGGTGCTGTTCTGAGCATTATTTGTGGCTATAGAGTGGCGTTTTGGTTGAGGTTTGTTTATGGCTCCTCAGACAGCTGTGTATTTCTATCCTGCGGTTGTTACTAAAGTTGGTATAACTAGAGAAGCAAGTGGTCGACAACATTCATCTCTGGAGGGGGTGTCTAACTCTGGGTTACGGTATGTTTGACCCTAAATTAATTTTACGCCGGAATATCCCTTAAATGTCCAGAATTATTCATCGGCTCATTTTAAACGAGGTTTAAACTAAACGGTTAAAGGTGTGAAACCAGAGAACCTGGAGGATTATTAAACTCCTAACAGAGATAGTCTGATCTAATCCCGGACCTCCCAAAGGCAGATTTAAGTCCACATTTCTTTCTTGTCTTTCCCAAGATCTGGATACTGCAAGTACGCATCTGCTGTCATAACTATTGTGGGCAACTAAGCTATATCTCAAAGTAAGTAATCTGATTGGACTTGATTCTGAAGATGTACATAAACTTTGTCTCTTTAGTATTCAGACTATTTGTAAAATAGTAAAAATCTTGTTTATGAAGAACAATATGAAGCAAAATGTAAGTGCAGAAATGTAGAATATCAGTGGTGAACCTGGTGGTGAGTTTCTTATCCGAGGACTTAAAGTGTGATGGGAATGTTAAAAGGCTACATCCAGAGACCTCTGCAATTCCATCAGAATTATGAGAGTCTGAGTCTGGGAACCGGATTAGCCTACAGATGAAAATCATGTCCTTTTTCTTTGTTCTTATCCTCAGAGTCCAACTTCACATGTACGTTTCACTCTCTGCCGACCTGTAAAGACTGTCTACTCTACAGCGTCAACAGTATAAACAACAACTTCTTCCATTATGTGATGAATATCAGCAACCCAACATCCAAGGACGAGATCAAAGACTATCGGGCCCTTTACCTTATGGGTAAGATCACCAGATCAGAACTAAGCCTTTTGGTTGGTTGGTTGGTTGGTTGGTTGGGTGGGTGGGTTGTTGGTTGGTTGGTTGGTTGGTTGGTTGATCCGTTTTCTGCTCTGTTTGGTTTTCCAGCCAGAGACGTCTATCTCGGACTCAGACCTGGAACATTTTAAGAAGCAGGCGAGATGCCTTGGTTTCACAGGAAAATCAGACTTCTTCTACGACCCCAGGAATGGTGCGTCACCTTTGACCCTGTCCGATAAAACCATGTGTTTGAGACATGTCAGATCTCATTTCTGTCTCTCCTTGTATCCACAGAGTTCTGCAATGAAGGCCTGAAAAGTTAGGAACAAGGAAGTCCTCAGACCAAACCCCTGGACAAATACTCCGAGCTGATTTGTATTTTTTAGTCATAAACTGAAATGAAACTTTGAATATAAAAAAACTGTGGACATTTATTTTGAAATGTAACAAATATGGAGAGGTGTGGAAGGGGTTAGGGGGAGAAACATGGTTTCAGGTAAAATGCATACAGGTGTACACAGGTGTAAACAGATATGTACAGGAGTACACCGATGTAAACGGGTATATGCCGGTGTACACAGGTGTATACAGGTAAGTACAGGTGTGTACAGTTGTATACAGGTGTATAATGGTGTAAACTAACAAAAACAATTGATCTCAGTGCAGCTAAAATGAGAAGGCAGATGAATTTCTATGTGTTTTTTTTTTTTTTAGTTGAAAAATCTGATCAATAAAAATGTTTTAAAAATCATGGATCCAAAGTATGACCGAAGACTCATAAAAAACCTTCAGAGGTCACGTCGTCTCAGGGGTGTGTGTACCTTTGCTATGAACATAACATGTCATGGTCATGGTCTCACTTCACTGTTAATGAATAGGTTCAGTTTCATATGAATTTCTCTCCCAAAGAAGCAGCTGGAGGTCCTACAGGCTGTTCAAGAGGAACTGTTTTCACTTTTTCAATTAATAAAAGAATCTTTGAAACATACTGTGTCATACTGTTACTGCTGGTCAACTACAAAGTGGAATAATGTACCAAGAACACGTGGATATGTGAATCAAGAAGCTGGGCAGAGATAACGATGATCCAAAACAAACTGAAAATGGATTTAAAAACCGATTTCAGGTACCAATTAAGGTATTTAACACTGCGTAAATGTCCACATCCAGACAGACTGCAGGTAGAAATAAAGAGGGTTAGGGATAGTTGAATCAAGCTGCAGAAGAACTGTTGATGAGTTGGTCAGTCGTGGGGTTATGTTTAATGACGGCGTGTTATTCTGAATACAGTTGAATCAAAGCTCATGCCATGAGAAGCCCTCATGTCTGTTTATCTGAGGATTAAAGTCCGTTAGAGGGCGGACGCTTTGAGATGCTGTTAAAGTTAGTGTTTCCTAGATTTACCTGCCCTGACCCTGTCCAGACAGCAAGTCAGAGAGCATCACATTTCAGTTAAAAGAACATCACAAAACTGCAGATGAGAAAACTGTTTTAGAACTGCGTGGGTAACAGTGTGAATTGAGGAGTTATAAAAAGTCGATTCATCATAAAAATCATAGAAAAAGTGTTATCGGGGTGTCAGTCAAAGAAGATGTAAAAATGTAGTCTGTCTGTGCATGTGTGACAGAAAGAGAGAGAGAGGGAAAAAACAGTTTTAAGAGAAAGGAAGAGGTGTAGAGAAAAATAGAGTCCATGGAGTCTGTTTTAGGATTTAACAGTCAAATGGGTTCAGAGAGTTCCTGTTTCCATCATTGAAAAAGAGTTAAATTATCAGGAAGTGTAAAGAGCAGATAGAAGAAGATAAAAAGAGACATCTTCAGATGAGAGGAAGAGTTTAGAAGTTGAGCCATTAAAATCCCACAAAGTACAGAGGAAGAACGGTGACAATAAAGAACCAAGAGAAAGGAAAAGAGGAAGAGACTGCTCCACAGACTACATGTAGACCAGTTAGACCCACAGTCAGAACTGATCCAGATCCTCTGTCCCTGTTTGAAGTGGTTCCTGAAGAGATGCCACAACAAATGGGGTGGTTTTCATCCCCCTCTCAGCTTACTGCCTGGCACTCCTGGAAATGTAAGAAACTGCAGGGAGGATGTCAGACCCTGAGTGTTGGGTTCAGCTGTGTTAAAAATGTCCAGGGTTACAGTAGACCTGAATAAGAATAGTCCTGGGTTACAGAAGTCTTGGGTTACAGTAGACCTGGATTAGAATAGTCCCGGGTTAAAGAAGTCTTGGGTTACAGAAGTCCCGGGTTAAAGAAGTCCCGGGTTAAAGAAGTCTTGGGTTACAGTAGTCCTGGGTTACAGAAGTCCCGGGTTAAAGAAGTTGTGGGTTAAAGAAGTATTGGGTTACAGGAGTCCTGGATTAGAATAGTCCCGGGTTAAAGAAGTCTTGGGTTACAGTAGTCCTGGGTTACAGAAGTCGTGGGTTAAAGAAATTTTGGGTTACAGTAGTCCTGGGTTAAAGAAGTCCCGGGTTAAAGAAGTCTTGGGTTACAGTAGTCCTGGGTTACAGAAGTCGTGGGTTAAAGAAATTTTGGGTTACAGTAGTCCTGGGTTACAGAAGTCGTGGGTTAAAGAAGTTGTGGGTTAAAGAAGTATTGGGTTACAGGAGTCCTGAATAAGAATAGTCCTGGGTTACAGAAGTCTTGGGTTACAGTAGACCTGGATTAGAATAGTCCCGGGTTAAAGAAGTCTTGGGTTACAGGAGTCCTGGGGTGAACACACAGTTTATTTTTGAGATTGTGGACCAACGAGTACTCGTCCATGAACCTGTAAACCAAAGCTGCCCCCATTCAAAAACTGATGGTCTTTATATTCAGGTCTAGTCCTGGGTTACTATAAATTAATGAGACCCGGGTCTAGTGAACCTGGAGCTGCAGTAAAGTGTTGGTTCCTGTTGTTGCATCTGTTCGGATTTATGAACAGGACTGTTGGAGTATTTCAGTGATCAGCTGTTCAGGTTCAGGGACAGTCCACCAGTATCAGAAGCTGCTGGAGGACAATTTCATTTATTTAGATCTCCGTTAGCTTTGGCTAAGGCCATCGCTCTTCTTCCTGGAGTCTACATTTAAAATTAAGTCTCCATCGCAGTGCAGAGACACACACACACACACACACACAAAAAAAAAAAAAAAAAAACGCCACAAACACAAAGACAACGTCAATAACCACAACAACTCACAACAGCCTACAAGACAAAAACAAAACAACAAAACTAGAACAATACAAACTTCAAACACATGTTACTGGATCTGATTTCCACAGTGCTGCTTTCTGAAGTAATCAGATGTTTAAATATCAACACTCCACATAATTGAATTAATTTGCAGAAACAGTACCCAATACTTACGCAGACTTCAGATATTTCAAGTGAATCAGACGAACACTGATAGATTGTACAAAGCTTCATCTAAATAAGGAGCTGTTTGACTAATAAATGTTCTTTTAATGGATCGTTAAATCTGTATTTGTTGTGTTCTTGGATAATATGTCCTGGTAGAGAAGTCCATATCACCATGGCCCTATCCATTACCGTTCTTTTCATCTTGTTTGTGAATTTACCCTCCGTAGCATGTCTTGTTTTGTAACAGTGTTCATCCGAACTAAAAGACAAACGATCGTTAAGAACCCTTGGCAATTTCATCACAGATGATCTTCTAATGAAAGCTGCTAATGAGGCAGTAAATCTGTTCTTGGTTCTGTATGGACAGCAAGGTAAGTATCTCGCTGCCTTGTTTTGAGCTATTTGCAGTTTCTTTATAAGTGATGAAGCAGCGCACGACCAAACCTCTGAACAATAATCGAGGTGTGATAACACCAGACTCTTGATTACACATTTTTTGTCCCAAACACAATGCTGTTTGTCTTAGAGGCATTAAGAACTAATTTATTATCAGTTATCCAATTCACCACTACTTGAAGTTTCTGATTAAAAACACTGCCAAGCTCATCTATTGTGGTTTTAGCTATATATATTGTCGAATCATCTGCATATATTGACATTTTTGTATCTTTTAGGGTCAGTGGTAAGTCATCCATGAAAATTGTATATAGCAAATATACCAAGACTGCTGAAGACCACCAGGCCGAGTTATTGGCTCATGGTCTCTAAGCAGCTCTTAAGATCTCAGACCTTTTTTGGAGGGTTAATAAAAATCAGTGCATGAGGGACTGAAGCACGTGAAGTTCTGCTGGAGCTAAGAAATAAGTTCACTGTAATGACCTGAAGTTTAGTTTGACTTTCAGAAAAGTTCGTTTATTTGGTGTAAACTGAACTTTGTGCTCGCTGCAGAGAACTGACCTGAAGTAAAACTCAAAGAACCAGGATTAGGGTTCTGATTCACTTTTATTCTTTTACAGGAGAATCGGGAGGTGCAAATCTGATTCTGGTCCAGATGGGTTGATGATGTTTGATGCAGAAACCCTGAGGGACCAAACAGGTTCAAGTGTGAAACTGGTGGCATTATTAATATTTGTGATATGAAACAAAACAACAACTAAAAACCAGCATTAGCGGAGACTGCAGACTGTCCTGCCATGACTGGTTTTATTGGGGATGTTTGTGCATTATGAAAAGACAAGGACAGATCAACAAATCTGTAAATGTTTGATGTACAATTCAAACAGTGTCCTCAAAAGGTCCTTCAAAAACAAATCACCAAGGGTTCCCGTTTCAGCCTCAGGTGAGACAAGGTTGGAGCCCTCACACGACCGAGGGCAAAGAAAGAGAAACTGCTGACCCTGAAACCTTTGGTGTAAATAACCAACAGGAGCTCTTGGGTGAGTGCCACAGGCGTCTTTCATAAAAGCCGGACGCCTCAGCAAGGCTCCTATCATTCAGAGACAAAAAATATCTCAGATCAGATATCTCCGATCTACTCAATCTCAAAGCTTTAGCATCATGAAACTGTGGTTCAGCAGTCTGCTCCTGTTGGTGGAGTTGTTCCTGAGCAGCTCAGGCACAACGTACGAAGAATGCAAACCCATGATCACACCTAAAGCGACTTTCAAACCGGTAAGCTCTGCTCTGTTTCGGTCTGGGTCTGTAGGTCAGATCGAGCAAAAGCTATTTAAACTGGATCACTTATTATTCTGATTTTTAGCACCAGCTTTCACTTTCGATTACTTTAAATATGAAACGATACTGAAAAGAGTCACTCAGACAGGAAGTAAATGAAGATGAGTCTTATTCCATGTTCACCCCAAAGACATGTCGACAGGACTGAAGATACTTGATCCTCTGAGACTGAGGAGGTTCTGAAAACCCCTCAGACTAAGGTGGTCTCACAGAAAGACCTTCTTACTTTTGAATGAGCAGAAAGAGTCCAAATCCAGACCCGTCCCTCATACAAATACTGGTGCTCGGTTGTGTTCATGAAAGGTATTTGTGTCTTCTCCTCTGACTCAGTGTTTGTTTGTTTGCAGGACAGTTCTGTGTTGGGGAAGTGGACCTGGATCTTGGGTTATTCTGATAATCCAGTGAACAGTGGGATTTACAGCTCAATCCACAGCAAATGGGTCGAATACAAAGCCATTACGTCCGACCCCAAACACATGATCGAGGATGAAGGGGTCCGGCAGTGAGTACTGACCCTGTGACTTTGGACCTTTCATGTAACATGGTAACAGGCTCCTATTAAAATAACTTCATCTGAATCAATCACTACCTAGATGACACTCACCTGTCTCCTTCAAAGCGCAGGGCCAGCTTACTCTTTAAGGGGCCAGGTTGGGAACTAAATGAATTAACCCTCGAACACTATTGCTAGTAACACCATCACTGTCGCCGGGTGATTTTTATCTGAATAATATACCCAAGAAAAAGTACTTGTCATCAAAATATATCAAAATAGGACGATACATGACAACTCAACTCAACTCAACTTTATTTTTAACTGTTTAATGTTCAGAGGGAGGGGGGGAGTGCAATGAGGGGACCATATAAAAATGCAACAAAATAACTGAAATCAGGCATTCATGAACAAAAAACTCTTAAAAAATATAGATATAGAAACTGTCGTCGTTTTCTTCCGCTTGCATAGGAGGCCGGCCACGAGGTCTCCTCCCGGTGGGCCAAAATGTAAACTTTGTTTCTTTTCCACCCATTCCTGGGGTATATGAGTCTTCCCTGGTGAAGACTCAGGGTCCTCGGCACAATAACAGCTGCAGGAGAGAGAACCAAAATATGGCAGATTTGAAGTGAGTAAAAATGACCAGCTGACTCAAATATTTCTTATCACCATATGAATCCCCTTGAAAATCACTACTTTGTGATAGTTATTCATATCCACAGCGCTAAATAAAGATAGCATGTGAATTCCAGGATCTCTCTTACTGACCTTATTCCCTACATGCCGCTCAGGGACACAAATATGCCTTCAAAGATGTCAAAGGAAATGCTGAAGCTACCCAGGGACCCATGATACTCAGACAAACGCAACATCCTGAAAATCACGTCAACATGTTCGGTTGGGTGAAAATCACCCGGCGATAATCTTCTAGGGTTTAATGTCGTTCATCTAGACTCTGCTCAGTACCTGTCTGCAAACAAATGCAGACCAGAGAGTGTCATCGTCAGTAGTAATGCTACAGAGACTGAGGCTAACAGGTCACAGGTACGAAGTCAGTATCCAAAGATTGAACGACCAACCAAACTATCAAACAGTCACAGGCAGATAGAGGTAAGCCCATTTTTCAGACTGGTTTTAAAGAACATGAAGTTCCTCTCGTAGAATTTCCCTCTGGTGTGTTTTCCTTTGAATGTAGATGTTCGGTGTATATGAGCTCTGTGTTTCTGTGCCCTCAAACTGAGATTTTTTCAGACAGTGTTGTGACAAATCAACATATACTCAGTAGAAGAATGCATAGGAGACAGGATGAGATCTGAAGAGCAGCCTGGGTGTCTTTATTGTAGAAATTGGTACAGATGACAAACAGAGTCTCAACCAAACCAAGGGAGAGACGCTTTTCCCATCAACTATCCAATTACCGGGAGATCGTCCGAGGACAGGTCACACTGTTCTGAGATTCACCCATTGTTTAGATTATTCTTGGACTTCCTAGAAACGATCTCTATGTGTTTTGGCAACGCAATAAGTTTTGGCTCCTGCAAAGCAGCCTGGGTTATGCAACCTCAGGCTGCACAACCAGGCCTAACCCAACATGTTTATGAATCCTTAATACAGGATAATCACATAAATATTCCTTGCATTAACCTATGGATTCCACTACAACAGCAGATGTGCTGCTTTTGTGTTGTCATGGTGTTTGTCACAGTTTTCATCGCCATCGTTGTTGTCACAGCTGACTCTTCTTCCTTCTCTTTTTTTCAGCCCACTAAATTGTAAGTTTGCGACGACCCCCTTGACCTTCGTTGACAATTTCGCCATATCCCAAAGTAAGTGTCGGCTCTGTCGGCTCTGTTTTCAATCCTGCAGCTTCTAACCATTGTTTTCTATGTTAGATGTCATTGAACAGAGGAGAGAGCTGTAACCGAAACACCAACTTTATCTAAATAACTTAATTTTGGTCTTATTAAGAGTGAAAGGGGTTTAAAGCTGTTTTTACTGACACTCCTGTTTCAGGATGTGGTTCAGCCTCAGGAGAGGATCAACTGAACCCTCCTAGGTTTATATAAACTGAGGAGGATTTATAAACTCATTTTCTCTTTGTGTTCAAATAAAACTGTTGATCCAGAATCAAGGACAAACCTGCAGGTTTGTTTATTTTTCATGATTCCTCCTGTGTTAGGGTCTGCACTGACCCATTATTGTTTTAAAATGCTTAAATGAACCACTTAAATCCGCTTTTAAGTGAGCCACTTACAAATTTTTTGACTTTGTCAGGAACCTCTATTTCAACAAAATAAAAATAAAAAAATTAAGTTGACTAAATTATAAAATGCTCTTATTAAAATGATGGCACTTGTCGTGTTAGTGTCACTGTTGACCCGGTTAGATCAATATCTAATAATTAGAGCAAAAACTGAAATCATAAGTGCACTGACAGTCAGATCCTCTTCCATTCAGGTGAGATTTAGGAAATTCTCATTTTTCACGTTTTTCCTGCACAAAAAAACAAACAAACCGTCGAACATGTCCAGACATGTGAGATCAGTTCAGTATAGATGTCTGTGTGAGGGGTACACTGACAAAGAAAGGCCCAGAGGACCTCAACTCAAAATATTATAATCAATATTTTCATGGATAATCAAGCCGAACAAGGTAACCTCGAGATTAGAACCAAACTGGATGATAGAGAATTGTTTTGAGTGTAATTTACAGCTGATTTAAGACACGGGTCAGAACCGACCCTGAACATGGTGGGTGCGTAGTAAAAGCTAACAGGAGGAAGGTTAATCCAGATTTACGCTCACCGCCAACAACACTGAGGAACCTTATAAAGGTTTATTATCACCCATGAAGCCCAGAGAGGATTACAGGGGTCCTGATGAGACAGGAAAGGGGGATGGGTCCAAACACAGGGTTTCTTTTGGTTCCACAACTCTTCTGTAGATCTGGTCCCCGTCCAGGCCTGGGCTGTTTTCTTAGTCCTTCTGTTCCTGTCCTCAGAGTCCAATATCAGCCGCATGTACAGGCTTCTGCCCACTTGTGACAACTGTCTCCTGCTCCACATCACGGGCATCAACACCCAGAACCTGTTCGCCCACACCGACCCCACATCGTTGGAGCAGCTCACTATCCACAGCAGCCTTGCCCTGCTAAGTAAGACCAGCTCAGAGAGTCCAAATCCTCCTCCTGAACCCGGAGACTCTTTTTCATATCAATCTTATTGTCTGTTTCAGCCAAAGACGGGACCATCTCAGATGAAAACCTGGAACACACCAAGAAGCAGGCAGCTTGTATGGGTTTTACAGGAGAGCCTAGTTTCCACTACAACTCTAAGCACAGTGAGTCCTGGTCCAAACTGATCCATGACACCTGTTATTCAACACTGAGCTGATCCTCTCTGTCTCTCTTTGTCTCTGCAGCACTCTGTGAGAAAGACCAACAGTAAGACGAGGAGCTGGAGGGAAGACCAAGTCCTCGACAGAAACTAAAACTGTGGAAGTAAAATTTGAGCCAAAACCTCCTGATTCGTTTCTTTATTCAGGTGAAGTTTGAAAAACACTTTTTATACGGAAACACAGAGGGGTCAAATAAGGTGAAGACCATGTTAAAGGGATATTTCGGAGTTTTTAAAGTTTCTGTATGAGTAAATGTCCTTGACGCTACCCAATTCGTCCCAGAAACCCGATTTGTACTGGGCATGTGCAAAACGTACGTCACTTCCTCTCTTGGCATTTCAATGTATTTTGCGGCAGTGAGTCACTACCTACCTGATCCATACTGCGCAAGTGCAAATTTACTTCACCTTAAAAACTTTTTTTAAACTACCGATCGATTCAGAAACAGGCTGAGCTCCTGCCCAGCACAGTGTGACCTTTTGGGCCACAGAGAGCACCACCACCCGGTCAAAATTATGGTTCTCAAGGGGGGATTTTATAAATTAAATTTATTAACAAGAAGCCTACACATTATGGACAATGAATTTCAGCATTTTTATACAGAGATTCAATTTCAACACTGAAATATTCTCATTCATTCAAGTCTTTTATAACGACGTTACAATTTTACAATTTAGCTGAAGTAGGAATCTTTAATCATAAAACTGGGCGCTTTTCCCTTGACTTTCCAGTGCTCTGCTTCAGTCGGGGGAAGAACTCCATTCAGGAGAAAAGAAAAGTGTGTGACTGTTATAAACTGAAGCATCCTTTCTGACTGAAGCGAGCTCGCTGATGCTGAAGCTGTCAATCAAGTGTTGAAGCTGTTGCAAACCGCAAGGGGCAAAGAATTGCTGAGCTGCTGCAAAGATGGCTAGTAGAAGAAGTAACATACATTTCGCACATGCGCAGTACAAATCGGGTTTCCAGGACGGATCAGGCAGCAACAGTCCTTAACCCCCTCTTTCATAGGAACCTAATGGGAAGGCCGGCACACAAACTAGGCTACAGTTTTCTGCAGACAGAGCGACTCCACCATGACATTTAGATGAATTTAGAGAAATTTAGAGAGAGAGAAAAAGAGAAGGACAGAGGAGAAATTAATGAAGGTCCTCAGCAGCAGGAGGTCTCCAGCTGTGATCCAGAGGAACCTCCAGGATGATGGAGCTCAGAGACTCTCAGTAAAAACTGTATCAGTGACTCTGATGAGGAGTCAGAGTTACAGTTTTTTCTCAGTCCGAACAAAACGCTCAGCAGCTTAAACCCTTTTATTAAAACAGTCCCTCTAAACCAGGTTACACTCGCCTCACAAACACAGTTTCACTCACATAAGCACACACTGTTCTCTGTGACACACGTGTGTAATGATAACACAGGTGTTACAGCTTAAAACACAAAGACTCAAAATTAATCACACTTGTTTCTAATGATGAGAGGAAACCAGTTTAAACCAGTTCAGAGGGTTTTTCCTCGTTACCTGGTCCAGGAGAATCTGGTCTGTGAAGTCCTGAGGTCTGATCCAGAACGTAGACATGATGCTGAATGATTGTAGATACTGTAAGGACTTTAGTTTGATATCATGGTTTACACAGTAATGTGCTTCTGGTTTATATTAGTGTTTACTTTATTTTCTCTGAATTCACAGAGAATTTTATTTAGATTTATTTAGCTGTTCTAAACAGTGTGGTTTTTATTTTTTATGTAGCATGTAACGACGGCTCAGTCGTGTTTTTAATTTGGATGGACCGGGTTCGATCTGACATCTTGGTTTGGTTTTGCCGAGAGTAAAAGGTTTTCTAAGTGAAGTAAAAAAAAAAAGTTTTATTTTACCCATAAATCTCTATATGAGCGATAAACTACAATTATTTAGATATAACAACTAAAACATCACCAACTCATCCTTTAAACAAGTATTTGCAGCTGTTGTTGACGTTCCAGCTCCTCACCACTAGGTGTTGCCAAATATCCTCAGTCTTTACTCCGAACTGTTTAAAACATACCAACCTCAAAATGGCGGACGGGGGGGACGTTGGATCACATATACCAGGAAACTAGGCGACTAGCAACGGTTTGTCAGCACCAGCAGTCCGCCCTGTTTGTTTACTCTAAAGTCACGAGCGATTTCATGTGAAGAGAGTCGGTTTTTTGGAGAGGCTCAATAGACATGTGTTGCTATGGTTACATAAAATACATAGGCTACAAACAAATCTGTAAAATGAGTGTCTACGAAAGAATCTACAAACATGAACTTAAAAAAGGTTCACTGTTCCCGATTGACTTTTGTTTGAGTTTACTCCAGAGCAAGTATAGTGCGTGCGCGTGTGGTAGATATGACAGTAGAGGGTGAAGTGTATCGGCTGTCTCAACGACATAGGTACAGGGCGATTGTAAGGGATGGTTTCCATGGGAACAGCTGACTTTAAAGGAGAATAATAATAAACAGCTGCTTTTATAGGACAATATTAATGAAAAGCAGAGTGGAGGACGTTGACCTAAGCAGCTCCCACCCTGTGTTTATCAGCAGATTAAAGTCTATCCCTCTGAGTGGGTGGACGGTGGTTGTGTTTGTATTTCGTTTAATAACCCTGCTCTACACAGGAACCCAGCAGACATCGTTGAAAACATCCAGATTGACCTCCGATTGTAGGACTTTGGACCGAATCACGTTAGTGCTGGAAACTTCTAGAAATACTCCATCTCCTAAGCTGAACCCTGAGGGGGAGGTGTTGAATGTGATCAAAAACTCTTCTCTTATTCTGGTTCTGGTTCTGGTCCATCGGACAGTTTTTACTTGTTGTTATTTGTGGACTTACAGCTGAATTATCATCAGAACCAGAATACTTTAGGGTGAACACATTTTGATTACCGAAAAACCAGGACAGTGTCCGGCGATGAGATACTCAAATGATACTCAAAGATTACTCAAAAATGCTGTAAAATTGAAATAAATTTAAAGTCTGCCTCCTCTGCATGGACAGAAAACTGCAATATTACCATATACTGTTTATAACCAAAGACACAGATTCAGATCAGCTTCTCAGAGTTTACTCAACATGTTTTATTAAGATGAGCTTCTAAAATAATCAATAAAATAAGAATAAAAATAATCAACATGTTTTATTAGGAAAAGCTTTTAAAACTAACCAATTCAATTATTATAGAAATAATGTCTCCTCCATATTAGAAAATAAATGAATAAATGAAGAATAACTCAAAATTAACTGTGCTATTTTAGGAATCCAACTTTAAGTAAAACAGCTCTCTAAGTTCTTTACAGAGCAGCTGTTCAGTTTTCTTTTTCATCCCAGTGGCCAAATTAAAAACAAAGAAAATTAGTGAAACCAAAGAAAACCAATAAAAACCAAAGAAAACCAGTGAAACCAAAGAAATTAAGTGAAACCAAAGAAAACCAGTAAAAACCAGTGATCAAGTAAAACCAAAGAAAACCAGTGAAACCAAAAACCACTAAAAACCAGTGATCCAGTAAAACCAAAGAAAACTAGTGAAACCAAAGAAAACCAGTAAAAAACAACAAAAAACAGTCAAAAACAGTTCAACCAGTGAAAACCAATAACCACCAGTGAAAACCAGTGAAACCAATGAAAACCAGTGAAAACCAGTGAAACCAATGAAAACCAGTGAAAACCAGTAAAACCAACGAAAAACAGTGAAACCAGTCAAATCAATAAAAACCAATTGAAATCAGTGAATACCAGTGAAAACCAGTCAAACTAGTAAAAACCAGTGGAAACTAATAAAAAACAATGAAAACCAATGAAAAATCAATTTAAAGGACAGGACAGGATAGAAGACCAGGACCTTCAGTCCCCCTAAATCACTTCATTCATTCCGGGAAGGAAACTCGGTATAGCAGAAAGCGGACCCCTTAGAGGACCCCCCAGTCTAACTCCAGAGATCAGACTCTGTGATTGATTAATTAATTAATAGGAAGGAGGCCAGGAGTCCAGCACAGTTCAATAACACGGTGAGCACACACACTCTTTGGACCGGCAGGGGCTTGTGTGGGCTCAAAGCGGCTATAAACTGGACCGCCTCAGTCCTCTCACTCTGCTGTCCTCAGAAGCCCAGGTCCAGGCGTGTTCGACTCTCTCAGAGCAGGATGATGACTTTTGTGAAGGGATTGATGCTGCTGCTGATGGTAGCAGCTGCTAACGCAGCCCCTGGTAACTGCGATGGTCTGAACCATACCAATACCATTTCAGCCAAAGACCTGAAGAAGGTGAGTCTGATCCTGGACAGCCTGGAGCTCAAACACCAGTCTCTGCAAACCTCCACCTCTTAAATTCATCCATATTTCAGAGGTTCTGGTTTATTTGTAGCTCTTAATGAAATCTCCACCGGCTTCCGACCACGAATAGAGTTTCATGCTCAGAGATATAACGTATGATTATCGGAAACTTTTGTTTTGATTCATACTGTCATCTGTTATTTTCACTACGGGCAGATGCCTTCAAAACTTCTAAAGTCATCTAAACCTGATTTAACCCACCCCACCCCTTAACATTTATAGGGGAGAGTGAGGTAAGTTGAGCCAAAGGGACCAAATATTTAGGAGATGGGCATCAATTCATGGAGTCTGTGAAGGTTGGAAGCACACGGGTGAAGGGGTTAGTTTTATACATCAATAGTGGTATCTATGAGCTACAACAACATAAAAGTCCATCACTTTAGCTTAGAGGACTAATAAAGTCATTGTTGTTCTGGGGTGACTGAGAAAGTAGGGGAGTCTGATGAGAGAATCTGAGTTTCAGTTTAGATTGTTGAAATGTTTGACTTTTTCTTTTCAAAAATACAGCCGTGATTGTTCTGAAGCACTTAACCCTAGTGTACCCTTCTAATTTTACACCCTTTCGTCCTCTTCTGGCTGTTTTTGTCCACTAACTTTAGCTGCTGTAAAAACATATCAGAGAGATTTTTTTTTTCTTTTACTTTTTTTTCTCAGATCTCTTCATCAAGCTCAGTCCTGATACAAAATACTAAATTTTTGAACTTAGCCCATACACGGGGTAAGTTAACAATAGGAGACCACTTTTTTTTTTGCATGCTATATTATCAAGATTAGGGTTCTGTTTACACTTTTGTTGGTTTGCAGGGATGAACAACACCCTGAAAAATACACTAGTTAGAGACAACACTAGGATTGACTTGATGTAGTGATCCCATCATGCTTTGCTAATATAGACCAGGGTCCTCTTAAATCATGTGACTGGCCTAAAATCTTCTCCAGATGTTGACACGAACCTTTGAGTGAAAATCCACTGTGTCCTCAGAGGTGTGTGCTTGACCCCGACCTGTCCTCCTCCTCCCACAGATCCTTGGGGATTGGGTTCTGGTCTGGTCAGCCTCCAACCATCAGGAAGGCTGGGACCTGCTGCGAAACATTTCCAGCTCCCACGTGGAGCTCAGCATGCACACGAATGAGACAGTCGAATTAGTGGAGAGGAACATGCACAAGTGAGTTTCATTGTGGCGCCGATATGAACCACCGGGAGTGTGGTTTCTGGAGGTGGATTCAGAACGTGTGTTTAGACTCTCGGGGTCCTTTAAAGTCAATGTTTCATGAGAGAAAACCAAAGAATAGATCTGATGTGTGGCAGTGTTCACTGCTGCTGCTGTTGCCTCACTTGATCTGGTTGTTTTAAGGGGAGGTGTCTGCGATAAGTACAGTGTCAACATGTCGATGCCCTCAGACCTCGACGACTTCAAGCTCACTTTTTCCTCTACAGGTGAGTCAAAGAAACACACAAGAACTGTCTCTAACAAGGTCATGCTACATCAGTAGCTGTTCGTGGTGTTTTGATTAATTGTATTTTCGATTTTATGTTTTTTTAGTCATGTTTTTCCTGACTTTGATGATTGTGCTTAAGTGTTTTTTATGCTCCCTTTGTTGCACAACCAATTGCCCCATTAGGGGACAAATAAAGTTATTGATTGATTGATTGATTGATTGATTGATTGATTGATTGATTGATTGATTGATTGATTGATTGATTGATTGATTGATTGATTGATTGATTGATTGATTGATGCTGAGTAAACAGGTCTGTCAGCCGGATCAGCTGTTCTTATGACATGATCACTTTGAATGACAGCTCATCACTGCAGCTATGTGGGCAGTGCCTGAGTAGCTCTCAGTTTCCTCATTGGCTCTTCTCCACAGTATTCTCCAGCAAATATATATATATATATATATATAAACGCTAGATGGCTTACACATGCAGTTAGCCTATGGAGACCAATGTCCAAGCATGGCGGCCATCTTGCTACAGGCAGCTCGCCCACTCCTAACATTCCAGTCTACGGTTCATGTAGCATTTAAATAACCATAGATTGATTGATTTTAAACCAATTTTCAAACAGTTTGGTTTGTAACAAACCTCACAGTTTTAGTTATGTTCCTGCATACTCAAGAATAATTTTAACCATGGATTTTCATCAATAAACATTAATCAGATAGGTAGAGCAATAGCTATAGGCCTACACACAAGGCAGTTATATTAAATCATTTATATATAAAACGTTTAATCATTTCATGAATGTTATATTAGTAAAATTTCTATTATAGGGATAACTATAACAACATATAACACAACATATATGTATTTATTTTCAATATAAATGTCTGCCTCATGTTGCCATTTTAGATGTTTTTAACAAACCCAACAGTTTGGAAATCATGTGCAACTTCAGTTATGTTGAATTGAAGAGCATTTCTGCCACTGTAACTGATGTAAAATTACTGGGTCAACTTTGTGATATGTACTTGGTCTCACTCACAGCCAAGTTAGACAGCTGATAAACACAAGCACATCTGCAAAGACTGGCACTTAGACAAAAAATATAGGCTGTCATAATTAAAATCTCGATTGTGGTCTCAGCCTTGACAAAGCGACTCAAAGTTAACCCTTGCGCGCAAATAGCTGTGAAACAACTGTACTTCATGATTAAGTCTTTTTTTTTTCTCAAAGAAAATCTGCCATTTCAATATGTCCGAGCTTCCCGACTCAAAGCCACGTTATTAAGGTCTGTAATAAACAAAACCATTTGTAAATCTGTCAAGATTCCAGCGAGTTAAGAGTATTCTTGATCATGGAGATTACTCACCTCCTGTCAGCTAACATCGAGCGTACCAGAATGGTATACTGGAGTAAGATGGCCACTGTGTAGAGACACCAGTGACTCCGCCTTGAGTCTTATAGCCTTTCTAATAGATTTACATGTTCTCCAATACTTGGTTTTTGTGGCCCTGTAAACAAGGTCTGGATCGATGCAGACTAATTCTTGTTCTATCTGGGCAGACTCTGTGATCCTCTGATTTATAGATTTGATATTTCTTTCTTTACACTCAAGTCAAACTTTTCTCATCACCAACAGATTGTTGTATCTGTGATCTGTTTAAAGGCTACCCTCAGTGACAGTTTTCAGGTCCATCTTTCCTCTGTTATTAAACTCTGGTTAGGTTGTTCAGATCTGCTGGTGGTCCACAGAGTCCACATGAACAGCTTCTGCTCTCCTAGTGCCACTCCTCCTCCTTCTCTTCCCACTTTGTTGCTCTTTTGTGGTGGCTGTTGTTTATCCTTATGTTTCCATGGTAACGTGGTGTTTGTTTGTGTGTCAGAGTATATTAAGGATGGAGCTGTTACCATAGAGGACGAACACGGCATTGTTTACTTCCTGGAGACCTCCTGCGATGACTGTATGGCCATGATCTACAGCATGAACGAAACCAAATACCTGCTCTTCTACAGTAAACCAACACACACACACACACACACACACACACACACACACACACACACACATACACACACAGACATGATGAAATAAATGACAGTGAAGTGATGAACCCATGTTTGTTTGTGGTGCAGAGAGGGAGGGCCATCACCAGGACTTGGCCAAGTTGAAGGAGGACCACGTCATGTACATGGAGATAGCTGACTGCAAGCATATCCCCCATGACATCATTTTCACCTACGATGGCGTAGCAGGTAATAATAATAATAATGATTATTTTTATAGCACTTTTAAAAACAGAAGACAAACATGTGAAGCAGAACATCCGAACATGGAAATAAAAACAAAAAAAACAAAGCCCAGTTAAAAACAAGGCCTCTGAATTGCAGGCAATTTTCATTTGTTATAAGAAACCCAGACAATACAAGCACCCTACAACATAAAATAAAATGGAAAAACAATAAAATTAATAAAAGGCAAAAAAAGGTTTAATAAGAAAAGATTGTAAGTAAAACAAAGGCTAAAAAGACAGGAAGTCAAAAAAAGAAAAGAGGTAAAAGAGATAAAAGATGGCATCGCATAAATAAAGTCTGTAAAAGTGAGTATTTAAATTTGACTTAAAGCAAGCAACTGTCTCTGCACGCAGTATCTCCTCTGGCAGGTAAGGGTGCTGAGGGTCTTGGTTCTGAGGGTCAGGGTACTGAGGGTATTAGTTCTGAGAGTCAGGGTACTGAGGGTCTTGGTTCTGAGAGTCAGTGTGCTGAGGATCTTGGTTGGGAGGGTCAGGGTACTGAGGGTCTTGGATCTGAGGGTCTTGATCCTGAGGGTCAGGGTGGTGAGGGTCTTTGTTCTGAAGGTCAGGGTACTGGGGTTTTGGTTCTGAGGGTCAAGTTACTGGGGTCTTGGTTCTTGGAGTCAGGGTACTGAGGGTCTTGGTTCTGAGGGTCTTGGTTCTGAGGTTCTTAATTCTGAGGGTCAGGGTGGTGAGGGTCTTTGTTCTGAAGGTCAGGGTACTGGGGTTTTGGTTCTGAGGGTCAAGTTACTGGGGTCTTGGTTCTTGGAGTCAGGGTACTGAGGGTCTTGGTTCTGAGGGTCTTGGTTCTGAGGTTCTTAATTCTGAGGGTCAGGGTGCTGAGGGTCTTGGTTCTGAGGGTCAGGCTGCTGAGGGACTACTTGGTTTTAAGGGTCAGGCTGCTGGGGGACTTGGTTCTGAAGGTCTTGGTTCTAAGGGTCAGGGTTCTGAGGTTCAGGGTGCTGAGGGTCAAGTTGCTGAGGGTCAGTTTTCCATCAAGGCCAACGTTTTACAATCCTAAGACCTTTGACCTTCTCTCCGCTCTTGTTCCCTCTCAGATTTTTGTCATAAGAAGTCCGCCCCCGAACATCACGTTGAGGATGTGGTCGTAGTTCCTGAGCCTGACGTCCCCACAGTTCCTCCTCCTCCTCCTCCTACTCCTGAATCATCCTGAGCACACGTGGCAGAAGGACCTCAAAGTTTGGGCGTTAGGAAGTGTGATCCATGAATAAATGAAAACAAAAACTCAAAGTCACGTGTGTTTCCTTCTTGAGTCCCTGTTTTAAAGTTCTCTGTCTGAACCTGTTCCTGAGTACCTGAAGAAAACAGATCTACCTGACCAGGAACTCTTTGACTCAAGTTTCTCGGATTTCAGTATGACCTGGATTTCTTTCTTTACTTTGAAACCGGGGTGTCTGTCCGCCCGACTGTACAATAACTGAACCTCGCATACTTAGCTTTACCCACTCATTGCACCACTCAGGCGTACCTGTCAGTCATGCCAGCTCTGCCTCTAATTGGCTAACCATAGTAACTTAAGTAAGAAAAAGAAACACCCCTCAGGACCGCAGGAGCTGTGAGATACTCAGACACTTCTTTTAAAAATGTTTTTTTCTTTTGGCTCAGTGTGTTTGTGGTTTCTGCAGACAGCCTTTAGTGGACACTTGCGGGACTGCGGTCATTTATGAAGACCGGAGGTTGCTGTTTGGTATTTCTGTGTTTTCAAGAACTTGTAATCTTAAAGGTCAAGATGTGCGTCAGGAAACATCTGCCAAGTCGTGGACGTACGTAGGTGTTTGGATATGAGACTTATTAAGACCTGACGCCAACCGACCACCAATGGTGAAAGGGTTATTACGGACGCAAGAACTACAGGTGGGTGGAGTCATGAGTCCTTGAAGATGGAAACAATCACTGAAACCCTGAAAACGAGCATTAGTCCTCATCACTCAGGATCACAGAATCCACAGTGAAGAGAGTTTAATGACGGCACACCTGAACAAACCGACATGCCCCTTCACTGGAGAGTCCCTCTTCATTATTGTCTGTATGAGTGTAAAACATAGAGACAGATTCAGATTAGGATTAAGATGACTTTATTAATCCCCGAAGGTCAACTCACTTCGCAGTAACCCGCCTTGTTGTTAAATGATCTGGAACAGACAAACACCAGACACTCACATGACCCAAACATTCCCCTGTCAGCACCACAAATCAGCAATAAATAAATAACTAGGTAATAAGTACATGTGCAATACGTTCAGCAGTGGAATGTCTAAAACAAAAAATAATGTGATAAAAAGAATCAAATAAGAACTAGAACAATACTGGGACTCCAAAATCCAACAGAGGCCACCAATCTGCTACTTCCCTGCAGTCTCAGCCTATGCCTTCGGAGGGCGTAGTCTTTAAATGTGGGTGCTTGCTCCCTGAGAGCCCTCTTCCCTCTGCTCAGAGCTCTCGTCAGCCCCGCTCTCTCCGTTAATCACAACACCTGAGCTGCGTCCGAATTGCCAAGTAGTAGTCGAAGTAGTATCTAGCATGTCCGAATTGACCACCGGAGCGAGTAGCATGCTACTTCAGATACTACTTCAGATACTAGACACGCCCACATTGTAGGTTGGTCTCGGTGCATCCTACGGGCATGCTACTGACCCAAAATGCACCGCGGGCTTCTTCTTCGTCCTCTTAAAAGTTGTAGAAGCACATGTGATGCTAGCGCCATCAGCTACTGCCTATTTAGATGCATCGCGAACGCCGACTGGCCACAGCAGCGCGCACCATGTCGGAGCAGCAGCAGGCGGGACCGCAGCAGTACAGATGGAAGTTTCATGTAACTTCACACACTGTCCTAAAAAATGTGCGGTTGTATCTCTTTGTCATGTCATGGTGTCATATTTGCCCAAATAATCATTTTATGAGCAAACATGTGGCGACATCATGGAGGTAAAGCTCACTTATTCCATCTTTAAACTGCACAGCTGCAGTAATCAGGCAGATCTCATTGAACAAACGATCACCACGTGAGTGAATGAAGGATAAAAGTAATGGAAAAGCTACTTTGTGAATTTCTAAAACAGTGCAGGAACATAATACAGCAGCATCCATCACTTGCACAATTACCATTCAAAGAGTCTAAAACGGGCGCAGTACCTACTCTCTGCCTGCGGGGGTCGTCTTTCCCCACCGCTCGTCTAGTGCAGGGGTCGGCAACCCGCGGCTCTGGAGCCGCATGCGGCTCTTTCTTCCCTAAGCTGCGGCTCCCAATGGATTTGGAAAATAAATAATAAATACTTAATTGCATTTTATTTTATTTTATTATTATTATTATTTTTTGTAATTCTAAATTCAAAGATTATAATGCTCTTGTGACATTAAATAAACTATTAAGGCTGCAACAACGAATCGATTAAGTAGATTCGTCGTGACGAAAAAATCCGTTGCCAACAAATTCTGTAATCGATTCGTCGGGTCTTTATATATGTCCATGGACACCGGCGTGTAAACATCAGCAGGACGCACAGAAAAGAAACAGCCGAGGCAGCGGCTGAGAAAAACATGGACACAACCCAACCCAAATCCCGACCTAAAACATCAGTGATGTGGGAAAACTTCACCAAGACTGAAAAGGAAGGCGTTCAGTGCAACATTTGCAAAGACCGTTTTGCATGGCTCGGGAGTACATCGATGATGCGTGAGTACAGGGCTCTCAAGTCTCACGCATTCAGCGTATGACACACGCATTCCCACTCGTTCACACGCTCACACACCACACATTGTATTTCTCACGCATTTAAATGAACACGGTGATGTCCACCAAGTTGCACTTCTTCAACTTTGGAACTGGGGGAAATCAACTGAGTTCCTCCGAGAGTTCAGAAGCTGCGTGGCACGCACAAGCCAATCAAATAAAGTATATCTACTGAACAGCCAATCAAAAAGCAGCATTGCTGTATCCGGGTAGATTTTGATATCTTGCGGTTTAACTACAGAAGAAGACAGACACTCGCCGAAATAGTTCATTTATTTCATAAATGCAACTCGCTACAGTTTTTTATATACTTTGTATAAAGGTAAAAAAAAGATATATGCAGTGTTATCTTCATTTTAGATGTCAAAGAGGTTTTGTGGCTCCCTGTGTTTTCTTTTCTGTGGGAAACTGGTCCAAGTGGCTCTTTGAGTGTTTAAGGTTGCCGACCCCTGACCTAGCCCCACTTCTGCATGTTTTTGGGATGTAGGGGGAAACCAGAGTACCCGCAGTAAACCCACGCAGACACTTGGTGAACATGAACGCACTTATGTCATTCAAATTAGGGATGTTTGGGCGCTGGTCCCTGGTGCCCTTTAGGGACATTTCTATTTGGTTAGGACTTTTATTTGGCTCTCCTGTCCTCACAGATTTCCACCATAAGAGCCTTCCGCCCACAGAGTCCTGAGTGAAGACGGGGATCGAAGAAAGAAAACACCTGAACAGATTGGATGTTAGCAAATCTAATAAAACAAATACTAAAACCTGGATGTGTGTGTGTCTTAAAGGGCAAAGTTATCACTACTCCAATTAATTTTTGGGACATCTGCATCATCAGTGTGATAATTTTAGCAGAGACACATGCAGCACACAGATTATCCACTAGAGGGCAAGCTGCATGTAATAAATGCAATACAAAGATGTTCGGCCTGTGACACTGGTGTAATTCTGCACGGATGATTTTAACACTTTTAAGATTAATGAAACAGTCAAACTGTTACTGGATAAAAAAAATAATTAAAAAAAACATGTACTGACCAGTTTGATTATTTAATTTTACAGTCCTTTCCTAAATGTGTTTATCCAGTGACTTAGTTCTCAAATAATTCCAGTGTTACAAAGTTATAATGACATTTAGCAGACACTTTTCCAAAGTGATGTACATTCAAGAGCAATAACAACACAAACAAGATCTAGACAAGAGGAAACAAGATCAGGAGGAGCAACATATGCTTCAGGTCCATTTGGACTCAGGTTCTGTTAGGCAGTGTTAAAGGCAATGCAGAGAGTAAATGAAGGATTTTTTTTAAGTAAGCAGGCACTGGGTCACTCACAAAAAGATGGGAACAAAAAAGAAGTAGAGCAGGCTGACCTAAACTTTTTAAAACTTTTTTTATATCATGTCTTTTTTTCTTATAAATTTTCTTTTGTCATCAGTGTGGTGGAGATTAAAAGAAAATGTGATATCTACTTATTCTTGTTTATTTACGTCTCCTGGCCAAAGTCAAAATGTTTTTAAGCCATCATGACCTTGAGACAGCCATCCATGCTCTAATCAGTTCAAGATCAGACTATTGTAATCTACTTTATGTCGGCATCTCCGAATCATCTCTAAATCGCCTTCAACTTGTCCAAAATGCTGCTGCCCGTCTTTCAACCAACACTAACAGATGTGAGCACATCAATCCTGTCCTGAGCTCCCTTCACTGGCTTCCCGTCTCTTTTAGGATTGATTTTAAACTTTTAATGTTTGTTTTTAAAGCTCTTAACAGCTTCGACCCCATCCATTGAACCAAGCTTTTAACTGTTCAGGAGCCAGGTAGATCTCTGAGGTCATCAAACCAACGTCTGCTGGAGGTTCCCAGGTCAAAACACAAACACTGGGGTGACTGAACCTTGTCAGACGCTGGTCCCAGGCTCTGAAATAAAACTCCAAATCAAAATAAAACTTGTTTCCGACCTGGACCTGTTTAAATCTCAATTAAAAACATATTTATTTATGCTGGCTTTTAATACCCAGTGGCACTTTATTTTATATCATTGTGTTTTATTCTTTTTTTATATTGCTCTTATTGTTTTTATTGCCTTTTATTGTTTTTATTTATTCATTTTTATGTTCTAATGTAAAACAATTTGATTCACCAAAAGGGTTGTAGTGAAGGACTGTATAAATAAAGAACATTTACATTCTTATTTATTCATTTTATTTTTATGTTAAGATTTATTTACTTTTTGGCAATTTTTATTCATTAATTTATTGATTTTCTCTTTTATTTAATAATTTATTTATTACATATTTTTAATTTTTATTTTCGTTAAATCCACTTTATTTAATTTTAATTTAAATGTGAATTTTTTCTTTTTTTTTTTTTCTTCGTACATCCAAACGTCAAGTGGCGGTAGCGGCGCCTCTGCCTGTTGTGTAACAAATAACTAACGCGAAGACGCTGTGTCGTCAATCAGGTAAGCTATGTAATGCTGAAAAATTTAGGGGAAAAGGGGATGAACAGGATGTTAGAATTGTATAATAAGGTATGGGAGGAGGGAAGGCTACCGAGTGTATGGAAGGAAGCAGAGGTAGTACCGATCAGGAAGCCAGGTAAGGACCCATGCTCTCCTTCTAGCTACAGGCCAATAGCTTTGACTTCGAACATTTGTAAAATTATGGAAAGAATGGTAACAGAGAGATTGACATATGTGCTTGAAAAGAGAGGTACGCTGGCGAGATGCCAAAGCGGATTTAGAAAAGGTAGGAACACAATGGACGCAGTGGTGAGACTAGAAAGTGAGGTGAGGAAGGCGCAGGCAAATAAGGAATCTGTAGTGGTAGTGTTTTTTGATATAGAGAAGGCATATGACATGATGTGGAAGGAAGGATTACTGACTAAGTTGCAGGGGATGGGGATTGGGGGCAGAGTTTTTAATTGGGTAAAGGACTTTTTGAATGATAGGAAGATTCAAGTTAGAATAGGGTCAGAGATATCTAGTAAATATGAAGTAAGGAACGGCACTCCCCAGGGGAGCGTAGTTAGCCCACTATTGTTTCTTATCATGATTAATGATGTTTTTTCAGAGGTACCAGCAGATATAGGAAGCTCACTGTTCGCAGATGACGGAGCACTGTGGAAGAGAGGGAGGAACACCAAACATTTAGTCACTAAGGTGCAGACAGCGATTGATGGGGTGACAGAGTGGGGATTAGATTGGGGGTGTAGGTTTTCAGTAGAGAAGACTCAAACTATAATTTTTACCTGGAAGAGGGTGGGAGTAGATGTGTCATTGAGTATGTATGGTAGGCAACTGGAGAGGGTTGAGGCATTTAAGTATTTGGGGGTGGTATTTGATAAGAGGTTAACCTGGGCAGATCATATCAAGCGGGTAGAGGGTAAGTGCAGGAAAGTGTTGAATGTGATGAGGTGTCTTGCAGGCAGAGAATGGGGGGCGAGCTGTGATGCATTAAAAACAGTATATGTAGCTATGATTAGGTCAGTTATAGATTATGGGTGTATAGTTTATGGATCAGCAGCAAAGTCCCTTTTAGGAAAGCTAGATACGATCCAGACAAGTGCATTAAGGATCTGTAGTGGGGCCTTCCGGACGTCACCAGTGCCTGCAGTACAGGTGGAGTTGGGTGAGATGCCGCTATGCCTGAGGCGCAAACATCTCATAGCAAACTACTGGGTTAGTTTAAAGGGCAGCAGTGGTACCCACCCCACAAAAGGAGTGATAGAGGAGTGTTGGGAGGAGGGGAAAGGTAAGAGGGAGCATTTTGGTAGGATGGGGAATAGAATAACAGCAGAGCTTGGGGTGGGGGAGATGGAGGTAGACCTAACAATAGTGTATCCAGCAATGCCACCATGGAGAATGATATGGCCAACAGTGGATTGGAGTGTAATGGGAAAGAAAAGGAAAGAGGGAGGACAGGTAAGCTTGGTCAGCGTAGTTAATCAGCGCCTGAGGGAAGAATATAGCGGATTTGTTCAGGTATACACGGATGGGGCAAAACAACCTGAGACGGGGGTGACAGGATTAGGGGTAGTGGTGCCATCGAGAGGAATTGAAATCAATAGAAGGACATCAGACGGTCTAGCGGTAAACACAGTGGAGATGTTGGGGGTGATGATTGCACTGAAATGGGTGGAAAAAGTTAGAGTAAAGAGGGTAGTTATATGCACGGATTCAGCATCAGTTTTAGCTAGCATTAGATCATTCCATTCAAGCAGCCGTCAGGGTTTATTATATGAAATATTACAGTCAGTAACAAGAATAGTACAGCAGGGGGGTCAGATCAGTTTTTTATGGGTTCCAGCACATATAGGGGTGGAAGGAAATGAGAAGGCAGACGTGATGGCTAAGGAGGCGTTAGGGAAGGAATCAGTGGAGCTGAATGTTAGGTTAAGTAAAGCGGAAGTTAAGAGTATGATATGGGAAAAGCTTATTCAAATGTGGCAGAAGAAATGGGAGGGTGAGAAGAGAGGAAGGCATCTTTATAAGATTCAAGAAAGTGTTAAAGTTAGGAGGTTGGGTAGTGGACAGAGAAAGGAAGGGTCAGCATTGATAAGGTTGAGGTTGGGTCATTGCGCATTAAACAAAACACTGAAAATGATAGGGAAACACCAGACTGGGTTATGTGAGGGATGTCAGGTGGAGGAGTCAGTGGAGCATGTACTAATGGGTTGTAGGAGATATGAGATGGAAAGGGGAGAGATGAGAAGTAAGTTGAGGGAATTGGGTATGCAGGACCTTACACTAAAGGGAGTATTACAGATGGGGGACAGGGCACATGTGAGAGTGTTAGTCGAGTTTTTAAGGGTGACGGGGTTGATTGATAGGATTTAGTCTGTAGGAGTATGAAAGTGTGAGTGAATGAGATGGGAAAGGGTGGTGCACAGGGGTTTTGCATAAGAATTGCCAGAAGAGGGCGGTAATGCACCGTACACAAGAGTGCCAACTGCCGTTAAACTAGAAGAAGAAGAAGAAGAAGAAGCTGTGTCGTCACTTCCTCTAGAGAGTTTCAACATGGAGTCCAGCGGGTTGAAGCTGAGTTTCTGGGAGAATGGACCAAAACCGGGTCAGTTTTACTCTTTTCCCGGAGGGACAGCGTCCGGTACGGGATGCGGACCGGTCAGACACACACTGTGAGTGATCCGCCCCGACAGAACCGGGACTTTCAACCGTGAATTTAACAAAAAACTCCGCAGGTTTCGGTTTGAGCTCCGCGGTGCTGTATCATCATGGGAGCTAACGATGCTAAAAGCTAACGAATATACATATCTGATTTAATATTTTTAAAGTTAAATGAGTTAAATAAAGATAGAAAAGACTGTTAAAGGTTTATATAGAGTTTAAATGTAGGTCTCCTTTAGTGGTTGGTGTTCGGCTGAATATTTGTTAGCTTTGTCGGAGTTTTAACGATCTGAGTTTATAATATTATATTTAAAATGTATCTTGAATTCCCCAGCCCAACCCCTCATTCCCACCCCACGATCTAAACGCAACATAAAACATGGTTAAAATGCTATAACTTAAAAAGGGCTGTGCGCACTGAGGAAACGTCATTTTAAAACTAAAGATAAGGAAACGCTGGAGGTTTAAAATCTAAAAACAAAGAAACATAAAATGAAATTTAAGAAATAAGAAATAAAATTAAATAAAAACAACAGTAAAAGATACTTAAATAAGAGCACCAAAATAGCTCAGTAAAAGACGATCCTGTCATTGAAACAAGAAGAGACAAATGTTAAAACAATTAAACAAAGTTAATTATATAAAATTTAGTTAAAAGCAAGACTAAAAAGTTATGTATTCAGTTTGCTCTTAAAGTCATTCAGATTAGTTTCAGTCCTCAGGTCTTAGGGTAGGCTGTTCCATAGACGAGGCCGTAGTAATAAAACGGTTCCTCACCATATGTCTTGGTTTTAACTTAAGGTACTAATGTTAACAGAGAACTTCCTGAAGACTGTACCTGAATCATAATATAAATAAAAAAGGGCCAAAGCCATTAAGAGCTTTAAAAACCAATAAAACAACCTTAAAATCGATTCTAAAAGAGATGGGGAGCCAATGCAGAGACTTTAAAATCAGTGTAATATGATCTGTCTTTCTGGTCCTTGTCAACACCCATGCAGCTTAATTTTGGAGTAACTGCAGGTGTGAAATGTTTTTTTTGGGCATGACAATAATCTGAAGGGAGTTGGTCAGATAAATCTCTTCATTTCTCTCCTCTGCAGTAACCCCATGGTCACCGGGACATCGGTCCTCGGGGTGAAGTTTACCGGCGGTGTCATCATCGCAGCTGACATGCTGGGCTCGTACGGCTCTCTGGCTCGCTTCAGGAACATTTCTCGCCTCATGAAGGTGCCGTTCACCGAACAACACAGAAATCCTCAGTTTAAGTGTACTGAAAAAAAATCTGTGGTTCTGACAGGTGTTCTTGTTCCTCAGGTGAACAGCAACACAATCCTGGGAGCTTCAGGAGACTACGCTGACTACCAGTATCTGAAACAGATTATTGAACAGATGGTGTAAGCTGCAGCTCACACACACATAAAAAAAAAAATCTGCATCTTTATTGTGTCATGAATCATCTTCTGTCCTTCTGTCAGTATCGATGAGGAGCTGCTGGGTGACGGCCACAGCTACAGTCCCAAAGCAGTACACTCCTGGCTGACCCGAGTCATGTACAACCGCCGCTGCAAGATGAACCCGCTGTGGAACACGGTGGTGATCGGAGGTTTCTACAACGGAGAGAGGTGACCGCCTTTTTCTGTTTCCACCATTATCCTGATTCAATACTTGTATTAATTTTTAAACTCTTTGTTCACCTCCCTTTAGCTTCCTCGGCTATGTGGACAAACTGGGCGTGGCCTATGAAGCGCCCACGGTGGCCACAGGCTTTGGAGCGTACCTGGCTCAGGTGAGACAATGAGTCTGTCTGGAGGTCCTGATTCAAACTTCATGAGTTCATGAGCAGAAACAATGTGAAAGCTGTGAAATGAAGGACAGTTTGAAGGAAGTGAAAAAGGTTAGAGGCAGAAAAAAACTGTGCAGGACTGTTGATGGACTTGTCAAAAGCTCAGACTCTGTCATGAAACAAAGACTACTTAGTCTGTGGATCGCTGGACTCCACAGCTGATAGCAAGAGTTCTATTTTCTCTGGACACCGCAGCATGCCGGATAAATTTAGCACCGTTTAATCGTGCCGGAAAAGAAGTCAGGCACAGACACAAAATAAAACATCTGTGTTCTTTTCAAAATAAAACACTCTGTGTTTCAAGCGGATCGTATTTCACACCATGCAAACGGGCGGAGACGAACAAGTGAAAGGTTTTTAGACATAATTTCCCCCTGATGACACCATGGATGAGGAGATTCTGATTCTAGAAGTCTAGAAGTAGATTTCCTCCTCTGGAAGGACACAATCTACTGCTTATATGTCTATGTGGCTGCTCTATAGAGACAACTTGTTATTGGGTGATTGCACATGAATCCGCGGGTTCTTGTGGGTTCTTGCGATTACTGCTGTCCAGTGAAAATTGATTTTGATGGCGAAAATCACTGCTGTTCCGGATTGGAGCAGTTCTGGATTCTGTGATAATTGGGGGTTATGAGCTGAACTTGATCTTAAATCCTGGAATTTACAAAAAAAACCTCATGATGTTCATAAACTTAAAGACAAAACTGCTGAACCTCCCATCTCTAACTAAAACTCAGGGTGATGATGAGTCTGTAACCTCTTATAAAAAACTGAACTCTATGGTGATGATTCTCTGTCTGCAGCTGGTCGTCATACTTTTGTTCTTCTGCTGTTGAAAATCTTATTTTCTGTCTGGATCCCTTCTCTCTGTGGAAACAGTTCACCATGAAGAGTCCTCTGTGAGTGTGTGTTTGACCTGCTCTGTGTGTGTGTGTGTGTGTGTGTGTGTGTGTGTGTGTGTGTGTGTGTGTGTGTGTGTGTTTGTGTTTTCAGCCTCTGATGAGGGAGGTGGTGGAGAACAAAGTGGAGATCACCAAACAGGAGGCACGAGAGCTGGTGGAGCGCTGCCTCAAAGTTCTTTACTACAGAGACGCTCGCTCCTACAACAGGGTGAGTGCCCTTTGACCTCTCTGTACCCAGACTGCTGTCAGTCAGTCCTTTAATATAATAAGATCTTGTTCTTTACATGCTGTGGACGTAGTATAAATACTGCGTAAATACTCATCAGGGAAAAACTACAAGAAGTTTTAAAATCTGTGTTGTTGCTCATCATCCTCACAGTCGGGATTTTTCTTTAATTTGCAGTAAAAAAATCTCTGATAGTATTTGATATATGAATTCAATCTTTTTATTTATTTTTAATATCAGATTATTAATAATATTCATTTTCGCTGAGTCATTCTTCATGGTCATTGGAATCAAACATCTGATTGGCTCACAGTTAGTATTTATTTTCTAGCATGAGATCGCCATTGTCACAGAGGAGGGCGTGGAGATTATTGGACCCCTGTCTTCTGAAACCAACTGGGACATCGCTCACATGGTCAGGTAGGGTTAAAGGTCACAGGAAAGTGGTTTCCCAGACAGAGAACGCAGATCCCTCTCATACCCTGACCATTTTTTTAATGAAATGTAATCTCAAAGGTCTGGTCTCATAAAGTGACCTTCATTTCCTGCTGCTTCACAATAACAGGATACACTGCTGCTGATGCACTGTTTTAATTTAATGTGCTTTCATTGTTTAAAATAAAAATCAATGAGCAGAACCTGTTTACCTGATAACACAAAATCTATGGAAACAACGAAGCTCCTTGAATGAAACGACAGAAATCAACACCTGAAACGAACACCTGATATTCACTGAGAAGGAGGTGAAGGGTTTTAGATCACATGACAATGGAATAAAAAGGAGTTCTACAGTTAAAGCTGCTATGAGGAGGATTTTACTGGCTATGGATCTGTTTCCTCTTTATGACCCACAAAAGTACGAGAGGTCATCACCAACAACACTCAGTGCGTTTACATACACAGCTTAATAGGACTAAGCTCATAATTTGTTTTTTTCGCTGAATCCTTGTCCGCGTATACATGCAGCAGAGAAAATTTAATTATTGACTTGAACATGTCCTCCTCCCCAAAATTAGGGGGCAGTATTTGTCTGTTTCCGGACCTTTTTTCAAAGATCTCTCCATTCCTCGTTTCGCGACTGTCCACATACTTCAAAATGTCAATTTTTTTCAGGAGGGAAAGCATAGCGGGGCTCTCCTTGTCGTTCCAAAAGTGGACGTTCTTTTGTGCTTCAGCCATGTTGCAGTTGCTTCTGAGCCCAAAGTCCTTTAAGTGATAGCGCCACTTCTTCTCTGGTGTTTATGTTCCGGGGTTACGGGGGCGTGGCACACGCACACATGCACATGCATTGTCCGATCATACTCCGACTACACTGGTTACATGGTAGAGAAATTTGAATTCCAATCGCATTATCTGGGTGTCTTAATCAGAGTTCTTCAACTCCAATCAGAGTTCTCAAACTCTGATATTAGTCGGACTAAGGTGTTTACATGAACTTCAGTTGTCCGGTCTTAATTGTATAAGGTGATAATTCAGTTTTCTCGAGTGTCATGTAAACATATTGACTGATTCCAGGTGACCAAAACAGACATTTAACTTGACCGGCCTTTCAAAAAGCTTCCTGTCCTGTTATTAAGGAAATCCACCATGAACAGCTTCATGTTAGGAGTGACTGATAATGAGAATCTAGATTTGATTAGATTTGTTTCTTCTGTTTATCTGCAGCGGGTTTGAATGAAGACGAGCAGCGACTAAAGAGGCCTCTCTGCCGTGTCAGTCAACCGCTCACACATCACTTATCTATCCCAGTTTAGTTTTTTCTGATGTTCATTGTAACTTTTGTATAATGAAAAATAAAGATGATGTTTAAAACTGTGTTAATCTTTTTCTGCCCTTTGTTTTGCACCAAACACTAACATCTGAAACACTTAAAAGTACAAATCAAAGGCTACAAAAGTCACTGTTGGAGCATTTCTAAATGTAAATTTAAATGTTCTTTATTTATACAGCCCTTTACAACAACCCTTTCGGTGAACCAAAGTGCTTTACAATACATAGAAAATTAAAATGAATAAATAAAAACGATAAAAGCAATATAAAAGAATAAAATACAATGCAATAAAATAAAGTGTCACCATGCTACTGACTATTAAAAGCCAGCATAAATAAGTATGTTTTCAATCGGGATTTGAAAAGGCCCAGGTTGGAATTAAGTCTAATTTCTGTGGGGAGTTTATTCCAGAGCCTGGGACCAGCGACTGAAAAGGTTCGGTCACCCCAGTGCTTGTGTTTTGACCTGGGCACCTCTAGCAGAAGTTGATTTGACGACCTCAGGGCTCTACCCGGCTCCCAAACAGAAGCTCTGTTAAATAGATGGGAGCGAGGCCGTTAAGAGCTTAAAAAACAAACATTAAATGTACCTGAATGAGTAAACCTGGGGTTTGTATTATCATGAGCACTTCAGGATCATCACATCTTTGGAACTAGACAAATACTGTATTTAAGATAATGGCTTAGGGTTTTAAGATATTTTTCAACATCATATTCCCACCACATGGTTAAAGGTTGGGTTTAAGATGATATAATCAAGAACTGAGCTATGTTGATGTAGAATCTGTACTCCTTGACTTCCTCCTCATCTGTATCATATTTTCAGTCGCTAAGCAAAAACTTAATGCTTAGTGGGAAAGTCCAAAACGCTTTTTAAAAATACTTTCGTTTTCAATCTGAAGGTGTTGGCTGTTGCCAGGCAGATTTCAAGAGATAAATTCATCTGTTTTGTCACTGGGCAGACCAGAAAAACAGCTCCAATCAGATAAATCCCTGTCACAAAAATAAATCCTCTCGACCAATCAAATTTCACCCGCCTTTGGTATCCGGGTAAGTTCTTGGGAGCCAACAAATCAGAATAGACGCCGGCTTTGTAGTCAGGCAGACATAACAGAGTCGTCCAATCACAAAAAAATCTGAAAGGGGATTTTTGCTGTATCTTGGCTCAGGTACTTTCTTTTTCTTTTTTAAAATAAATACTCAGGAGGGAGTCATTGAATCGAGCTCACATTAATAACAGAATTAATTTGCAGTCGTAGGGAATTATTTTGGAGTCACAAACCGCTTGTTTAAATGTCATAGGAGTGTTCTCAGGCTTGCTAGCTGTGCTTCCCGTTAGCAACTGGCTAGGCTAGTTAGCCAGCCGCTAGCGGTTAGCAGAATGCTACTAGCAGTTTTGGAGCGCGGAAAGTGTCTAATTTAGGCGGTCTTGGTCATTTTTAAAAACAAAAGCCGGATCATTTCTTTACAAAGCCGTGAACAATTGTCATATATGCCGGCTATAAGGCCTGCTAACGTAGCGCAGGATCCCTATCAGCTAGTACTCAGGGTGTCTGTGTTGTCCGCTAGCTTGTTAGCTCGGCAGTAACATGTTGAGCTGGGTGTGTGTGTGTGTGTGTGTGTGTGTGTGTGTGTGTGTGTGTGTGTGTGTGTGTTTGATGGGGTGTGTAGTAGTAAAAGGCAGAGCCACATGACCACCGCCGCTGCTCCCGCTGTAAACACGGCGGACTGGCTGACATGAAGCCAGGGACGGCTAACACATCCCGGCCGGTTGTTCATTCTTAGCGGTTCCTCTCCTCCACATTAGCCGGTGTGTGTGTGTGTGTGTGTGTGTGTGTGTGTGTGTGTGTGTGTGTGTGTGTGTGTGTGTGTGTGTGTGTGTGTGTGTGTGTGTGCGTGTTTCCCACAGAGCCATGCCTTCCGCTCCGGTTGTAGTAGTAACGATTATCCGCCCGGCAGCTTCTTCTTCTTTACCGGTTCAGTGTGAGCCTTAACTGGGATAAATGTTCAGACCCGCCTGTCTGTCTGTGTGTGTGTGTGTCTGTGTGTGTGTGTGTGTGTGTGTGTGTGTCACACAGTCTGTGACCTGTCTACTTTTTAAACACAGTAATCCATAAAAATGTCATATTATCCCCTGAAGTCGTAGTCATGTGTTAAAAGTCATCTTTTTCATCCAGTAGTCTGACAGTCTTTCTCCGGCTCTGTGCCAAAGGGTTGGCTCATTCCATCAGCTCAAAGTACTGTTTATTACCAGCATATGCAGACAGTTTACTGGTTAATTAAACTGTAGTAAAGGTAAAGTATGCTCTACCTAATGTTAATGTTGCTTCGGACATCTTCTGGAAACTTTGGCATGCCCTAATATCAAGCCTCCCAAGTTTCAGAAAATGACGAGTGAGACTTTGGCGTTATGACGTGTTCAGTCGGCTGGGAATTTTTTTGTGTGCCTTTTTCGACGTCAATTTATACCTTAAGACTGATGTCCCCACCTCCGTGCCAGCTGCTCTCCCTAATGCTAGCCGTCAATAACCAGATATTAGAAATGAAAATTTTATCAAGAATTTTGACAGAATACATCTATTTGTCAAGATTGCGTAACGTCGAGTGGGTTTTAAAGGTCTGTTGTGTGTGAGATAGTTAGAGATGCCAAGACCCAAAAAGAAACTCAGCGTTTCAGTTACCAACTCGGAAAAAAGTAAAATTGGAGGCCAAAACAAGATGGCTACATCTATAAAAGTTATTTTAGTGCTTGCCTTGTCCGAATATATGGCAAGCACTAAAGTAACTTTCGTAGATTTTGATTTAGTTTTTTCCGACTTGGTAACTGAAATGCTGGGAACTCGGGTGTGAAGTCATTTTCAGCTCCGACATCTGATTTCCGAGGTAACTTGAACGCAGCATTAGGCACAAAGGACGGATGGATTGGTCTGGGATTGGTTATCTCGGTCAGTCAATCAGAGTTACTCAAACTACGAGAAGCCAAGTTTATTATCATGAAAAAAATAAGAATAAATACAGAGGGAAAAACAAGCATGAGAAATGTCAAGTGTGGCATGTGGTGTGAGAATGGGTCAAATTGCGTGACTGTCACACTCAAAGTGTGATGCTTGGCAGCTCTGAAACTTTATTAAAGGTAAACTATGCTCTACCTTATGTTCATGTTGCTTTGGACATATGTAACAGTCATCTTCTGGAATCTTTTGCATACCCAAATGTATTTTCGTTTTCTCATCATTTCATAATGAACCCAAATCGAGCACGTTACCAGCCAAGATAACCTGATACATCCTGATAATACTGTTGTAGAATGTGCTTTGGAATCATATAAAGGTTTTTTGTCCTTGATTCTTCATCAGATGGTGGTTCTTAGCTCGGGTTAGTTGGTCCAGATGTCGGAGGACCAGAGACACCAGCTGTCCAAAGCCTCCCAGCGGGGGGAGGCGGGTCTGGAGGCGGGGGAAGGCGACACAGAGCCAAGCATGCTGCTGCAAAAACTCAAGAGCAACATCTCGTAAGTGGAATAATGCAGATCAGTCATTTTGTGATTTTTTTATACAGAGCTATATCAAATCAAATCAAATCAAATTTTATTTATATAGCGCCAATTCACAACAGTCGTCATCTCAAGACGCTTTTCAAGGAACAAGAGCAGGTCTAGACCACGCTCATATATCATATCAGGTCACATGTGCTTTTCCAGAGGTCTAAATATGTATCCATATGTGACGGCAGTTGCCCTCTGAAAGTATGGCCTATAATGAAGCCCAGGCAGGGACTTGGATGGTCAAGGAGCGCACTATAAGTCCTCTGAAGATGAGTGTTAAAAGTCTGCGTTTGCTTCCTGTCTGTCTGCCTGACTCACCGCTGTGCTCTCTGTCCTCACAGTAAAAGTGTTCAGACCAAAGTGGATCAGATCCTGGTAAGAACCAAACTCTGAACTCCTGAAGGATCAGTAATACAGGTGACAGGAAGCCCCAGGATTCTCAGGTGTGATTTATTCTTTTCTGCTTTAACAGCAAGAAGTTCAGCGTTTCTCTGACAACGACAAGCTGTACCTGTACCTCCAGCTGCCCTCAGGACCCAGCTCAGGGGACAAGAGGTCTCACCTGTTCACCTGTCTGACACCTTCTTCAACATAATCACAGATGTGTGTGTTTCCTGCTCACTTCAGTGTGTGTTGTATGTTGTGTTTTGTCTGTTTGGTGTGTGTGTGTGTGTGTGTGTGTGTGTGTGTGTGTGTGTAGCGGTGGGGACTCGAGCTCGTTCAACACAGCCGACCAGCTTCACACCTGCAACTGGATCCGGAGTCACCTGGAGGAACATTCAGACACCTGCCTGCCCAAACAGGACGTCTACGAGACATACAAGTCAGTAACACGCACACTCATACACACACAGATAATCTCGTTATTAGTCACATGACCTCTGACCCTCCTCTGTCTCTATGTTTTAGGAGATACTGTGAGAACCTGCAGCATCGTCCTCTGAGCGCCGCAAACTTTGGGAAGATCATCAGAGACATTTTCCCAAACATCAAAGCTCGAAGGCTCGGCGGACGAGGACAGTCCAAATATCCTTCAACTGGACATAGACACGAGGGACAGACAGAGACAGACAGAAAGACAGACACAGGCAGACAGACACAGACAGACAGATCTGAGCGTAAATCAGGTGGTTCGTCTGAGCTTCAGAGTTGCTTCCTGTTCCTCATGTAGCTTTAAAGCCAGATGAGAGTGACTCCTCTGACACCAGACTGTCTGTGACTTTGGATAACGTGTAATTTTGTTAGTTTTAAAAGCTTGTTAGTGTTTTCTGGGTCTTGGTTTGATTCCCTAACCTGTCCAGGTTGTACATACTGTTACAGCGGCATCAGGAGGAAGACTGTTCTCAACATGCCTCTGCTGCCCAACCTGGACCTGAAAAACGACCCGGTATGAACACACACTCACTCACTCAGGGGAAAGCCTGACCCCCAATTTCCACTGCATCCAGAACGGCTACGAAAAGGCTGTATCCGCTGATCGTTGCTGATTGTAACCAAGTTAACGTGTCAATTTCCACCGGCTTATTTCCGTTCCACTGCGAATAGTCGGACTCTACAGCTGTTAACAAGAGTTTTTTTTTTGGACCCTGGAGCATGCCAGACAGATTCAGCACGTATTAACCCGTACTGGAAAGGAAGTCGGGCACAGACACAAAATAAAATATCCGTCTTCTTTCAAAATAAAACACTCAGTGTTTCAGGAGGATCGTATTTCACACCATGCAAACGGGCGGAGACGAACAAGGAAAAGGTTTTTAGACGTCATTTCACCCCGATGACACCATGGATGAGGAGATGCTGATTCTGGAAGTCTAGAAGTAGATTTCCTCCTCTGGAAGGACACAATCTACTGCTTATATTTCTATGTGTCTGTCTTTATAGAAACAACTTGTTATTGCGCCATTACATGTGAATCCGCGGGTTTGTTTGAGTTCTCATGCTTCTGCTATCCGCCACAAAATTCGCCTCACAAACAGATCCGGTAGGAATTGGCGGACGGAGCCATTCCGGATGCAGTGAAAATTGGGGGTGGGGGCTCATTTAGAAGTTTATATAAAGCCTGTCTCCCATAGGTCGCAGTATTACTAAGGCCTAAGAACCAGGAACAGCTTTCTGATGGTCAAACCCACAGGAACAGGACCTGGATTTTAGTAAAGTAGACCTCATCAGTCATCCTCCTCTTCTTCTGTGTCTCCAGGCTGAGCTGACTGAGCTGGTTCAGACTTACAAACAGGAAGTGACAGAAGCGGCGTGTGAGCTCATCTGTGATTGGGCACAGAAGATCCTGAAGCGTTCGTTTGACACGGTGGTGGAGATCGCTCGGTACCTGATCCAGGAGCACATCGTCAACCCTCGCTGCAGCCAGGCGGAGCTGGTCACCTCTGCGGCGCTTGCAGGTATGCATGCAGTCAAAGATTGTGTATGTGTGTGTGTGTGTCGTCGAGCAGTATGTTAATTTGTCGATCCGTCGAGTGGAATGAAACAAAAACAGTCCGAGTGTGTCTGTCTGCAGGAGGTCCGGCAAAAACACACAAAGTCATCAAGAAAACACCGGTTATCCCAAAAGCTGAGGGCGAAGGAACCGATCAGAGGGTGAGCTTGCCTGTTCCTGTCCAATTGCTGATCAATGACTGATCAGCTGTTTCTAGTGTTACTGTTTCCTGTCTGTCCGCAGAGGGACCTCGGAGACTCTTCCTCCTCGTCTTCACTCAAACTTCCATCAGGGGACAAATCAGCTGCAGCCAAATCTTCCTCCCTGGACTCTCCGCCTCCTCCCTCCTCTTCCTCCTCTTCTCTTCGTCCTGCTGTAGGTTAATCTCCAGTGTCTGTTTTCTTCATCTAGATGTTGTTGGTCTCCTTCACTCAGCATTCTCTGTGCCGCAGGTTGAGGCCTTCATGAAGCAGTTACCCAGAATCCTCCCTCGCAGCTCCATCCCTGATAAGACCCAGCTCTCGGTCCGCTCCTCTCCGCCCTCGCTGGCTCCCAAAGACGCCTCAGGTGTAGGAGGAGCTTCTGGACCCGGAGGCCCGGCAGCTGCTGCTGCCGCAAGTGGTGGTGGAGTGAAGGTCATTGCCATGGCAAGACTGCCGCAGCAGCAGGGCGCCCCCGTCCCAGTGGTGATCCTTCCTCAGGGGTGTCTGTATGAGAGGGAGAAGGTGGCGCCCCCTCAGCCACCTCCTTCTCAGCAGCAGCACGGCCCTGCAGCCCCCACTTCAGTGGTGCAGAAAGCCCGAGCCAGCACCAGCAAGCGCCCCCTGGAGGTGACATCAGGCGGCGGTGCTGCGGGTCTGTCTGGTGGCTCCGCTGTTAACACTCCACCTGTGAAACGGAAACGTGGACGACCGAGAAAACCTCGACCAGAGGACACCCTGCCTCCTCCGCCTCCACCTCCAGCACCTGCAGTGCTTCCTCCTCAGCCCGCCCCTCCACCATCACCCTCACACCCCTCTATCATCACCTCCCTGACGGGTGGGGTCATCCAGAAAGCTTCCTCATCTTCCTCCTCCTCCTCACAGCCGGTGTTGGAGCTGGTCATTCAGGACCAGCCTGGGGGTCTGGTTCTAAGCCCCCTGCCAGCCATGTCAGACCCATCCCACCGAGGAGTTGTGGTCCAGTGCCAGCCTGGGGGGGCGGAGCCAGACCACCACAGCAGGCCTCTGCTGCTCTTTAGTCCAGGGAACCAGAGCTGGGAGCTGGCAGCGTCTGGACGGACCCCAATGGTGGAGGTCATCCAGAAAGCTCCGAGGCCGAGCAATAACAACAGCAGCAGCAGCACTGCTCCACCTGCAGCACACCTCCACCCTCCTCTTCCTCTGCCCACGCTGCACGAGGAGCGGGGGGAGGTGGAGATCACACTGACGCCGCTGGAGCTGCCTGTCAGCCAGCCGCTGCCTTCCTCCTCCTCCACCTCCTCTCCTCCTGGTGCTTTCGCTCCGGCCCCCTCCTCCTCCTCCTCCCCCTCCTCCATCACAGTGAAGATTGAGGATGAGGAGCCGGAGGAGAGCTCCTCACAGAGAGAAGGATGCTAGCGTTCACCTTTTTTCTTTCTTCCTCATATTTTTTATCAGCCACCCCCACCCCCCCCACACCCCACTTAGCTGTTACCTCACCTGAAACAAAGCCCCGCCCCTTTACCTTACCCTTTCCTAATTGGTGGAAATCCCAGATCAGCTCAGAAGAGAGCCAATCAGAAGGATAAATGAAGCCGACTCTCCCTTCATCAGCTCCCATTGCACTTGTATACAGACTGGACGCTTTAGACTCCTGTGATTCTTTACCTGCATGTCCGTCCGTCTGTGGCTGAACCCAGAAGATCCACTCCTCAGGTGGCCGGGACCGATTTGAACCTTCCTCTCTTCTTTGCTTCCTTCCTTGCCACCTTGTATCCTTCATCTCCAGACCACTCTTGTCTAGTTTGGTCACCATTTGCAGCTCTTGTCCTGCTTCACATCAGTCCATTTATAGAAAAAGAAGAAACCACAGACTGAAGACAGGCGAGGATAACTGAGAGCAGAAGAAGAGGAGAGGTAGACAGGTCTTCAGCGTGAACTCCAGCCCTGGATGGAGGTCAGCCTGCAGAGGACAGATACTGAGGGTACTACGGGTTAGAGCCTTCTGAAGGCTCTTTGTATTAAATAAGAAAACAGACCTCTTAATCAGAGTTCTGCCTGGATTCACCTTCAGTCCAACTGAAAGCCTCTCCCACACACAGAGATCTAGATTGGTGTCTCCTGGTTTAAAGTCAAAAACTGGACAGGACGTGTGGTGAAGGAGGACTGAGGTCCGAAAAGTCCTGAAACAGGGAATTGAAGGTGGACTCTGGGTTTCTCTGTTCTGAACAGATCTGTTTTGTGTTGTTTGTGTTGGTGATGGTTCAGTTCATATTTCTAATTGTCTGCGTGGATGTTTGCGTGTTTGTGTCTGAGAAAGGGAGGGACGAGATACCGAAACACAATCCTCTGAAACCCCCTCACCACAAAAACGGTACCATCCATCCTTCAGGACATGAGCGACGTCACACATGATCCATCTCACACCTCATTCGCTGATAAGACAAATTTTGATCTCTTTATTCCAGATTTCTTTTGTTTTTGTATCACAGAACAAATCAGGAGAAAAACATGAGGCGCAGGCCGTAAAACTTCAAAACTGTTGCTCACGGCTCCATGTTGTCTGATTGTTCACCTTGAAGCTTTTTGTACTGACTCAAGCACTTATTTGGCCTCCAAATATCAAACTGTTAAGGGTTAAAATCTCAAACAGAAACTTAATGTGGACTTCTGCACACGCTCTGTGCAGAGATGAACCCACACAAACAGAAGTTTAATGATCGTCCCGTTCTCTTTTCAAAGATCACATCCACTCAGACACAAAGAGCTAAAGGTAAATTAAAGATGCAGTAAAAAAAAAAAAAAAAAGGTTTGTAGGACATTAGCTTGTGTAGCAGCAATGCCTGGCTCTGTTTTTGTTGCCTTTCAACTTTTGCACTAACACTTCCTACTTTTATTCACCCTTGAAACAATGTCAGGAACAGCAGTGTGAAGTTACCATGACCAGTCCTAATCGGAGATCTTAGTTTCATTTCGGATTTTACTTTTTACATCAACAGGGCTGCTATGAGCCTATCACTGCAAAACAGCCACCAGATTAAAACAGTTTCCCTACGAACAAACCGACAAATGTCGGGTTATTTTTAGCTCACTGACTTCCCGGACCGTCATCCTCCTCATGGTAACAACACATTGCTAACACACACTTCACCTCCACCAAAAACTGCCTCTCACAACATGAACAGCTACCTTCATGGCTGGTGCTAATACCTTTGGCCCTCTCTGTTTCCACCCATCAGCTACAGATTTGTACAAAAAACTTTCAGTCACCTATCAAGGAGTGAATACAGTCGTGTGTGTCTGTGTCTGTGTGTGTGTGTGTGTGTGTGAGTGAGAGAGAGAGAGAGAGTCCTGAGTATGTGAGTCCTTGTTTCCCTCCGTCCTGTGACAACGAGAGCTTCAGGTCGGTTCAAGAGATGCCAAAACATTCTCAGACTGTTAAAATAAAACCTGAAAAATGTCCTTTTATCATGAACTGAGTGCAGCCAAATGATTGTGCTCTACCTGCAAGGAAAAGAGCGCTTCAACAACTCAAAACCTGCTCTTATTCTTAAAGTCAAGTGCCAACATTTATAGTTTTTCACCTGGTTGACTTTGGTCCAGTCTACAATGTTTTGGTCTCCCTTTTGCAGCCTAGCCTCTGCCCCGTCTGGACAGAACCGAAACAAATGAAAAGTTGCACTGTTAAAAAGTTCAAACAAGACAAAGTCCTGTACGTTATGAATTTATTGTCATATGCATTGAGAAGTATTTATGAGTGATGTAATGTTCTGCTTTAGGCTTGCACTTGCTAGAGCGTATCACATGTATTTTTTATCGCAAAAATTAGCCAGAATGAAATTCTTGGTTGAACTTTGCTGAGTAGAGAGATTAGAAGTATGAAAAAAGAGGAAAAGAGATGCTCTTATATTTGAGGTTGTAGTAACTGTAGGGAACTCCAAAGATGGCTGGAAGCAACATTTCACTCGATAAGCAATGACTTCACCAAGACGGTCCAGTCAGAGCGTCTGTATGCAAGGTTTGAGATGAGGACTTGAGAAGTCACATGCTGGACTTGGATATGCGACTTTATGAACAGTTAATTGTCATCTAAAGGGCAGACCAGATATGTCCCAGTCCAGATCTTAAAGTGAAACGTTGCTTTTGCCTTCTTGTTGGGAAACTATTGCTGAAGTGTTGGAGTGATACCTGAGGTGGCACAAAGAAGTATGTTTCCTTCTGCAGGACCTGCTGGGCTTACCTGGGCCAACTGGGTGAAAAGGATGAATTTGGAAATGTTTTACAGAAAATCAAGAAGACGTTTTGGTCAGCTGACTGGCCTGACCAGGTTGTTAGTTGTTAGTTTGGGAAAGTCCTAAAGATCAACTTAACCATGCAAGTTAAATTGTTGGTTCTCATTGGAATTTTGGACAAGTCCGTGATGGCACAAATCCCAAGTTTTACCAGGAAACCGGACTGTCTGGGCCGGCGGACACAGAATTACCCCCAGAATCTCTGCAACACAACAATTGGAATGAAATGTCCAGTCTGTAACCCCACAGACAGTTAAGACCCCTAAGAAGACCTTAAAATGGTTTATGGAAAGTCTGCGATGGGATAAGGTCAGTTGACTGTCTGAAAGACAAACTGTGTTTTATGAGTCCCCCAAAGTCAGTGTATGTTTGTTAAGCAACACTTATGGCTGGGACATAAAAGGAGGTGTGGGGAGTGTTACAGATCTGTGGCTGTAATTGCTACAAGCCTCCTCTTGAAGCTGGTCAGGAATCTGAATGTAAGAGTCAAAGAGGTTGAAGACATCGGTCCTTGGAAGTCAGAGATTGCATTGCAAGTCCCATTGTTGCCCATTTCCTGGGCTGACTGGGAAAGATGCTGGCTGAGTAAAAGAAAGGAGTTAAGTTCAGTTGAAGTTCATGATGGGAAAAAGGTCCCAAGCCCAGACTTTTCCTTCAGAATCTGTTGGAGTGGTTGAAGAACTTTGGAAAGTTTTCCCAGCTTTAAAGTCAAGATCCTCAAAAGATTACTCTCATCAAGAGAAATGGTTTGAAGACTTTGACAGCATCAAAACCCTGTTTTCCTCTAAGTGAGTCAGCTGGGTGCAAAGAGTTTCCTTCAGTTTTGTTATTTGGAGGATCTCTGAAGAATGAAAAATCAGATCAAGATCCAACAAAATAACAAAATGGTACAAAGTCATTGGTTTCCGGTGGCCCCAGTCTGTCTGAGTTTGACCCGTTTGGCACACTTCCTTGAGGGGACTGAGCTTAGCTGATACTGTTACATAAAGATAAGCCTTAGAGGACCCAACAGGGCCTTTCACCAACACAAGATCAAGAACGATAAGGATTTAGGGAAATGGTACATAGTAAGTCGATAAAGGTCCAGTTTGCCTGGTTTGGCTGAGTCCTCCAGAGTATGGTAGACTGTCTAGGTGGACTAGGCTGAGGTGATGCTGTTCATGTTTCATGATGAGCTTTAGAGGGTTCAATCTGGCCTCTAAGTCAGCAAAAATAAAAACAAAACTTAACTTTTGGAGTAAACCAGAGATCGCCTAATAACCTTGTCAGGAAGAGTTTGGCCCACCGTCTAGACCGACCAGGTCTGCTAGACCCAGTAATACACAACGTTGAGAGCCTTGGGTGGCTCAGTCTGGCCTTGGGTGGCTCAGTCTGGCCCACTTCATTGGCTGACTGGTTGAAAAGATCCAAAGAGGGTTTGAGGAAGTGTTCAGGACCAGTAAGGATAAGCCCAAAAACTCCAGTTTGGCCCAGTTCAGACCTGCATTCGGAACCCAGGTTTGCCATTGAGGGTGGGAGTGGGATTCTTTCACTGTGGAGCCGTGTTGCTCAAAAAACACAAATCCAGAAACGGGTCAGATAATCAAAGATTTAAGGATCGGGATTCGGGTAGCAGTGCCTTGACCTGAAAGGATCAGTCTCGATGTTACAGCGTTTTCTGATGTCACTTCCTGTACCTGGTCTGTCCGTTGTGTTTGAAAGTGTTACTGTGTTTTTTTCAACTGAACGGCTGTCTGTCCCTGATTTGTTGGAGTTTTAACGATGCTCAATCAGCTTTAAGGGATGTTGATTCACATTCTTATCAACCAGCAATGAACCGGACCTGTCAAGACCAGTGTGGAGCTCATACAGGTCCTCAGAAAGTCCAAGGGAACTAGATATCTCTACTTCGAGACAGAGATCTGACCTGGACTTTCTGACATTTTGACCTCTTTTGGTTGTGCTTTTTTGAGTCATTCAATTGACCGAAATATTTGGACTGTTAGATCTCTCAGGTGACTGTCGTCTACCCTGAATGTGAATCACATCAACAGGAGTAAAAATGTCAGTACTAAAAACTAGTTTTGAAGAAAAAGGACAGTTTTCCTGCACTGACGGACGTAAAGGGATCTGAGTTGGTTTTGGTGCCAGTGAGCAGTCTGAAGGTAACTCGACTTTAATGTGACGAAATGAAGAGACGTTAGTATGACTGAGCTGGTTCAGGTCAAGCGCTGCAGTCTTTGTGATGGTGGTGGTGCTTAATTTCAAGCCTAGACTGAGAGTAGCTCTGTTTGATGTCTGGGGTCCACTCTGAGGTCCAGGATTTCCTGAATCGGTGGATGACTGGTTTTAAGACTCCCAAAGTTCGGAAGTCTTGAGGGAAATGTCCTTTTGAGGTTTGAGCCCCCCAGTAGAGTGTTTCAGGTGCTTCCCCCTGTCTTGGAAGGAATTCTGGGTAATGCAGTCCTGTACACGAGTGGGATTCTGACGTCAAACAGACATTCATGCTATGTTTGAGTTACCTCAGAAGTCAGAAGTCCGAGCTGAAAACGATGTGACACCTGAGTTACAAAGTCGGAAAAAAGCAAAATCAAGGAGGAAAAGAGATGGCTACATCTACGAAAGTTATTTTAGCGCATGACTTGTCCGAATATAACGCAAGCTCTTAAATAAATTTCGTAGATGTAGCCATCTTCTGGCCTCCGATTTTGCTTTTTTCTGAGTTGGTAACTGAAATGCTGGAGACCCGGGTTATGGCGTCATTTTCAGCTCCGACATCTGACTCGAATGCAGCATTAGAGCTCATGCTGCCATTTTCTGTTCTCACGGTGCAAAAAAACAAGAATTGCAATCAAATGTGTGTTGCCATCAATGTTTTTTTACTAAAGCAGATGAGTTTCTCTCATCGTTGTCCTCTCTTTTTTTGGGTGGTTTAGTTCCTTTTTTTTCTTGTTGACGTCAGTTTTTTGCTACTTCATACTTTGTACAGCTTGTGATGTGCAGATTTTATGATGATGGTGATGATTATTACTGTCGCTATGAAGATATTTTAAGGTGTCTTGTGTGGAAGACACTATCGGCTTCCTGCATGGTTTTCCTGTGACTGTTTTTGTAAACTATTAACTTAAAAGTTTTTTTTTTCTTTCCCTGTGTCTCGCTGGCTTTTGTGTTAATTAGCACTTTACTCTTTTAAATTAGATTTTTAATTCAGAGGGGCTAAAAAATAAAACCCTTCCCTGTTTGCCCTATGGTTTGGAAACCACAACAATAAGTGAAATGCACCTTTACGTTTCATGCGTAAGTTGTAACTTCCGCCCCTTTTTTTTTCCTGGAGCCTGTTTTGTTTGTTTGTTTGTTTGTTTGTCTGTTGTGAAGAGAAACAGAAAAGTGTCGGGGGACTGAGGCCAGACTCAGAACATTAATGTGAATCTATTTTCCTACGCTGACCGACTGGAATAAAGAAAGTGAAGTTCACTGGCTGAAAAAAACACTGTCACTTTCTCTTCTTTTCTTTCATGTTTCACTTTTTCCCTTCCCTCTGATTCTACTCTGTTATTTCCTTAACCGACCACAGGGGGGCGCCGTAGCACAATGTCTAACGGTGAGAGGAAACAGGTTTATGTTGTTTTACTGAATACCAACATGTTACTGGAAAAGTGAGGGGGAAATTCCTGACGAAGATCATGAGGAAGTTTGAAAAAAAAAAACAGATTCAGGAATTATATCAACATTTGAATGTGTACGGTAAAGTTTTATCGCTATGTTTGAGAATATCTTCAAGTTTGAAACGTCAACTTCAATCAGCTATTTTTTTTTTTTTTTTTACTAAAATTATGAAGTTAAGCCACAAAATCAAATTCAAACGTATGAAAAATAAACCCAGGCCTTCTGGTGACCCATTTTTCAGAGGGATGTCGTTTTAAGAAAGCACAGGGTGGGTGGACAGGCCGAATATTTTGGTCCGAACGGAAACAGAACCAAAACCAGCAACTCCATCAAGTTAGCTGAAGTGAAACCGGACGTGACGCATTTCTGACTTCAAATTAAGAGCCATTGGTTTGAGAGGCGTTAAAAGCATAGACTATATATACGATGGACAACTTGGTTCCGCCTACCGCCTGTATATGGATTTGAAGCCAAAAAGCTCCCAGTATTTCCGGGATTTTTCTTCATTTCCTGAAACCAGCGCTGTGCAGTAGCGTTGTGCGCATTAGGCGAGAGAGTTGCCGAGAGTCCCTGTGATGACGCTCCGCTCAAACAGCGTATTCCCTGGGTGAGCTATGCAATCCCTGTACGCCCATAGGCTGTATCATGTGTCAATCAAAGAAAACATGAACCCCCCTAATAACTTTGAAAAACGAAGCTTCACAGAAAAAAGAGGAGCACAAACCAGTCTTACAATAACCACATGTCAACACCACAAGTAGGGGGGAGAAAAATGTTTGTTCTGTGTAATAAATTTTTAAAGTTTGTCCACAGCTCAATAAGCTTTGCTGGCGGAGGTGGGATTTATGACCTATACTGCAGCCCATCAACAGAGGGTGCTGTTCTCGGAGTGGCTTCACTCAGCAAAGAGGCAGACGCTGTCCATTCCATATACAGTCTATGGTTGTAAGGCTCATCAACGGTAACACAGGGTGACTCGATGAAGATTTACTTACTTTTGAAGGAATCTTCCTGTGTGCACTTCAATTAACCAATCAATCAATCAATAAGTCTTTTGTATATAGCACTTTTCATTCACAACTATGTAGCACAAAGTGCTTTACACAGAAAAAGGAATAAAAGAAACAAAGAAAACCCAAATCTACCCCAGCACAATCCCTCATTCCCATCCCACGATCTAAATGCCACAGAAACAGGATTAAAATGCTATAACTTGAAAAAGGTTTGTTTTCGTGGAAACAAGAAAGTGCGCACTGAGGAAAAGCATTTTAAAACTGAAGGTAAGGAAACACTGGAGGTTTAAAATCTAAAAACAAAGTAACATAAAATGAAATTTAAGAGATAATGAATAAAATGAAATAAAAACAACAGTAAAAGATACTAAAATAAGAGCACCAAAATAGCCCAATGAAAGATGATCATGTCATTAAAACTAGAAAGAGATAAATGTTAAAACACTTCAAGGTAATGATATAAAATGTAGTTCTTCTTTAGAACTTCCCGAAGACCTGAGGACTTTAACTGACTCATGTGATAAATAAGATGGCCCAAAGACATTAAGAGCTTTAAAAACCAATAAAACAACATTAAAATCTATTTTAAAAGAGACGGGGAGCCAATGCAGAGACCTTAAAATCTGTGTAATGTGATCTCTCTTTCTGGTCAAGTGATAATAAAATGAATTAATTAACACTAAACTACAGTTTTTGGTATTTCCACATTGACATTGTCTTTCTCTTTGTGCTAAAAGTTTTTGTGTTTATTTACCACTTTAATAGTCTTTTTCTGGGATGGTGTTCGGGCTTTTATTGTGAAAATAACAAACGGAAGTTACCGCCGTTTATGACTGCGGTTGTCTTGACGGATGTTGCGTCACTGCTGCTTTAAAGCAGACAGGGTCGAGTCGATCGGAGTAGAGCCAGGCCACGAACTACGGTCCAAATGGTCCTTTTCAGAACCTGAAACCCGGAACAGAACCAGGATTACGACCCGGGACTAACTCTCGAGTTTAGACAGCGATCCAAACTGGACACGTCGGAGCGGAAGCCGGATTATTGACGGATTCTCGGGCCGTTCAGACGGGAGTAAGGACGCGTCAGTAACCGGGTAGGTCTCCTCCTCCTCCTCTCTGGGTAAAATTCCCTTTTTCGACTGTTTTCTACCGAAGGAGACGGCGGGTCTGCTCCGGTGGTTCCCCGGTGTTGACGGTGCTCGATCCCCGGGCTACAGGCCTGCTGCAGCCCGGCTCTACCCCTCCGTCGTCCGGCTTGTTTTCATCAGGAGGGAGCGGCTCCTCCTGCTCCTCCTCCTGCTGCTCCTGCCGCATGTGAGCTCCATTATTGTCCCTCTGAACCGGCCTCTGGATCCAGCTGATAATCTGCCTCAGTGGTAATTATGTAATGATGCTGTAATTTCAGTCCCAGTGTTTAACGGCGACACTCCTGAGAGTAACACAGTTCAGCACTTTTCTGTCGCATTATTCCTCTAATATGAACTCATATTTACTCAGGACACAATCAAACAATCCAAACCCTTAACCTTTGACCCTTTAACCAGAAACCTCCAACAGAACCAGACTGACTGAACAACAGACCTGTATCAGGACTGTAGAAAGAGAGAGATGGTGGGGGGGCTTCAATCTTCTAATTTCTAATCGAACAAAGACAAGTGGCTCTAAAAACCACATAAGTTATGAAAGAAAAAGAGACAGGAGTCCCATCAGTCTGAGCGGGTCAGAGACCCAAATATTGACCAGACTCTGATACAGAACACATTAATTAAAGGGATATTCCGGCGAATAATTAATTCAAACAAACCTGAACACCGAGTTAGACACCCCCTCCAGAGATGAATGTTACCGACCGCTTGCTTCTCTAGTTATACCAACTTTAGTAACGACCGCAGGATAGCAATACACAGCGGTCTGAGGAGCCATAAACAAATCTCAACCAAAACGCCACTCTATAGCCACAAATAATGCTCAGGACAGCACCTAATTTCATCAACAGTACATATAGGGTCCCAGCCATAATACTAGCCACCAAACTTCTTTTTAACTTTGACTCATTTCTTTAACAAAGAGACTAAACACAACTCACCTACTCTCTTCCAGCAGCTGCTTGTTGAAAGGGAGACCTCAGACTCCATTACGGACTACAGCGGGGTGACGCAGCTCAAGGAAGAAAATTTACGATCATTTCTTTATCATTTCCTTGAAGTAATAATCACCATATTAATCATTTTGCACTGCAGACGCGGTAGTTCTTCTGTCTTAGTGTCTCGGTCTGATTGTATTTCAATGAAGAGATGATGAACTAACAAGCACAGAAATCGTGTCGTAGCTACTGTGCACAGTCAGGGCAGAACTAGAGCCCAGGACCGGTCCGAGTCTGAGCTGGTTTTGACTTTAAACTGGAGCACAAAGAACCGCATTAACTCTGCTGAAGGAGGTGATTCTAAGGGTCAGGACAGAATATGAAAACCATGTGAGATACAGTTGATCCCTTTTTCTGGACCCATATTCAAAACAAGGTTTCTGAGAGTACTGCAGATCCCCTAACAGAGATCCTCCAAAGACTCAAAATTTCTTAAGTTGTTCTGTTGTTTTGGTGAGAAGGACTTTAGTGTCTCCGTCCAGACTCAGAATCCAAAAACAAACTGAGGACGTTTGTGACTCTTTAATGCTGGAATCAAACCTCTCCCAGTTTGTGTGAGACCTAGACTGAGAACCACTGAATCACTGCAGGAACCTCTGAAGGTCCTGGACAAAAAAACAGGACAGTCTCATGATCTCACCTGAGATTCGGCCGACAGTTCAAAAATAAATAAAAGGTGTAAGGTCCCTTTTAATCAATATATCAGATTCATTTATAATAAATAGCTGACTGTGTGTGTGTGTGTGTGTTCAGCTGTCATGTTGCATGTTGTGATGATAAACTTCACACTTTGCCCTGAACTGCACACGTCACACACCGATGATGTGTTCACTGACACTCTGTTCAAATCACTTCGCATTTCTTCTTATCTATTATTATCTTATAATTATTATTATATAATTATATTTATTATTAGTAGAAGATGAAGTAGTAGTACTAACATTATTATTGTTATTGTTATAATTATAGTTATAATATTAATAATAATGATAATAACAACAATGTTAATAATAATAAAATATTATTAGTAGTAGTAGTACTAGTAGTAGTAGTGGTATCATTATTATTATTATTATTATTATTATTGTTTTAAATTTATTTTCATTATTATCATTAAGAACAAGAATAAGAACTTTGTAGTACAACTGATAATAATAATTATTAATATTGTTGTTTTTATTATTTTTTATAATAGTAATAATAATGATAATTATTATTATTATTATTATTATTATATTGTTACTACCATACTTATAATAACAATAATAATAATTATTAATATTTTTATTTTTATTATTTTTTATAATAGTAATAATAATGATAATTCTTATTATTATTATTGTTATTATTGTATTGATACTACTACTACTTATAATGATAATAATAATAATTATTAATATTGTTATTTTATTATTTTTTATAATAGTAATAATAATGATAATTCTTCTTATTATTATTGTTATTATTATGTTGATATTACTACTTCTTTTAATAATAATAATATTGTCATTATTATTATTATTATTATGATTATTATTATTCATTTCTCTTTGATGGTGCTCAGTGGATCTCAACAGCCCTGTATTTTGATTGATCCTCTCCAGTCTGAAGAATTGTGTTTATTTAATGGTTTCCTATCAAAACTTCTTTATTAAACGTGTGGAGGTTATCTTCACCTCCTCACATAAAGACCTTCAGAAAATCCTTTTGCACTGACTGCAGCTGTTAGCTTAGCCTCATGCTAACGCTAACGTTTACAAGGTAAAGTTATAAACCCGTAAATCTGAACACACATGGAGGCTCCAACACGATACCGGGCCATACAGGATAAAACTGATAAACCAGTCACATGACCGTTCGCTTAGCTTAGCGTCATCAGACATTAACAAGGAACCGGAGACAATGATGACGTTGATACAGGTGTGCTCAGGTAGACGGGGCAGGAACAAACACATAGTTTCAACTTTCAGAGACTTTCTATCAGCTCTGAAATCTGAGCCTGTGTGTGTGTGTGTGTGTGTGTGTGTGTGTGTGTGTGTGTGTGTGTGTGTGTGTGTGTGTGTGTGTGTGTGTGTGTGTGTGTGTGTGTGTGTGTGCATGATGATGACATGCTGTGTGTATTCTCAGATTTATGGAGCAGATTTTCTCCCCTGACGCCTCAGTGGTGATTTATCAGCTGATTTTCTGCAGATGTTGCTGAGGCGGTAAAACTCTCTCGCTCTCTGTGGCGTTCAAAAACTCGCCGAGGTTCAAACTTCCTCCTCTGCGACTTTTGCGCAGAAACACAACCAAACATCACGAGTAAGGTCAGGGGTCATCTTATATCAGCAGGCGAAGAACCTGCTGGTCTGACAGGAGATTTCAATATTTCATCAGACTAATTAATCCGCGGCACAGAGGGGGTGGGGCTTTGAGACACCATCTGAGGATGGACTGGTGTCTCTGGGAACAAAAGGACTCTTCTGGTCCAGACCTTCTTCTCTGGTTCCTGCATGTTGACAGTCAGCAGATCCTGAAGTGAGTGTGTGTTTAGATCCGGAACCAGAGACTGTGGAAACCCCCCCACACACCCTGTGTGTGTGTGTGTGTGTGTGTGTGTGTGTGTGTGTGTGTGTGTGTGTGTGTGTGTGTGTGTGTGTGTGTGTGTGTGTGTGTGTGGGAGGGAGAAGAGTGAAGTTGTCCTCCGCCCACGCTTCACATCTGGTAACCATCACACACTCACACACAGAATCCCCTGAGTGATGACATCACCCTCTGTTGTCCTGTATTAACCAATCAGGAGTGATTTTAGCTGAATGAGCAGAATCAGGTTTGTTAATGAAGTTTAAGGATGATGGAGGATCTGTTGACATCACTGATTGTGTCGTTTCTCTGATGTAGGGCTGGGCAATATAGAAAAAGTTTATCACAATAATTTTTTTTCATATCAGGCGATATTGATATCACGACTTAACGAGAACATGTACTTGACATAATTTTCAAGAACACATTACTCTGCTTCATTTTCGACCTCAAATAAACAAAATACCTCCACACCACTGACGTTTTCATGCCTGTTTTGTCAACAATGTCATCATCTGTTGAGTCTTCGTCATTTCTGTCGGGCGTAGCCTCCCCCTTTTTTTTTTTTCTCACCAACAGTGCTGTCAGCTTCACCTGTTAAAGGGCTAAAGTGGGTGTAGCTGCTGTCTGCTAGTACACGGTTGTTTGTTCTTGGTTCTAATTCAGCACATGATTGGTTCAGAGCGCAGCCGACCCGGAGTAACTCCCCTTTTCATTGGCTATTCATATCGTTTTATCCCCTAGCTCTACTCTGATGTCACTGATTGTGTCTTTAATCTAAAGTCACTGATTGTGTCTTTACTCTAAAGTCAATGATTGTGTCTTTACTCTAATGTCACTAATTGTGTCTTTAATCCAAAGTCACTGATCATGTCTTGACTCTGACGTCATTGTGTCTGATTGTGTCTTGAACGGCACTGATCATGTCTTTACTCTCTCTGACGTCACTGATTGTGTCTTAACTCTGGTGTCACTGATCGTGTCTTTACTCTGACGTCACTGATTGTGTCTTTACTCTGACGTCACTGATTGTGTCTTGAACATCACTGATTGTGTCTTTACTCTCTCTGACGTCACTGATTGTGTCTTTACTCTGGTGTCACTGATCGTGTCTTTACTCTGACGTCACTGATTGTGTCTTTACTCTGACGTCACTGATTGTGTCTTGAACATCACTGATTGTGTCTTTACTCTCTCTGACGTCACTGATTGTGTCTTTACTCTCTCTGACGTCACTGATTGTGTCTTAACTCTGGTGTCACTGATCATGTCTTTACTCTGACGTCACTGATTGTGTCTTGAACGGCACTGATCATGTCTTTACTCTCTCTGACGTCACTGATTGTGTCTTAACTCTGGTGTCACTGATCGTGTCTTTACTCTGACGTCACTGATTGTGTCTTTACTCTGACGTCACTGATTGTGTCTTGAACATCACTGATTGTGTCTTTACTCTCTCTGACGTCACTGATTGTCTTTAACTTCACTGATTGTGTCTTAACTCTCTCTTAAGTCACTGATTGTGTCTTAAGTCACTGATTGTGTCTTTAACGTCACTGATTGTGTCTTTACTCTCTCTGACTGCACTGATTGTGTCTTTAGCGTCACTGATTGTGTCTTTACTCTCTCTGACGTCACTGATTGTGTCTTTACTCTCTCTGATGTCATTGATTTTGTCTTTACTCTCTCTGATGTCACTGATTGTGTCTTTACTCTCTCTGATGTCACTGATTGTGGCTTTACTCTGAAGTCACTGATTGTGTCTTTACTCTGGCGTCACCAATTGTGTCTTTACTCTGGCGTCACTGATTGTGTCTTTACTCTGGCGTCACTGATTGTGTCTTTACTCTGATGTCACTGATTGTGTCTTTGTTTACTCCGATGTCACTGATTGGGTCTTTTCTCTGACATCACTGATGGTGTCTTCGTTTACTCTGACTTTACTGATTGTGACTTTACTCTGAAGTCACTGATTGTGTCTTTACTCTGGGGTCTTCGCGGCCTTCTGTAAAACTGCATTTCTATTAGCAGCAGAGTGTAAATGCAGCAAATCATGGAAGCTTCAGCAGAGGTCAGAGGTCAAACCATGGAGTGTGTGAGGAAGAGAAGGGGAGCGGGGAGTTAGAATAGAAACACAAACACATGCTCCTCCTCCTCTCCTTCTTTGTGCTGCAGACACACAGATGATGATGATGATGATGACGACGACGATGATGATGATGATGATGGTTGTGTGCGTCACCAATGATGATGACACTCTCAGTTGTGATTTCCTGCGAGGGATTCCTCTTTGTCAGACTCCTTATTTGTGTGTCGGCGGCTGTAATTACTGCCTCTCTCCGTTTGTTCGTCACGCTGAATAGTCGGCATGTTTGATGAAGCGCGTTTAGTTGGAGCCGGAAGTGATTTCAGCCAATGAACATCCAGAGTGAAAATCTCTGAAGATGGAGGGTCATCAGTGTTTGATTCTGTCGACGAAGGAAGAGACGCCAGATTGACTCTACTTACTGTTCAGCTGTGATGATGACAGGCAGGAAAGCATTACATAACACACACACACACACACACACACACATATACACACACACACACACACACACACACACACACACACACACACACACACACACATACACACACAAACACACATTCCTGACATATCTGAGCGTCTCGCTAACTTGTTAACCGTTTAAAGGAGCAGTTCAACATTTAATGTGCCATCTGTGAGGAGGAGGAGGTGGTGAAAACGTGGATATTATTCACATTTTCTGACAGTAGAGAGCGCTGTCACTGTTGACTGCTCTTGTTGGACATTTTTACTCGCGTTGGGAGAGAAAAATCGATTCATATAAGTATCGTGATTTTTGTTTTACAATTTTTAAATCGATTTTTATGTTCAAAAAACTTTTTTTTTTCAAATTTAAGAATAAATCTTAAAAACGGACTTACAAGTGATGTGTAATTTTGGGGGGGAAATGTGGTTCCTGGAATAATCACTAGACAATCATAATCATTCAACTGTTTCACTATCGTACAATCGCAATCCAAAAAATCATAGAAGAATCAAATCAGGAGAGCAGCAGATCGTCTCAGGCCTAGTTTTGATGTCTTTTCTTGTCCGTCACACGTAGACGGTACCTGGGCGGTCAAACAGAGTCGATGTAACTGAACTTCCCACCGGCCCAGCAGAGGGCGCCGCCCCTTTAAAGTGACGTAATCTCTTTTTAATCGATCTTTTGTTTTCTCCCCGTAGAACTGATCCTCCATGATGGCTGACGCAGAGGTCTCCCTGTCCCCGGCTCTGCGGCCTCTCCACATTAGCCCTTCCCACTCGGTCCCGCCCCCTCCGCTGGCCTCCTCCTCACCCACCACCTTCTCCTGCCCCTCGTCCCCCTCTAGCGCCTCCTCGTCCTCCTCTTCTTCATTGTCCTCATCTTGTTCTGAGAGCTCCTCTGATTGCCCCGCCCACCACCACAACAATCATCATCATCATCACCATCACCACCACCATCCTCGCCCTCAGCTGCAGCTGCCTCCGCCCCCGCCCCCCCAGAGCGAGCAGCCCTCCTCGCCGAGCGCCAGCCCCCGCAGCTCCAGCCCGAGCGGGAGCATCGGCAGCACCAGCAGTATTGGCAGCAGCAGCAGCGCCAGCGAGGGCATCGGGAGCAGTGGGACATCATGTGGCGGCGACCCGCGAGGCCCAAGCCCGCCACTGGATGTCATCTCAGAGGACGCCATGGAGATGGACCTGGGGGTGGACCAAGGTAAGGAGATTATAGATGGATCAGGACCTTTCAGAAACCAGTCTCAGACCATTGGCCGTGGTCAAACAGAGGTCAGGTTCTTCAGGAAATTCACCAGTTCTTATCCAGAACCAGATAACGGGTTAAAGTTCTCGTTTGTTCCTGGTCGTCATCGCTGATGAGTGACTTCAGAAGTTAAAGCTTTAAAGCTTTCAACTGTGGGTGGTCCTCGCCGAGTTTACACTAGATCAGTTCTCTTCAGGTCGACTAACTTAATAATTCCTCCACTAGTGTTGGACGGTATGAACAAAATCTTATATCACAGTATGAGTATCACTGTATGTTTTTTCTCTGTAAATTCAATTAATGTCTTCAAAATAACCAAACTGTCACATTTGTTCGTTTTAAACTGATTTGTAAACAAATACAAACAAAATGTCAGACCAGTCTGGTGATTTTGACGAAAGACTCTGCCAGGCTCTTTAGTATGAGAGGAGCTGCTGCAGCTTTAGTTTTTAGTGCAGCAGGTGCGTCGTGCATCTTTTGGCTCTCATAATAGAGCTTTGCGTGTTTCATGTTTAGATGGTGGAAGAGGTTGTTGGTGTTTCCACCTCCAGCAACGACAGCCACACGACACTCTTTGTACAGTTGTGTTTTTTGATCATTGTCGGATTTTCTAAATCCTAAGAATCTCCAGACATCCGATGTCGCGACCCGCGCCCTTTTTCAGAATTTCCTCCTCCTCTTCCTCGTGTTGGGGGGGTCGGGCTGCCTTCGTTTGCTCGGTACTGCCGCTAATCTCTGCGTCTGCCATGACCACCACCAGTGAAGAACAGTTCTTTTGACTGTACTGAATCTTTAGAATCCATTCATTAAAATGATTAGTTCAAAAGATTCGTTCACTGAATCGGTCTGTTTCGAAGCCCCTCCTTTCCCCTCCCCCTCCCACAGCGTCGTTCACTGGGTGACACATGTCGTTCATTTGCTAAGTCCTGAAGGAAGAATTACTCCCCTGCCCTGACAAACTCACCTCTCTGTGTGTCGCTGTCCGTCGGAGGAAACAACACAGCAAGGAAAAGTTTATACACGTGTATTAATGTAAAGGCGCTATAATGACCTGTTTTATCTTAGCATCAGTCAACCAACCGCTGCTCGGCAGGAATTGAATGATGCTACACCCCTCCCTCCTCTGCCTGCATCAAGTCGTTTGTTTCCTTCACAGTGTGACTGATGCATGTCGTTCATTCGCCTGCTCACTCGCTCGCTGGCTGGCTGTGTGTCGTTCACCAAAGAGTCAAAGGCGGCAGTTCCACTTCAGACCGGCATGTGAAGCTGAGCTCAACTGAACTAAGAAAGGAACCTCTCAGGTCTCGGAGTGATTCAGTTCACGTCTCACAGGGATTTTTGCTGTTACTCCCACTCTCTCGCTGCTCAAGGAGCTATGCTGTTACTTTCACATTATGTTACCCGCGCTACTCATTATATAGACCATGTGTAAGCTTGAACGTTACCTTTCACATTAAGGGAAGAGGGTGCGACGGGATTTGATGCGCTCGTTGCTGACTCAAAACAAGTAGAAAATAACGCCGTGTGTTGTTGTGCTGACACAGTGCGAGAAGAAATCATTAGTGGCGCATTGATATGAATGAGTGAAATGTGACATTTCCGTAGTGATGCACCACCATTGCTGAATGAATGTATGGGAAGAATGCTGGCTTGGTTTGTTCATCCAAAACCTTCAGAGATCCGGAGTCCTGAATCTGCTGGAGGAGACCAGCTCAGCTGACCTCTCCTTGCTTTGTGTTTCCAGTGATTGACCCGGAAGTGGCTCTGAAGGCCTGCCAGGAAGTCCTCCTGAAGGTCAAGCTGCAGAACAGAGAAGTGCCTGAACAGCAACAACCAGAACCGGACAAGCAGCAGCAGAACCATCCCAACACAGACCTCACGGAGAGCTCCGGTCCTCAGTGGCACATCAGCCCAGACACCAGCTCCATCAAAGAGGAAGACGAGGGTGAAGAGGAGGAGGAGGAAGAAGGAGGACGACCAGGGAAGGATGCAGAAAAACAAGCTGCCCCCCAGCAGGAACCAGCAGCTCGACCCGAGTCTCTATCGTTACCGTCAGCGTCCTCATCATCTTCATCTAAACAGTCGTGGCTGCTGCGCCTGTTTGAGTCCAAGCTCTTTGACGTTTCCATGGCAATCTCCTACCTGTACAAGTCCAAGGAGCCGGGCGTTCAGGCATACATCGGGAACCGTCTCTTCAGCTTCCCCGACACCGAGGTGGACTTCTACCTGCCCCAGCTGCTGAACATGTACGTGCACATGGACACCGAGGTGGGGGACGCTATCAGACCGTACCTGGTGAGTGTTGCCATGACAACAGAGATCTAATGCTTGACCACGGGTTCATGGTTTGAGGTTTTGATTTACTCTGACGGGGTGAACAGCTAAACCTGACCAGCCCTCATCTGGGGTGTCAAAGTCCCACCAAAGGGACACTGGGGGTCTTATGTCTGGACTGGTGAGGATCCCTGATGGTCCGGTTCTTTAACCTTTTGGTTCCTGATAATTTGAAGTTCCATCCAGCCTACTTTGTCCACAAAACAGACATGCAGAGAAGTGTTCTTAAAATAATCATTTTTTAACATTTTTTCTGACTTTTTTTACTCTAATCTCTTAAACGACTTCAGCCCTAACCATTAAATAAGTAGTGAACACAGAATTGGATGTATTACCCTTTGTGCGCCGTGTCATATTTATTGATGAAGTGTGCGTTCTAAACAGCTAAGGATATTGGAGCGAAAAAACACTCCATTTTCACCTCCTTTTTTTGAGTCTCATCCTTTACCAAATCAAATGTGATCGAATTCATTTGTTCATATTAAATTAATTATATATATAGGCATATAAAATCAGAAAATATATGTAAGATGTGAATCATTTACAAGTGATTATCCACCTCTAACCAAAATATGACAGCGATTACGCTGATAGCGCACATATAAAAAAATAAATTTGAGATGTGATATCTTCTCACCTAATGATCTGAAGGACCTGTTCATCCTCATGCATGTCCATCCACTCGCTCTGAAGTGAGGGCAAAGTTGAAATTGTCCAAATGTCCCCCTCTCTTTGTCCCACACTGTAGAACTTGGACGTCAGATTTTCGACTGTAAAAACTCAGCTCACAGCACTCCCGGTTATAAACATACAGATTTGCACCCATACACACACACTCAGCAGTACACAAACTTATCCCTACACACATATCCCACCCTTAGACATCCATATCTAGTGGCATGTAAAGTTTCATTCATTTCTGATGATGTTCAGTGGATGAATCAGCGCTTCAAACACTCTCAGTCCATGAATGAAGACTAGCGTGCGCGGCACTGAAGGGGTTAAAATGATGTGCTGGCTTAATCTGTTATATCACTGTCAGAAAGTCAAATTTAGAGCCCTGGTGATCGACTGGCTGCAAAAAAAGAGGTTGTAATACGTTGTTATGGTGCCATAAACATACGGTCAAAAAACGTGTTTTTAGTGAAAGTCTGCTGTCCGATTTACGGACAAAGGAGGGTGGGTGGAGCTAAAATGTGACGACAGAGAACGACAGGTGACACAGAGTTTGTTTTTTTTAATATGAAGAAAAATAAGAACTGTGACCAAATTTGATGACCCAATCTTTAAAAATGTGACTGTCAGCTCAAAATAAAGATGAAAAAATGACAAATGTCCTCAAAACGGACAGAGTAGGAACCGAGGGTTAGAGAAAGGCAAAACCACCACTAGTGGTTTATGAAGACCTGGACGGGGACTTCGAGGTCAGGTCTATAAGTCCTGGCTTAGAGGACTGGGTGGTGAGGGTCAGTTTAGAAGACTAATGGAATGGAGGTTCTGAGTGTCTAGAATCAGGGTCTTTTCAGAACTTTGGGGGGGGAGGTCATGCGTCATGTACTGCCACAGGGTTCTGGTGTTGGACCTAATCCTTTGTCCTGGTTCTTTTTCAGATCCACCGGTGCCGTGGAGGCATCACCTTCTCTCTGCTGACGGCCTGGCTCCTGGGGGCCTACTCCTCCGACATGCACATCTCCACCCAACGTCACTCCAGAGGAACCAAACTCCGAAAACTCATTCTGTCCGATGAGCTCAAACCTTCGCAGGAAGTTCCCAGATCAGCTTCAGCCTCCGTGTCTGAAAGCCCGGCGTCCTCGCCGTCACATCGTCGCTGTCACCGCAGACACAACAGCAGTAATGTGGAGTCCTCGCCGTCCTTCTCGATGCCGGGTCCTGTCCCCAAGAGTCCTGAACCTGTAGAGCCGGAGGTGTTTGTGTCTCCGTCCAGAAGAACCCATCAGAGATCCAAGTCAGACGCCACCACAGCGAGCAGCGGGTCCAGTTCTGGGCTCCGTCGGACGGGGAGTAACCCCAAAGTGGAAGCTGTCCATGAGGAGGTAAAGATACGAGTCTTTAGTTGGTCCTCTTCTTTTTTGTCTCACCAAACAGAGTCCATCACAGATCCACTGAAAGGTCGTATCCACCGATCGTAGCTGATCGCAACCAAAGTTAACGTGTCAATTTCCACCGCATTCTTTCCGTTCCTCTGTGGATCGCCGGACTCCACAACTGATCGCAAGAGTTCTATTTTTTCCAGACGCCGGAGTCGGGCACAGACAAAAAATGTAACATCCGTCTTCTTTTCAAAATAAAACACTCCGTGTTTCACGCAGATCATATTGTACACCATGCAAACGAGCGGGGACGAACAAGTGAAAGGTTTTTAGACGTTATTTCACCCCGATGACACCAGGGATGAGGAGATGCTGATTCTAGAAGTCTAGAAGTAGATTTCCTCCTCTGGAAGGACACAATCTACTGCTTATATGTCTATGTGTCTGTCTTTATAGCGACAACTCATTATCGCGTGATTGAATGTGAATCCTCTGGTTCTTGTGAGTTCTCACGATTCCAGCTGTCCGTAATCTGCCATGAAATTCCCCTCACAAATGGATCCTGTAGGAATTGGCGGACGGCGAAAATCGCCACCGCTCCGGGTGCGGTGAAAATTGGGGGTGAGGCTGAATCAGCACCTGAAAATCAGGGCATCACATCTTTGACTTAAGTTTTTTGTTGTTGGAAGTGAAACTTTTGATCTTAAACAGGCACTTCAGAAAAACGGTCTCTAAAGAGTCCTAAACAGACCAGGACCTGAAGAGTCCTGCTGCTGAAATCAGAAAACACGTCTCTCATGTTTAACCTGTCGTACAAAAACCAGAGTGTGTGAGTGTTTGTGACGCGTTCACACATACATCATATATGTCCTGACTTCAGGAACACGGTGTACGGACCCGATGATCGGGTCTGATCGGATTTCTCCCTGCAGGCGAGGTTTTTTTTTGTTCCAAGAGACAAATTATTCATCTCAGATCTTATCGTCTCTTCTTTCCCCCTTTGTGTTTTTCTTCCTCTCTCTCTCTCTCTCTCTCTCTCTCTCTCTCTCTCTCTCTCTCTTTGTTCCCTCACTCTCCTCAGTCAGACACACATGTGGACTTGAATGACACCTGAGCAGGTACATCAGCTCTTTAAATTCATGAACCCTCACCTGTTCATTGCAGTTATGGGGGGGGGTTGGGGGCAGGACGAGCCTCCGCCATCTTTGTTATCTCAGGTTTTTGAAGACACGGGTACTAGAAGTTGCCGTGAGGTGTGACACCAGAACCTACAAAATTCTCTTAGACCCATCCCCTGAACCCAACAGGAGGTCAAGATGTGAAGTTCTGACCCGTGTCTGCCTGAGGACTTGCAGCTCTAACTCGTTCATGTTTTCTAGAACTCTTACAGAAGGTCATCTGCCTGCAGACCTACAGGTGACGAGTGAGCTGTGGGGGGGTAAGACCGTTTCCCTGATGGGTTTGGAGGTTCAAGTTTGTCCCCAACCTCACGGTTCCTGTGAGCTGGTTTGGTTTTTCTATCTGGTCTTAGTCTGGATTCAGACCGCTTTTTGTCTGGTTTCAGTCTGGTTTTAGTCTGGTATCCGTCTGGTTTTAGTCCGGTATTTGTCTGGTTTCAGTCTGGTTTTAGTCTGGTTTTAGTTTGCTACCATCTGTTTTTACTCTGGTTATAGCCTGTAATCAGTCTAGTTTTAGTCTGGTATCAGTCTGTTTTTGGTCTGGTTTCAGCCTGGTTTTAGTCTGGTATTGGTCTGGTGTTGGTCTGGTTTCAGTCTGGTTATAGTCTGGTATCAGTCTGGTTTTACTCTGGTTTTAGCCTGAAATCAGTCTGGTTTAAGCCTGGTTTCAGTCTGGTAGCAGTCTGTTTTTAGTCTGGTTTAGTCTGGTATCGGTCTGGTTTCAGTCTGGTTTAGTCTGGTATCGGTCTGGTTTAAGTCTGGTTTCAGTCTTGTTTTAGTCTGGTATCGGTCTGTTTTTAGTCTGGTATCGGTCTGGTTTTAGTCTGGTATCGGTCTGGTTTAAGTCCGGTATCCATCTGGTTTCAGTCTGGTTTGAGTCTGGTTTCAGTCTGGTTTCAGTCTGGTTTTAGTCTGGTATCCTTCTGGTTTCAGTCTGGTATCAGTCTGGTTTTAGTTTGTCATCAGTCTGTTTTTAGTCTGGTTTAAATCTAGTATCAGTCTGTTTTTAATCGGGTTTGAGTCTGGTTTGAGTCTAGTTTTAGTCTGGTGTTGGTCTAGTTTTAGTCTGGTTTTAGTCTGGTTTAAGTCTGGTTTCAGATTGGTATTGGTCTGCCTTTAGTCCGGTTTCAGTTTGGTTTTAGTCAGGTATCGGTCTGATTTTAGTCAGGTATCCGTCTGGTTTCAGTCTGGTTTTAGTCTGGTTTTCGTTAGGCATTGGTCTGTTTTTAGTCTGGTTTCAGTCTGGTTTTAGTCTGGTTTCAGTCTGGTATCGGTCTGGTTTTAGTCTGGTATTCGTCCGATTTCAGTCTTGTTTTAGTCTGGTATCGGTCTGGTTTTACTCCGGTATCCGTCTGGTTTCAGTCTGGTTTTAGTCTGGTTTTAGTCTGGTTTCAGTCTGGTAAATGTCCAGTTTTAGTCTGGTTTTAGTCTGGTTTCAGTCTGGTTTCAGTCTGGTTTTAGTCTGGTTTTAGTCTGGTTTCAGTCTGGTTTTAGTCTGGTTTCAGTCTGGTAAATGTCCAGTGCTAGTCTGGTTTTAGTCTGGTGTATTTCTGGTTAAAGTCTGGTTTCAGTCCAGAACCAGTCTGTAGCCCGGATCAGTCCTGCAGAAGTCTGTCTGAGTGAAAAGAGGTAAACCAGAGTCTGTGTGGGTGTTGAGAGTGTGTTGTCACATTCTTGGCCGGGGTTCAGTCACGTGTGGAGCAAAGCTCTCTCCCTATTGGCCGGGAGCCAGGCACAGGGTGCAATGTGATTGGCTGAGGGCCGAGTTTGGTTCGTCCTGCAGAGAGAGAAACAGAAAAAGGAGAGAAAAACTTCTGCTTTTCATTTTTCTTCCCGGTCATCAAAAATTCTGAGGAGAGGGAGGTGGAGTAGGAGGAGAAGAGGGAGGAGGAGGGGGAGAAGAAAGAAGAGGAGGAGGAGGAGAAGAAAGAGGAGGAGCAGGAGAAAGAGGAGAGGAGGAGAAGGGGAAGGAGTAGGAGGAGGCCATTCAGACAGCTGTTCTCCTGCTGCTGACCTCCTAATAAAGTGGATCTCTGTGACTCAGAAAAACCAGATCAGCTGGTTCTGAAAGTAAAAAATCTAAAATCACTTTTTAGACTTTGAAGAAAATTTGAAGATCGAAGATCTGCGACCAAACCCTAAAATAAAGTGGAGCTGAAGAAGAAAAGTCAGACTCTGATTGGCTGTCAGTGATCACACAGCTGGTCACATGATTCATCCTGTTCGCTCAGATCTCTGAATGTAGGGGGCGAGCTAACGGTGCGATGACATCAGTTTGACTGTTCTTTTTGTTTTCATGTTTCATGTTTCACTTTTTAATGTCATTTGTTTAACCGATAAGGTTTTGTTTACAAACAGACAGCCATGATGGGTAACTTAATAGTCACCGCCGAGCGCGTCAACACCAATGTGCATCGGACTTTATGTGATCCGTTTGCAACCCCGACCACATGATCCAGGATTGTTAGTCCAACAATGAGGACTTTGGTTCAGTGTGATTCCACTCAGACTAACATGTTTTTAAAAGTCGAACTAAAACAATTAATCAATTTTTTTTGTCTTTTACAAATTAAATTATTTCGAGGGTCCGTCTGTGACTCATATGACCGTTCTGTAAAAACAGTGAAATGTCCCTTTAACAGATCCCTTCTCCTCTTCTTCTTCTGGTTAATTTTTCATGTGTGAACTCGGTCAGCGCAGAGGGAAAACAGATACCTGACTCCTCAGAGTCCCGCTGGAGTGTTACCGCGGCAAAGGAGGGGTGGAGGTGACGGGGAGGACAGGAGGAGGAGAGGACAGGAGGAGAGTGAGAGGAAGGGGGGGAGAGGAGGAGGAGAGGAGAAGGACTGGAGAAGGAGAGGAAGAGGACAGGAGGAGTAGGTGGAGAAAGAGGAGGAGAAGGGGAGGAAGAGAGGAGGAGGAGGTGTGAATTCAGACACTGCAGACAGAAATCAACAGAAACTACAACAGAGAGTTCAGACGTCATCAGAACATGCAAATATGGCGGATCAGAACCTTTAAAGGTTCTGACTGATCTGGTCCCTCTCAGGTTTCCGTGTCTGCAGGATCCAGTTTTGACTGATCCGGTCCCTCTCAGGTTTTCGTTTCTGCACGATCAGGTTCTGACTGATCCGGTCCCTCTCCGGTTTCAGTCTCTGCAGGACCAGATTCTGTTCTTTACTCTGAGTTTCTCTGGTTTGTTTCCGTCATTCTGATCTCTAAACTCGTCCTTTTTTTTCTTTCGGTAGAATCTGGGTCATGTAAACATCATCCTCATCTTTGATTTCCTCCCAAAACGACTAAAACGTTTCCATGTGTCGGCCCACGGGCCTGAACCCTCCTCCTCCTCCTCCTCCTCCTCCTCCTCCTCAGTCCTGGTTCTGGTCCAGGAGGGTCCAGGAGGAGGATTTAAACCCTGTGATGAAAACTCAGACTGTTTACGGGTTTACAGTCTGATGTCGGTTTTAAAAGTGCTGCGTTATTTGAGTTTGAAACGTTGTCATTTGGACCCAAACTCACACCGACCCGGTTCTGTCCAATAAAGATGATCAATAATAGATCTGACAGATTAATATTATGAAGATCAATAAACAGTGTTTGACTGTATCCTGTGAATATCGAAACGTCTGCGTGGAGTCGTGTTTACATGGAGTCAAGCAGAGTGTGTCGATATATGTGGAGATGCTATGCCCTCTGCTGGAGAAACTGTGAACTTCAGCTAATGTCTCAGACCAGGAAGTGTCAAATAATCTGTCAGATTAGGGGCTGCTGGTCTAGTGGTCTAAAAGGAGGTCAAGTCCTGAGTGAGGGGCTCAGGTCTAAGCAGACTGGTTTTATAAAAAGGATCAGTTTTCTTCTAAAGATCTAAAAATAAAGAATCATCGTTGAAATAAGTAATGAAGAAGAAACACAGAGCGGGGAATAAAACAGCGACATGAAAAAGTCTGTGAGAGGAAGAAGCTCTCAGACTCTTAGGAACATCCTCCACCCTGCAGACCTCTGTCATGCTCACAGTGTCCTAGTTCACTAAAATCTTGTCTCTCTCGTTGTTTCAGCCGGAGCGTCTGCGCCCTCAGCGGGAGTTTGTCAAGTCTCTGCTCTGCATCGGGAAGCGTTTGGCGACTCTGCCGACCAAAGAGCAGAAAACTCAGCGCCTGATCTCCGAACTCTCGCTGCTCAACCACAAACTGCCGGCGAGAGTGTGGCTGCCCACCGCCGAGCACCAGCACCACGTCTGCAGGATCCCACACACTCAGGCCGTGGTGCTGAACTCCAAGGACAAGGTGAGACACACAAACACACACACACAAAGACGTGTTCTCGAATGTTACTCGTGTTAAAAACTGTTAAAATCAGTTAATTTTAAAATTTAACAGAATTTAAATAAACAGCTGTCCTGTCTCAGAGTAACTCTCCTCCTCCTCCTCTTCCTCTTTTCCCCCTTCTCCTTCTCTGCTTCCTCCTTCTCCTCCTCCTCAGGCCCCGTACATCATCTACGTTGAGGTGTTGGAGTGTGAAAGCTTCGAGACGTCTCCAGTTCCGGTCCGAATTCCGGAGACAAGGATCCGCTCAGCTCGCTCTGCAGAGAACCTGGACTGCGGCGTTGGCGTCATGGTGGCGAACGCTAACAGCACGATGACGTTAGAGCACCGAGCAGGAAGCTTCTCCACCGTCCAGAACTACGACAACGACGATGAGGCGTGGGCCACCGACGACATCGGACAGCTGCAGGTGGAGGTGAGACTGAGAGTCACTTAAGAGTCGCTAAAGAGTCCTTTTTAAAGTCCTTATAAGTCCTTAAGAGTCCTTTTATAGTCCTTTTCGAAGTCCCTTTAGAGTCCTTTGAGAGTCCTCGATACAGTCCATTTTACAGTCTTTTCAAAGCCCTTGATGAAGTCCTTTTTACAGATCTTTTAAAGTCCTCTTTAGAGCCCATTTGGAGTCGTTTAGAGTCCTTTTTAAGTCCCTGTAGAGTCCTTGTAGAATCTTTTGAAAGTCCTTTTAAAGTCTTTTGAGTCCATTTAGAGTCCTGTAGTCATTTTAAGTTCTTTTGAAAGTCCTTTAGAATCCCTTTTAGAGTCACTTAGGGGTCCTTTTTAAAGTCCTTTTTTAGGGTCCTTTCTACAGTCCTTTTAAAGTGTTTTTAAGAGTCCTTTTCAAAGTCCGTTTAAGGCGTTTAGAGTCCTTTTTAAAATCATTTGAGTCCTTTTCAAAGTCCTTTTTAGAGTCCTTTTCAAGTTCTTATTAGAGTCCTTTTCACAGTCCTTTTAGAGTCCTTTTAAAGTCATTTTAGAGTCCTTTTTTATGTCCTCTTAAAGTCCCTTTTTAAAGTCCTTCTTAAAGTCCTTTTAAAGTTCTTTGAAAGTCTTTTAGAGTCCTAATTAAAGTCATTTTAGAGTCCTTTTAAAGTCCTTTTACAGTCCTTCCCAGAGTCCTCAGTCTCTTTTTTTTTTTCCTCTCGGTGGCGGTCCAGGCCGAGGCTCAGACCAGCAGCAGTGACAACATCAGTCAGTTCTCAGTGGACTCCATCACCAGTCTGGAGAGTAAGGAACCGGTCTTCATTGCCGCAGGAGACATCAGGTACAGAAACACTTATCGGACCGTTGGATCATAAACAGACAGTTCTGTGTCTCTTATAAGCTGATCTCTGTTGTGGTCTGTTCAGACGGCGTCTGTCAGAGAACCTCGCTCACACCCCTACCACCTTCAAGAGGGACCCTGAGGACCCCTCAGCCGTGGCCCTCAAAGAACCCTGGGAGGAGAAAGTCAGGTGAGCCGGGTCCACCTGTAGGTTCTAGACATACCTGGTCTGGGCTCTCTCTGCGTTTTCACAGCTGTTACCATGACAACCGCTGACACCTCTACACATGGCGTCTGTTAACTGATGAGAGGACGGTGCAGTTCAGGATGTGTGTGACCTCTGACCTCCGTCTGTGTTTGTGTCTCCAGGAGGATCAGGGAGGCGTCTCCTTACGGTCACCTGCCAAATTGGAGGCTGCTGTCTGTCATCGTCAAGTGTGGAGACGACCTGAGGCAGGAGCTGCTGGCCTATCAGGTCCTCCGACAGCTGCAGGTATGCACACACTCACCTGTGCACACCTGGAAAGAACCTGAACACACCTGGAGATACCTTGGATAATCATTTGTGTCTGTAGATCTTTGAAGCTAAACTTTCATTATTGTAGGACAGTTTCAGGGTTTGGACCGATAAATGATGATTAATGGTGATTATTGATAACTGATCATCAATAATGGTTATTAATAATTACTGATAATTATTGATGATAATTAAGGATGATAATTCATGATAACTGATAATTATTGATGGTAATTAATCATAACTGATAATAATTGATGGTAATTAATGATATCTGATAATAATTGATGGTAATTAATGATAACTGATAATTATTGATGGTAATTAATGATAATTGATAGTTATGGGTGAAAATTAAAGATAACCTGTAATAAATGATTTTTGATAACTGAAAATTTTTGATGATAATTAATGATAACTAATAATAATTGATGGTAAGTAATGATAACTGATCATTTTTTATCATAATCAGTGATAACTGATAATTATTGATGATCATAATTGATAACTGATAATTATTGATGGCAATTAATGATCACTGATAATTATGAATGATAACTAATGATATCTGATAATTATTGATGGTTACTAATAATAACTGATAATTATTGATGGTGATTAATGGTCACTGATAATTATGGATGATAATTAATATTACCCGGTAATTATTGATGGTAGGTAATAATAACTGATAATGGTTGATGATTATTGGTAGCTGATAATTATTGATTATAATTAATGATAACTGATAAGTGATTGTTATTAATGATAACTGTTAATTATTGATGGTATTCATTGATATTTGATAATTATTGATGATTATTGATCACTTATCGATCTGAAATGATGATGACTACTCTCTGTGATCTTCAGTCCATCTGGCAGCAGGAGCGAGTTCCTCTGTGGATCAAACCCTACAAGATCCTGGTCATGTCCTCAGACAGTGGCATGATCGAACCAGTCCTCAATGCCGTCTCTCTGCACCAGGTAACTATGGCAACAGATCAGATCTGTACCGTGAAGTCAGAGTACGGCAATAAAGATCTTAGTAATCCTGCAGGTAATCGATGATCGATGTATTGATTGTGTTGACGTTTTCGTGGTCAGGTGCGTAAGCAGAGCCAGCTGTCGCTGCTTGACTACTTCCTACAGGAACACGGCAGCTTCACCACCGAGGCATTCCTCACGGCTCAGAGGAACTTCGTCCAGAGCTGCGCCGGGTACAGCCTCATCTGCTACCTGCTGCAGGTCAAAGACAGGTAAGACACGATCATTCCGTTTATGACTCCGCCCACATCAGGTCACCTCGGTGCTCGCTGCTGATTGGCTCATGTTGTGCTCTGATCCGACCCCGCAGACATAACGGGAACATCCTGCTGGACTCTGAGGGACACATCATCCACATCGACTTTGGCTTCATCCTCTCCAGTTCCCCCAGAAACCTGGGCTTCGAGACCTCGGCCTTCAAACTCACCTCAGAGTTCGTGGACGTGAGTGAGGGGTGGTCTGAGGTTTCCAGGTATGGAGGTCAAAGGTCAGACTGACAGGTGTGTCTGTGTTTTAGGTGATGGGCGGTCTGGACGGAGACATGTTCATCTACTATAAGATGCTGATGCTTCAGGGTCTGATCGCTGCCAGGAAACACATGGAGAAGGTTCTTCAGATCGTCGAGATCATGCAACAAGGTAAGAAACCCTCTGATTGGTTCTGGTCTCCTCACCTGTTCAGACCTCTTCTCTTTTGACACCAGGGTCCTCATTTATCAAGCGTGCGTAGAAAAGGTTCTAAATTCTGTCGTAGGAATGAAATTTCGAATGTGTGTAAGAACAAAAAATCTGTATTTCTCAAACATGCTGCCACCGGTCGTATGCACACTAGTAAGTAATCGCTGATGATAAATCCCACCTGCACTACCGCGCTCGTTCATGTTTAGGGTCATTTGCATTCAGAAACGCCTCCAATTGACCATATATGGTATCAACAATCCCTTTTAAATCGCCTGAAGGAGTCGTGTGTTCCTCCAACGTTTAACAGATCCATATGTGCATCTCAGATTATTGATCACTGATTGAATGAAATCCTTTCTTTTGACAAAACAGTATTTATTGCATGAAAGTGCTTTTATTTTGATGTCAATTAAAAGTTAAAATAAACAAAAAAACACTGACTGAAACTACCAGGTTACAGTTAGCCGGCTGTGTAGTTTGCATATACACATGAAAAATGTACATTACACTTTGGCAGCATTTTCATGTACATACATTTAACAATACCTTTGTAGCCTGAGCCTCAGGCTGACATATCGCCACAATAAATAGTGAAAAGTTCATAAAAGGATTCACAGGAGCTTCAACTAACAGTTTACAACCAGGCGCCGCCATCTTTAAACATCAACTCAGGGGCTGTGTTGATCGTCCGACTTTCCGAGTCGGAAATCCAACCTCGATGTTCGTTCTAGTTGAAAGTTCCGACGCGGAGCTCTTAAATTCCGTCCTCCGAGAACAGCTGGAACGCACCATGCAGCTCTAATTATGTTTGGGAATCCGGCAATGACGTGAAATCCTTGTTTTATTTCAACTTGTTGTTGATGTGTGTTTGGGAACTGGATGTAAGTTGAGAGAAATTATTGAATCCAACTCTGCTGACATGATTCTGCTTAGCGTTGGGTGTAAAATGTCGTATACGTCTCTGATCTCAGGCTGAAATGTTCGGGTTAGGGTGGACAGGAGCTGGATGGTCACTGGGATGGCTTTGGTGCGTTTTGTCTCTCGCTCCAACACGGGTTGTAAATTACGGCATCTTTAAATATATAGAAATAAAACAAACAAAATTCAGTAGTGACTGTATTGCTGTGTTCATTTATTATCAATAAAACAGAGGCCAGGGGCATTCAGAGAGTGGTTAAGCCTTAACTTCCTAAAACTGGAGCTGTGTGGCGCTGCAGTGTTAGTCGTCCTTTTTTGACGAACAAAGAAAAACTTGTATATCCGTTTCTTCGATGCTCACCGTCGAGTCCGCCTTCCACTGCGCCAGGTCCGTTGATGAATATTTGAAGTTTAACTCGGTAAGCAGCCCGCCCCCCTTTACCAGTAATTGGGGAACACGTTGCCTTTGATCGATTGGATTGGTTGGATTGATTGATATGCCAAGATAGATGGGATTAACTGAAGATGACTACTCTGACGAAAAAAAACAAACCCCAAATCAAATTAATGGAAAATTTTACTTTTAGCCCAGGGCGGGCACGGCTCCCCAATGCCCGCCCATGCCGCCAGGTCTGGTTAGGGTTAGGGTCCTCCAATAACGCAGAATATGCCATGATACTTGTATTTGTACTTGTATTTGTGCTTGTAAGACTTCTTCTGAGGTTGTCCTGTAACAGCTGATTTTATAGTTTGTCACATGAATCATTCAAAATGTCTGATCAATAACTAACTGATCAATATTGTACAGAGTGAACAGAGAACATGTGTGAAATTTGAGATTGCTAAACGCTGTGACTCCTTTAATGGGTTCTAGTTGTAGTTTCACTGTTCTACCACTAGGGTTTGTGTGTAAACATGCTCAGAGTTGGGCTTAAATTTACTCACGTTCCTAAGAACAAGTACAATTCCAGGTTGATCAATTCTAGACATTACGTGGGAATGTTCGTACATACTTATTACGAAAACACATCTGTACGAATGCATGGTTGATAATTAAGGACCCTGGTCTTATTTCTAGTCCAGAGTTTCTCCTCCGTTCAGGTCTTTGTTCAGACCTCCTCGTCCTGACCTTTACCTCCTCTGTCTCTTTAGGATCCCACCTCCCCTGTTTCCACGGTTCCAGTACCATCCGGGGTCTGAAGGAGCGGTTCCACATGTCCCTGACGGAGGAGCAGCTGCAGGTCCTGGTGGAGCAGCTGGTGGACGGGTCCATGCGCTCCATCACCACCAAACTCTACGACTCCTTCCAGTACGTCACCAACGGCATCATGTGACCTCCAAGACGCTCACGGTGCCCCCCTCCCCCCGCAGACTCTGAGGGTCGGACTTTGACAGACTGCAGAGTCCAGACCGGATCAGTTCTCAGTTCTCATCTCATCCATCCTCTAAGATCAGTTTGGGTTCTGGAGGAGAAAATCAGCTGATCAGATATGGACTTGTACTGAGTTCATGGGCGGCTGGGAAAAACCAGAACCATCAAAGACCAAAGAGGTCATCAGACTTTGGATTCTCCTGGTTCTTGTTTGTTTTTAATTTCTCAGACTCGTTTAATCAAAAACCTCAAATTTTGACTGGACCTGACTGGATTTATCCAACCAGCACACAGAGCTCGGTGAACCGAGTGTTTCATGTTTCGTGTTTGAATGATGAAGGATTCAAAAGATGAGTGGACTCCAGTCTACAGAGTCCAAGTCTGAGTCATGTTCGTCTGGTTTTATTTAATTTAAACTAAAAAAGAAGAAGCACAGCTCGACCCGGAACCCGACAGAATCCTAAAATTAGCCCGTTTGAGTCCAGTTTTCCTGCTAGGTACAGAAGATCCAAAACACCTGAAGGGACAGGATTTTGTTATTTTTCTTTCTTTAGAAAACCCAAAAAAAACAGACTGAAAGTTTAAATTTGAAAAAATCGACTGAGCCTTTTTTTTCATCTGAAATTCTCCACGTGTCGAGTTTTCACTGATTTCACCAGAAATTTATCAACAAAGTTAAAAAAACAAAAACTGATTCAGAGTTTAAAGGGATATTCTGGCGTAAAGTTAATTTAGGGTCAAATACACCGTAACACAGAGTTAGACACCCCCTCCAGAGATGAATGTTGCCGACCACTTGCTTCTCTAGTTATACCAACTTTAGTAACGACCGCAGGATAGCAATACACAGTGGTCTGAGGAGCCATAAACATACCTCAACCAAAACACCACTCTATAGCCACAAATAAAACTCAGAACTGCACCTAACTTCATCAACAGTACATATAGGGTCTATATTTTTATTTTTTTTATTTTTTTACCAGTAGGAGGAAACTTGGTCAGAGTGAAAAGTTCCTGGTGAATCATTGAAAATTCTTCACGTCTTCTTATCATTTTATCGAACCAGCATGTTTTTCTGCGGAGTCATTTAAATTTTTTGAATTTTTTTTTTTTTAAAAAGGTCCGCTTTAATTTCAGAAGAATTTTATTTGTCGAGTTTCCGTCGACTGGATCAGTTCAGGCGAAAGACACCAACGTTATCAAAACTCCACAGTGTTCAGTTTAAAGGTTTACGCCGTCTGGGTTTTCCTGCACCACCGGTTTCCGTTTCCAGGCAGACTCTCCCCTCTGCTCCAGGTTGAGTCAAAATGGCCGCCAAGTCATGAACAAATTATCGCAAAATTGTCGTCCTCCATGTTTTTCTCTGTACATCTGTGTGAACTCTGACCTGTTTGCATATTTAACAAACGCTCGACACTCGTCCTCCCTGATTGGCTCCTGAGATACATTCCTGTCATTAACTCTAGCCAATTAGAGGAGGCGGCTTGAAGACTAACGAGAGACTTCGACTTCTGTCTTTGACAGGAAGTTCATTGTCTTCATGAGGGCGATAATCTGTTTCCTAAATATGTGAATGTTTCCTTTATCTGTAAACGAAAAATTGTGTGTTTGTTGGAGACGGACGTTAGCTCTGAAGGGTCATGATGTTAGCTAACGCTGTTAACACTATCAGTGGCTTTATTCCAGCGGACTAAACCTTTAAATCACGTTTGGTTTGTAAATAAAAAAACTGAATAATTATCCTGTTAACGCCAAAGTAATTAAGTATTTTATTGTCTACTGTGGAAATCATTTTTTATAAGATTAACGTTATGAAGTAAGCAACTGTTAATACTGCTAATTTTGTCGGCTTGTCTACTGTTAGGCACGGTAAGTGGTTGGTTCCACGAGTGTAGCTTCCTTTTTGACCCTTCACTCAAAAACTCTCAAAAGTTAACTTGAAACATCCCATTAGAGCTAGGTTAGTTAGCTTACTAGCAGTGTTAGAGCTAAGGCTAGTTAGCTGGCTAGCAACATTAGAGCTAAGGCTAGTTATACGGCCAGCAATGTTAGAGCTAAGGCCAGTTAGCTGGCAAGATAGCTCAGTGCCAGTTAATTAGCCGTTTATTTGAAATTTAAAAAATGACCAAAAACATAAAAACGTTTTACGACTAATAAATTCTGAGTCAGTGAAAACTAGCTTGCTAGCTAGTCTGCTGCAATAATTGTTTATATTATTTGTGCGTAATTTTCTTTTCCTCTTTTCATGAAGTTTACAAATGTTTCGACTTTTGCTTGATTAGTTTTACGCTGACGCTTAAGCAGATTTGGCTAACGAGCATTTTCGCTGAGTCATGCTAATGGCTAAACACATCAGCAGACGTGAGATCTGACTACATCCATTTCCAACAATTTTTTTGTACTTTTAATGTTTGATGTCGTCTCAGTGACTCAGCAGAAATCTCAGCTAGCTCATCATATTTTCGTGGAATCTAAAGTTTTTAATAGTTTTTAAAGGACGACTTTAATTTGAAGTCTACTTCTTCGTCGTTACCCTGGAATAAAGCCAGTTTTCGGTGTTGCCGTCACAGTTCATATCTGAGGGTTTTAGCGTTATGACCACTATTGAAGAAGCACAGATCTGCTCACATTACCGCCCGCTAACCTTTAGCTTGCTACCTATTACGCCTCTGCGCTTCGTAAAGATGCAGCTGAGACTACTGTTTACGAGATAAGCGACTCAAATGGCTAACATCTTTGTTGCTCCTTGTTCCGTTTGTGAATATGTACGTATGTAAATGAATTTGTTTCTGTAAGAAAATTAGATGCCTTGAGACGTACGAAAGGTACGAACTCTTATCAATGCAACCGAAGGGGTCAAAGACCTGAGAAGTGCTTTTCTACCCAACGTTTTACCACTTTAGGGGCGAGTTTTCAAACTTCACGTCTTCCTCTCCTGACGTTTATGAGAGATTTTAGTCAGACGCTTAGAATCTCTGATAGTCGTGAAATCTGGAATTAAAGAGCAGATAAAAAACTTTACTGGGAACATTTCGATGTTCTGACTTTGTGGTTAACTGTAACTTTGGGCGAAATTTAAAAGAACTTTAAAAACTTTTGAAAAACTTTTAAAAACTAGCTGCTCCATCTGAGGTTTTTCATGAATCTGGAGAGGAAAATGTTTGGGAAACTCGTCCCTGTTTTAAAAACCTTTCATTGCCTTCTTTCTTCCTTCCATCAGCTTGAACACATTCAAGAAATTCAATGTGAAACCTCTTTTAAGTGCATTTATCCTGAATGAAGATGTTCTCTGTGGTTTGTAAAAGATTCCTCCATGTTTTTAACTTTAGTTGGTTCGAGACATTTAACACTAAATCCATTAAAGCAGCATGAGGACTCCTCACTCTGGTCTGACTTTATTTCTCTTTATTTCACTTTTTGGCGTTTTAGTATCACACGCTAACGTTATGAGACTAGTCAACAGCTGTCATGAGTTTAAAATGTTTATTTTTTTCTCTACTTAGTGGTATTTCTTTAAAATGTCTTCTAAACAAAGAAATAAAATGAACACTTTTGTTTTTTCTCCTATTTTTCATGAGCTGAACTCAAAGATCTAAAGACTTTTTCTTTTTCTCTCCAATATTGTTGACAAACTTGTCTAAATCTGTGGCTGTGTCCGAAATGGATCCCTAATCCCTATATGGGTATATAGGTGACTATCTGGGGGTAAGCACCATTTTGAGGGGTGTCCGAAACCTGAGTGATCAATTCCAATGCCTCATATAGGCGACTTAAAATTTCTATAGAGCATTGCAAAATGTAGTGACCATCCGATGGTCACTCACCGGTGGTGGGCATCCCATCATGCATTGCGACTCCAGCGGCAATTTAAAGACGGAGGAGCTACTGGCCAGGAGATGGCGTAGTCTGACAAAGAAAACTACATAATATACTCGTCGTCATTGTTTTCTTCCACTTCATCCAGGTCGGGGTCGTGGGGGCAGCAGCTTCACAAGGGAAGCCCAGACCGCCCTCACCCCAGCCACTTCCTCCAGCTCCTCGGGCGGGATTCCCAGGCGCAACCAGGCCAGGCGAGAGATATAATCCCTCCACCTGACATGTCCGGAACACCTCTAACGGGAGGGGTCCAGAGGGCATCCTAACCAGCTGCGTCATATCGTCTCTTGCACAATACGACGCAGCAAACAACATTCGGCACAAAAATATGAGGCCTTTTAAATAAATTATTAATTTATTTTTATTTTTTATTTCACGAACATCCTGGAAAAACAAATACATCTATACAACATCATAAAATATAAGAGATGTGAAAACAACAGCTGCAACTTCAGACGCGGCAGTCTGAGCAGTGACATCACAACAGTGCGCCATGTAGTGTCGGAAACCTCCGGTGATTGAGCTCACTACGTAGGCTGTGTCTCATTTCAGAGACCGCATCAGAATAAGCGCACTTAGCTGAGCGCACTGCCGGTATGTGGACTGGATTACCCTGGGTGAGATGGGACACACTACCCTTCACAGGACTTCCTGGTTGAGTTGTCAAATGTCCCCGCCCTCAGGCTCGTGTCACGACTGACTTGAAGAAAAGCTGCGGAGCGCAGCAGTTATTTTTTATTAGTGCGACCTTGCACAGACACAAAACAATAGATACATACAAGCACAGATCATTCCCACAAAATTCATCCAATGATTGTTTTGCATGGAGTATGAGGGCCATATTGAGAAATTTTTTTAAAGACTTCGAGTCGTGAATTTACGAGAATAAAGTCATTAATTTATGAGAATAAAGTCGTAACCTGTTATTTCAGAGGAGAGTTGTTCAAATTAGGGCCGTGAAGCATTTAAAGGAACTGTGCTTCAGTATAGGTTTGACAAACAAGGAGATTCTTCATCCTCTGGCACATCAGCATCACATTGTCACAAGTCTAAAGACTTTAAAAAGAATATATGAGAAATACGTCTTTTCCACGGGGAAAGAAAAACAGGTGTACTTGGAGGAAATTGCTGCTTTTGTGGAGGCAGAAATGAATATGCTGAGGATATATCTGTCAATGCAGCCGTAAATAGCCGTGAATGACATTGAGCTTTAGTTTATGATATGAATCCATATGCAGTAATAAGGTGTTGGTGTCTCTGCAGGTGTAGGTTACTGCCGGTGTCAGAGACGTGGTGCTCGTCGGAGCTCGACTCCCTCTGGATCACAAATGTTGATCATCATCAGTTGGATTGTTTTTTTGAGAAACCACTAAAACTCTCTGAATGACCCGCTGATACATCCACAGATAACCCTGCAGATGACCAGCTTCAGTCATTTCCCCCTCCACAAAAGCAGCTTTATGACTTTATTTACTTTACGACTTTATTCTCCTAAATATACAACTTTAATCTCGAAGTCTTAAAAGAAAACACACAAAAAAAACCAATGTTGTCCTGATCCTCTGCTGTAGTTTTGTCAGCTTTCTTATTTCTAATGTTTTTGATTGTTGAAGCAGAGCGGATCAGTTCGTCTCTAAATCTATAATGTTTGGTTTGCAGATTTTAGTGAGTTCAGAGATCATGCGCTCATGCAGCCTGAGCTGACTGTCTGCTGTTTTTGGATTTCATGTAATTTCTTTGAAGACGCGCTGTGTCTCCAAGCGAAATGTGCAGCTGTGCAGCGGCACGCAAGGAATTCTAGGATACCAACGGCACAAAAGCGTGCATACATGCACGCTTGAAAAAGGGGTGGGGGTAGTGTGGTTTTGAGACCGAATTTGAAGCACGCTTAGCATTTCATGCCAAATGTGACACCGTTCGCGCCGTGTGATGACCTCACACACACTTCAAATGCGCGGTTCGACGGTGCGGTCTCTGAAATGAGATACAGCCATAGTCAGCTATACAGTGAAACCCCATATGGGGGTTAGGGGTTAGGGATTCATGTTCAGTTCTGAGCCACTCCGGCTGCCTTGTTTCTTCAACCTCCCAGTAAAATCATAAATCCAGGAACCATCACAGTGACAGGAGCTAAATCAAACTTCTGATTGTCAGTGATTCCACACGTCTTTGAACTCCTTTACTGTTTGTCATGTGCCTGACCAATCAAATCAAACCTCAGCACACAGTATGATTTCGGAGATTCATTTGATCTTTCCAAGCTTTATCTTTTGTGATTTTTTTTGTCAGTGAGACAAAGGTGGACACATTCTGAACTTACATTTGTTTGTTGTTTCCTCCTCCTCCATTCACCCTCCACACTCTGTGGTTTGGGACGGCCTTCAATATGGTGAAGCCTCCGGGGGGACGCGCAAACGGAGGGGGAGTGTGTGGGGCGAGTGTTAAGGGGTCGGTTTAGGATTGAGCCAGCCCATGTTTGTGAACCGAGATCACCCATCCACCTCACAGGTGTGGCAGATCAAGATGCTGATTAGACAGCCTGATTACTGCACAGGTGTTCCTTGTTAGACTGGCCTATATAAAAGGTGAAGTCTTATCACACAGCTCTGACTGTCACAGAGTTGAGAAGGAGCTGTTTGTCGTGAATTTAATGTTAATTTCTCAACCCTAAGCCGCCTCTAAAGGCATTTCAGAGATTTTGTTTTTATTTGTTCTGCTCATGGCCATTCTTTAAGCATTTTCATCAATACAAAGGCCATTTAACAAATGTAGCACAGCACATGACCAGAAGGGAGAAGGTAGAAGACAAAGCTTTTTTTACCTTACCCTCACTCAAAACAGAAATAAACAATAACATAGGATGGTCTGTCCACTTCAGGTTATTTTCCTATAGACGGCTTTCAAAATCAGAAAAACACTAGCTGAAATATCCATGAATTTCACTCAATTTACCAGGTTGTAATGTTGTTTAGATGTTTCTAATATCAGGAGCAGGGTCGTAATGTTTGCCAATTGTTTGTTTTGCCGATTCATGCAGTTTACAGCACAACAGCTCCTTGACATTTTCTTTCTCCGTTGACTCTGCTAGTAAACAAAAAAAAAGTCTTTCTGCCCCAAGGCTGCGCGTGCATACCTGCGATGACGTTGCACAGAAACCTGTCTATAACTTTACAAAATATTACAATCACATAAATGGAAACAAACAAACAAAAGCAAAGTCAGCATCAGAACATATGCATATCACAAAACACGACTCGTCAGCTTCATATTTTGTTCTTATACTTTGTTTTAAACTGAAATATGTTTGTGCAGCCCTTTAAATTATTCTGTAGGGAGTTCCACATTTTAACCCCGACCACGGAAATACACGTCTGTCTTCATGTTTTCCGAACAGCTTCAAATTAAATCTATCTGTGCTCTTCATCCTCTCAGGTGAAAATAAACATCTTTGGCAGGTTTTCAGGGGGGTATTGCACAAAACCAAGATAAGGGATTAAGCCGGGATATGTGGATTATCCTGGCTGAACTTAGCCTCAAATCGGTTGCATGAAAGCAGGTCAAATTTAACGTGGTCAAGTTACTATGGTGATTTATTCTCTGCAGCTAGCCTGCTCCAGACCAGGCTAACAACTAGGCTAAGATTAATCCTAGAGCTCCAATTCGAATCAGACACCAGCAAGGTGGAGGCGGGGTACTGGTATGGGCTGGTATTATTAAAGATGAGTTAGTTGGACCTTTTCGAGTTGAAGATGGACTTAAAATCAACTCCCAAATCCACGGCCAGTTTTGAGAAGACACTTTCTTCAAGCAGTGGTACAGGCAAAAGTCTGCATCTTTCAAGAAGACCATGATTTTTGTGCAGGACAATGCTCCATTGCATGCAACGAAAGTACTCCACTATGTGGCTCGCCAGTAAAGGCCTTAAAAATGAAAGAATAATGACATGGCCTCCTTCTTCACTCGGCCTAAACCCTGTTGAGAACTTGTGAGCCCTTCTTAAACAGGAGATTTACAGTGAAGGAAGACAGTACACCTCTCTGAACAGTGTCTGGAAGGCTTTGGTTGCTGCAACACAAAAAGTTGATCGTCAACAGATCAAGAAACTGAAAGACTCCATGAATAGAAGGCTTATGACTGTTATTGAAAAGAAGGGTAGTTACATTAGTCACTGATTTTTTTTTTTTTAAATTTCAACTATTTTTATTTGTAAATTGAGTTGTTTGTTTATCATTCTCACTTTAACAAGTGAAAAAAAAAGTGAGATGGAAGATTTTTCATTTTCAATTTAGTTGCATAATAATTCTGCACACTAATAGCTGCCCCCAATAATTGTGCACACGTAGATATTCTCCTAAGGAAGCCAAAATCTCACTATTACTCCCTTAAATATTCAGGTTTGAGGTTTATTAACATTTTGGATTGACCGAGAGCACTGCAGTTGTTCAAAAATAAAATTTATCCTCAAAAATACAACTTGCCTAATAATTCTGCACACCGTGTACACAGTTGCCTGTTTTTAAGTCTTCAAGAAAAGATAAAGGTTTGTTTGCATGTCAGGGAGTGTTAATCAAAGAGATTTGTGAAGATGTGTTCATGATGATCAACAATCAATATTGTTGGTAGAAATAGAGGGCCCCAACATCAAATTATGCTTAGGGCCCCATTGAGGCCTGGGCTCTGGACAGACCCATATCTCAGTGAGATGACCTGTATCAACAAATGTTTAAAATCAGTAAATAAACAGACTACATTTTGTTTCATAACCACAATAATAGATTTTAATTGATAATCTCTTTTTTGCTCGAGTTGAGTAGAAATGTTCCTAAATAGTTACCAAATTTTATTTTGAAGGTCCCCATCGACGCTTAAACGGAAGTCATTTCCTACGTTAAAAAAAAAAAGGGTTTGTCTCTGTTTGTCATCAAAATGGTGATCTGCAGGAACAGTTCAGTGGTCAGGGTCTCGTGTTCATGTTTCAGCAGCAGGAAAGACCCTTCAGGGCCTCCGTACATCTGAAGAATCCCTACATGGACTTTAGGATGTTCGCCTTTTTCTTAAAGATTCACCTTCAACAACATCTGAGAGACTAAAGAGGAGAGTTTAACATGTTAGCTGCAGATAGAGGATAAAGATAATAGAGAAATATTTGACGGAGTGATGGAAGAGGAGCAACTTTGTGGATCAACAGAGCAGAAGGAAAAACAGCAGGGCGCTCTATTCTAAACTTTACGGTAACTTTAAATCTGAGTGGATTTGACCTGATGAAACATGAATTTAGCGGCACAGTGGTGTAGTGGATAGCACTGTCGCCTCACAGCAAGAAGGTCCTGGGTTCGAATGTGGGTGAGGGCGTTTCTGTGTGGAGTTTGCATGTTCTCCCTGTGTCTGCGTGGGTTTACTCCGGGTACTCCGGTTTCCTCCCACATCCCAAAAAACATGCCTTAGTGGGGTTAGGTTAATTGGCCACTTTCAAATTTCCCTTAGGTGCGGGTGGTTGCAAAGTGCAGGGAGTCCAGTTTGTGTTTGACCTCAGACCTCAGAAGGCGTAGAATCAGCCGCTCCAGGGTTTTCATGATGTGTGAAGTGAGGGCCACTGGTCTGGAGTCATTGAGTTCAGCAGGACATTTTGTTTTCGGCACTGGCACAATGTAGACTCAGGTTGAAGATCTTGTGGAGAGGTTGACACAGTTCTGCAGCACAGTCTTAAAGCAGCCTTGGACACACACCATCTGGACCAGCTGCCTTCCTAGGACAAAGTCCTCCAAGCTCCATCCTCACCCCTGTTTCAGTGACAGACAAGGACTGGTGTTCTAGGAGGGAGGCAGTTGAAGTGGTTGAGACATTTTAACAAGATGGAGGAGGAAGGGGAGAAGTTGTAGTGGAGATTTGTTGCAGAGAGGAAGGTGGAGTAGCAGTGGAAGTGGGTGACAGCAGTGTCAAATCTGTTGAAGAACAGGTTGAGTTCATCAGCTCTTTCCAAATCACCCACCACTGGCTGTCTTTTCGTTTTATTGCTGTGTCCAGAGATGGTACTGATTCCTCTCCACACTTCACGGATGTTGCTGTGTTGTAGATTCTTCTCTATCTTCTTTTTGTACTCCAGCTTTGCTATCTTCAGTCTCCTCTTAAACTCTTGTTGCACTTGTTTGAGTCGTTCTTTGTCACCATCTTTAAAAGCTTTCTTTTTCTGGTTAAGGATTGCTTTTATGTCTCTTGTGATCCAGGGTTTGTTGTTGGGGAAACAGCGAACAGTCTTTGTAGGTATAACTGTGTCTCTACAGAAGTTGACATAATCAGTAAAGCAGTCAACCTGTTTATCAATGTTTATACTATCCACATCTGTTTCCAGCAGCACATTCCAGTCTGTCGATTTAAAACAGTCCCTTAGAGCTTCACTGGCTTGAGGTGTCCATCTTCTGATTTTGACTTTGGTCACAGGCTGCCTCAGCACACAAGGTCTGTAACAGGTTTCCAAATAGACCAAGTTATGATCTGACTTGCCCAGTGGTGGTAAGGCAGTGGCTCTGTAGGCTTCTTTGACGTTGGCATACAGCAGATCCAGGGTTTTGTTTTCTCTGGTAGGACAGTTCACAAACTGTGTGAATCCAGTCAGGTGAGAGGAGAGGGTGACATGGTTGAAGTCTCCTGATATTATTATTAGTGCCTCGGGGTGTTGAGTCTGTAGCCTGGTGACACTATTTTGCAAAACATCGCAACATTCTTCAGTTGATTTGGGTGGACTGTAAACAATTATTGTTATGATATGACTAAATTATCTTGGAACAAAATATGGCCGAAGAGCAACTGCCAACAGTTCAATATCTGGACAACACAACTTCTCTTGGACAGTTATGAGTGAAGGGTTACACCATCTCTGGTTGACAAATAAAGCCAGACCTCCTCCTTTCTTCTTGCCACTAGCTTGAGCATCTCTGTCTGACCTTATGAGAGTGAAACCAGATAGATCCACACTGGAGTCTGAGTTGTTTTGATTCAACCAGGTTTCAGTAAAATACAGGAAACTGCACTCACGGTATGCTTTCTCAGTCTTCTCCAAGGTCTCCAGCTCATCGCTTTTGTTGGGCAGAGATTTGACGTTTCCCATGATGATTGATGGAAGAAAGGGTTTATATCGCCACCTCCTAGCATTCAGCTTTGCCTTCACCTTTGCACCAGCACAGCAACCACGATAACACCTCCTGATGTCCTCTGGAATTGTATGTTGTTGTCCAGATTTGCTTTTCCTCAATGAAAGAATTCTTCTCTTGAGTAAACTCTTCACCCAGCAGAAATATCCATCAGCAGCCAACAAAATGACAACAAAAATATGAAAAAAATCTAGCATAACGTACAAAAAAATACAGATAATATAGAGAGACCAGACTTGCAGCAACCTCTCGGTTCAAGCGCATCATTTGAAATTGATGCTCACATGTTGTTTAACACAGCTCATTTTTTTCATCTAGAAATCTGACTGCCGGCGAAGGAAAGCTTTCACTGACCACACTTAACAGGATGGAAGGTAAATGACTTTTTTAAAATCTTAAAATAAATGCACTTTGTTTCAGTTCATTCTTCAGCTGCATTCTTCACATTGGTTAAACATCTGCGGGTTCACCCTTTATGAGTAAATACTTGGTTTCAACGTTTTTAAGTCGTCATCCCAAAAAGTTACACGGTTACTCATCAGCATAAAAATACTGTTTTACTGTTTTCTGTGTGTTTTTTAAAATGTACTGTGTGCACCAGAAGACCAGCAGCTTTTGGAGGGTCAAGAAGAGCTTCACTCACCAGAACCCCCCCACATTAAAGAGGAAGAAGAGGAACGACTGACCAGTCAGGAGGACGAGCACCTTCATGAACGGGAGGAATCTGATACCACAAACTTTTCTGTGCCCGTAAAGACTGAGGAGGATGAGGACAAGCCTCTTTATCAAATACAAGCTGAACAGACGGAAACAAGAACTGATGGAGAAGACTATGGAGGATCTGAACCGCCCAGGAACCCGGATCGAGAGAGTGGTCTACAACCAGAGACTGGGGCCAAGCCTGAAGACTGTTCAGAACCAGAGACTGACGACAGTGATGACTGGAGAGAGACAACAGAACAACACTCAGGTGAAAACATCCAAGGAGCAAAAACAGAGAAAAAATCACACAGATGCACTGAGTGTGGCAAAACCTTCAAAAAGAAACAATATCTGATCATCCATATAAGAATTCACACAGGAGAGAAACCCTTAAGCTGCTCTGAGTGTGGGAAAAGTTTTAATGAAAGAGGAAACCTAAACCAACATATGAGAGTTCACACAGGAGAGAAACCCTTCAACTGTACCAAGTGTGGGAAAAGCTTTAACAGAAACGGGCATCTGAAGCGGCACATGAGAACGCACACAGGAGAGAAACCCTTCAGCTGTCCTGACTGTGAGAAAAGATTTTTTCAAAAAGGGCATCTAAATGATCATATGAAAATTCACACAGCAGAGAAACCCTTCAGCTGCCCTGACTGCGGTCAAAGTTTTATTCAGAAGGGGCACCTGAACCATCACAAAAAAACTCACACGGGGGAGAAACCCTACAGCTGTTCTTACTGTGATAAAAGTTTTATTCAAAAAGTGCATCTAAACCATCATATGAGCGGTCACAGGGGAGAGAAACCATTCAGCTGCTCCATGTGTGGGAAAGGATTCATTCAGAAAGTGGATCTGAATCGACACATGACTATCCACACAGGAGAGAGACCCTTCAGCTGCTCCATGTGTGAGAAGAGGTTTAACAAGAATGGAGATCTGATCCAACACATGAGATCGCACACAGGAGAGAAACCCTTCAGCTGCCCCAAGTGTGGGAAAAGATTTCGACAGAAAGGGCATTTCTCCAGACACATGAAAATTCACACAGCAGAGAAACCCTTCGGCTGCTCCGATTGTGAGAAAAGCTTCATGAGTAAACTCGATCTGAGGTCCCACATGGTCCAGCACGGTGGAGAGAAACCCTACAGCTGCAGCGATTGTGGTCAGAGGTTCTGTTGGTACAAACAGCTAAAGAAACACAAGTGTGTCGGCAGTCAGGCTTCAACTTCGTTACAGCCAATCAGTGACGAGGACTGGGAGGAGACCAGTGAGCATCAGCCAGGTCTAAACTCTGAAGATCTATCAAACCTTAACAGGGACATGAGACACGAGGAGAGCAATGAGAATCAGCCAGGTCTAAACTCTGAGGATCTATCAAACTTTATGAGTGAGTGAAAACTGTTTCATGTGTCAGTCATGTTACAACATCTGAAGAAATGGATGAATTTCACATCCTCCAGGTTTGACCAGTCAAGGTAATACAGCGAAATGTTAATCATGTGACTGTCCAAAGATGACCTGATGCTGTCTGCAGCTTGTGTTGTTGAAAGAGAGATCTGAGTATTTATTAAATGATGTGAACAGGTGCCGAACAAGCATTTCAAAATGATTTAGACTGTTTTACAATTCTTCTAATTGTATGCCAAATGTCACCGAAAGAATATAAAGATATATACAATTTAAAAATGTATTTGATAATGTTTGTGAGTGCGTGTCCAGCCCTAAATCCAGCTCTGATATCCTGAGTTCTGACTTCCTGACATGAGTGTCTGCTTTGATGTCATTTTGCTGATATTATTGTTGTTTATTTAATTTTGTAAAATCCTGTTTTTGGTTAGTTTAGCAGTCAGAGCTTCAGAGGGGTTTGACATTTTCTTCTTTCAGTTTTCGTCGATCTGCCTTAATGTGATCAGTCGGTCTAACCATATTGTAGTACCTCTTCTCCACCAGCAGGTGCCACAGTCGTCATTTTCATACCAGTCTGTAAGCGTGAGTAAATCTCTCTGTGGAGTTTTATTTTCAGAGTATGTGAGTTTGTGCTGATTCTGCATGGACAGTAATCTGGTAATGACGTTCAGTGATGAGTTTAGATTGGTTTTAATTATCGATCCTAACGATCAGGGAGAGAAACTTTTATCAAAACTGAAAACCCTGTCCTTGATTCCATCAAGTCAGATAAGGAATCTGGGCATCATCTTTGACTCTGAGGTGACTTTTATCCCACATATTAAAAATATAACAAAAACAGGGTTTTATCATTTAAAGAATATAGCCAGAGTCCGCCCCTTTCTCTCCCAGGCTAACACAGAGACGCTAATGCATGCTTTTATCTCCAGTCGTCTTGACTATTGTAACGCCCTGCTTTCTGGTCTTCCAAAAAGAAACATCTCAAGTCTACAACTGTTACAAAACTCAGCAACACGTGTGCTGATGAGGACCAGAAGGCAGGCACATATTACACCGGTTTTTAAATCACTGCATTGGCTCCCTGTGTGCTTTAGGATTGATTTTAAGGTCCTTTTAATGGTTTTTAAATGTCTTAGGGGTCTTGGACCTTCTTATCTCTCTGTGGAGTAGCCTGCCGGAGGACCTGAGGGCCGCAGAGAATGTTCATATTTTTAAAAGCAGGCTCAAGACCCACCTATTTAATTTGGCTTTTAACTAATGTCTTATTTTTAATCTATATTTTATACTATTTTTTATTTCATATACATATTTTAGTCCTCATTTTACATGTTATTTTTATTCTATTTATTCACTTATTTTTAAATGGTATTTTAGCTATTCATCAGTATTTTATAATTTTATCTAGTTTGATGTTTTTAGCTGATTTAGTTAATGTTTTTATTGCCTTTCTCCAGTGTTTCCTCAGTAGGGGGACCACCTGCACTGGAGGCTGTGACTGGCTCTGTCTAGGGTTTCTCTGCCTCGTGGTGTGCGCTCAGCTCGGACAGGTGGTGGTCTGCAGCAGTGCTTGCTGCTGTGGGCCCCTTACTGGCCTATAGCGGGGGGTACACACTCGGGTGGAGGTGTCCCGGTCCTGGGCCGTGAGCAGCCTTCAGTGCAGTCAGCCTCCTGACGTTTTCTGACCTGGCTCCTCTGTACTCAGCCACACGCTTGCACAAGATTGCATTATCTGTGTGTGTGTGTGTGTGTGTGTGTGTGTGTGTTGGGGTGGGGTCTTGGTCGGGGTGGGGATGGGTGGATATGGGGGGGCTGATTGTTTTTTGCTGCATTTCTTTTTCTGAAAAGTGCTATATAGATACAGTTTGATTTGACAGGTGGATAAATTCGGGTTAGAAAATAAGACAATTTTTAAGTCCTTAATATTTTATGCTGACATGTTGCTCATACCGGCTCAACTGATGATCAACATTTGAGATCCAGAGGGAGTCGAGCTCCAACGAGCACCGCGTCTGTCTCTGATGTCGGCACAACACCGGCAGTGACCTCCACCTGCAGAGACACCAACACACTATGGCGTATAGATTCATACGATAAACTAAAGTGAAGCTAAATGAAACTATTGTTATAAACAGCTGCATTGAGGGATTTTACCTCTGCACAGACATTTACAGACATTTCCCCCTTCTTAAAAAAAACGATTCCCTACAAGTCCGCCTGGTTCTTTCTGAGGAAAAGATTAATTTCTTACATATGTCCTAATACTTCTGACAATGTGATGCTAAAACGCTAAAGGATTATAATTCATCGAAATGCTCCACAGCGCTCAGGTTAGAATAGACATTAGCTACGACTTTATTAACGTAAGAAATGTTTTTATTACGACTTTAATGACTTCCACCACAACTTTATTCTCGTAATTAATGATTTTATTACGACTTAATTCTCCTAAGTAACAATTCTATTACGCCGCCACAGGGAAAGCCCACTGAGCATGCGCAGAGGTACTAACCCGGAAGTGTATCAAGTAAACAGTGAGCAGGGGCTCGTTGGTGGTTGTGTTCGCCGCTCTTTCTCTCTCTCTGTCCTCTTCTTGCTGATCAAATGTCGAAAATCGAGATGTTGAGATTGTTGATCAACCAGCGGCTCACCGCAGCCGCCGAGGAGATCTTCGGAGTGTTCGGGAGAACCATAGCCGAGTATGAGGAGGAGATCTCGCGGTCCAAGCTGGAGATCGACCGTCAGCGCCGGCTGCTGGAGCTCTCCGTGACACCGCAGATCTCTGTGGAGGTCAACAACTCAGGTGGGTTACCTGAGCTCAGGTCAAAGTTCACTCAGGACTCCTTCTTCTTCTTAATTACATCATGTTTTATTCTGTTTAAATTAGTCTGTTAGTAAAACTCAGGAAGAGTTTTTAATTTTTTGTTTCTTGTCTCAGAAAAGTTCACAAAAACTTTCATTTGAAATTTTCTGTTATGACCTGTTTTTTATTTATTTTTCTGTGAATCATTAACTTTTTAAAAAACGGATTTTTCTTCAGTTTCAGTTTTTTTTTTTATAGTGAGACAGGATCAGTGTTCAGGGGGAACAAACTACAAGTAAAGTAAAGACTGTTGGTGTTTTTAAGAAGAGGCTTTTTAACCTTTTTAACCAGGCTTTTCACTGATTGTCTTTTTATATTTCTTTTATTACAAATGTTCATTTTAATTAAAGGTCTTATTGTTTATTTTATTAATAATCTCTGTTCTTTGTCTTTTTCTTAACTCCTGTCTTAGAGGTTTTTACTTCTTTTACCCCTTTTACCTGGTGAAGAGCTCTTATTTATCTGTTCATTTTATTTAATTTTCTTCTTTTAGTCCATCAGATTTTACTCTTTCTTTTTATTAGGGCCCAACCGATATGAATCTTTTGGGGCTGATGCTGATGTCAATTATTAGGGGGGAAAAAAATCAAATTACCGATTAATCGGCCAATTTTTAAATTTTTTATGAAGATTAAAAATTTTGTTAATTTATGTAATATATCTACATATTTACTTATATTTTTTGTTTCACAAATTCATCTTCAACTTTATTTGTATGGCACCTCTCATACAAAAAATGCAATTCAAAAAACAACAATAACAACAATAAAACCCAACCCTCCCACCTACACACACACACACACACACACACACGCATGGACCCACACGCACACAAAGGCACACACCCACCCTCACTCACCCACACATACACACACAGAACCGCACACAGTGTGAGAATTGAAGATATTGAAGAAACACTGGAGATAAAAAAAAAAAAAGGTAAAAAATAAAAATGGTAAAAAGAAAGAGTAAAACCTGATGGACTAAAGCAAGAAAATAATATAAAATGAACAGATAAGTAAAAGCTCTTTACCATATAAAATAAGGGGGTAAAAGAAGTAAAAACCTGTGACGGGAAATTAAGAAAAAGACTAAGAACAGAGATACTAAATAAATCACATAAAATAAACATGAAGAACTTTGATTAAAATGAACATTTTCGATAAGAGAAATATGAAAGGCAATCGGTAAAAAGACTGGTTAAAAAAGTGAGTCTTGAGCCTCTTCTTAAAAACATCAACAGTCTCTGCAGCCCTGAGGTTCTCCGGCAGGCTGTTCTACAACTGGGGACCAGAGAAACTGAGCGCCGCCTCCCTGTGTGTTTTTGTTTTAACTTTGGTTTAAAAGGTTAAAAGGCCTGTGCAGGAGGACCTCAGGGTCTGCAAGGATTGATATGGTAAAAGTAGATCAGATAAATGGGAGGGGCCAAGACCATTAATACAAAAACTATTAAAAGAACCTTAAAAACCATCCTGAAACAGACGGGGAGGCAATGCAGCGATGCTAAAAGTGGCGTTATATGCTCCCTCTGGCCCTTGTCAGCACTCTTGCAGCTGAATTCTGTAAAAGCCGAAGTGTATGTAAGTTCTTCTTTGGGAGGCCAGAGAGCAGGGCGTTACAAAAATCTAAATGTGAGGAGATAAAAGCATGCATCAGCACCTCCATGCTGGCCTGGGAGAGAAACAGGCGGACTCTGGCTATTTTCTTAAGGTGGTAAAAACCTACCTTTGCTATGTTTCTGATGTGTGGAATAAAACTGAGCTCAGAGTCGGAAATTACGCCCAGGTTTTTTACAGATGTTGATACTTTAAAATCTTGTAGTTTTGGTGAAAGTGTCTCTCTCAGGCCTTCAGGACCAAGAACTATAACCTCTGTTTTGTCCTGGTTGAGCTGCAGGAAGTTTGCTGCCATCCAGGACTTAATGTCTAAAATGCAATTTCAAAGGGCATCAATCGGCCCGCGATCATCAGGAGACACAGCCATGTACAGTTGCGTATCATCAGCGTAGCTGTGGAAGTTGATGCTGTGCCTCCTGATGATGTCCCCCAGGGGAAGCATGTAAAGGTTAAAAAGAGTTGGACCTAAAATTGACCCCTGGAGAACCCCACACATGGCTGCTTTTGAGCCTTTCAAAAGCTTCTTCAAAGAATTAAAGGCAGAAAACTCGTTTCAAATCCTTTTTATTGCTGAAGCAACTGAAAAAGAATGAGGTATTTTGTTTTAAGTGCAAACAGTTAAGTTAACTTCCAACTCTTTTGCTCAAGGCGAAGTGGTCCCACACCTTGCTTCGCTCGCTCTCTTTTGATGTCTGTAAAAACAACAACAAAAAGGAATAAAGTGAGAGAACAGCAAGTATGCATTAAATATGCATTGTTTAAAAGAATCTCTCTAGTTATATATGGGCCATTTTCAAACTCATAGCCTACATTTTTCTTAGTTGTGTTTACATAATATGACTTACACTACACCCCTGGCTATTTATTTTAACTGTAATAAACATGATAATCTAATTCTTTTCAGCTTATTATTCAGACTGTAGCGGGTGTGAGTCTATATATCACAGTATAAAAAATGAAATTTAACAGTTTTTATTGGTCGCATGTCTTTTCCAATACAATAATCTACTGTATCTGTGAGGTCTTTGTGTCTCTTTGACGTTTTTTCGTAAGGCGTTGCTCTAGAGAAAGTTGACTGAATGGTCGTCTGTTTCAGCTGCTCAGGCGCCATGAGCTCCTTACTCCTCTCAGGGTTTGTAACCTTTTGCGTTGCGTGTGCTCTGCGGTGAGTCGCTGCTTCAGGTGGTGAAAAAGATTGGAGGTATTCCCCGACTTTGTGAGAACATGTACTCGACATAATTTACAGTCCACATTACTCTGCTTCATGTCCGACCTCAAAAAAACAAAATACCTCCACATCATCGATGTTTTCGTGCCAGTGTTGTCGACGTCATCTGTTGAGCCTTTATGATCATTTCTGTCGGGGGTAGCACTCATTTTCTTTTTTTCTTACCAACAGTGCTGTCGGCTTCACCTGTTAAAGTGCTATGGTTGGGTGTAGCTGCTGTCTGCTACGACGCAGTTGTTTGATACTTCGATCTATTTCAGCACATGATTGATTCAGTGCGAAGCGAACCCGGAGCAACTCCTCTTTTCATTGGCTATTCGCATAGTCTACCAAAACATGGCAGAATGCCGACTATTGAAATGCATATTGACCATGTTTTATGTTGATATTGAGGGAAATAAATTTTTAATATATATTGTTATCGTTTTATCGCCCATCCCTGAGTTTGACAGGAGCAGTGTTGTGGGTAATGCACAAAGTAATAGATTACAGTAACGATATAAAGTAATGTACTCTACTAAAAAAAATCTGTAACTTAGTAACTTCACTAACCAATCGAAACATGCCTTTCTGCGTCACATCAGCTGTGTTTCCCTGTGTGCAAAGTTCTGATCTGTTAAAGTGGTTTGTGTGTGTCTGCTGCTTGTGCATCTGTGACATTAGGCAGGGGTTTGGTGTTCATAAGGATCAGTTTCATCTCTTTTATTTTTCTTGATATCAAGCCTTTGGACTAGGCCTGAACGATATATCGTTTGACTATCGTCATCGCGATGTACGTGTGTGCGATAGTCACATCGCAGAGCCTGCGATATTGGAGGTGAATGAACTCATTTAATTTCAAGGGTAACTGACTGAGATACACTCCATGTGACTCTGCATGTGCTGTGCAGCGATCCACCAATCGCCTTCGTCCTTAACTCAGTTGCCAATCAGACTCACTTCTCAGCTGCCAATCAGACTACCCTGCCAGCTGTCAATCAAAATCAGGGAGGAGAAAACCCACCCCTGCACATGTTCTGCACATGGAGGGAGACGTGTGTCCGCTGAGAATTACTTTCGGAACTTTACTCATGACTATTAAGCCCAACAAATAAGAACTGTATGGGTTTTAAATTGTACATTTCCGTGGACCACTCTACTATAAGCAGTGCGCGTTTTGCGAGGTGCATGCAATTCTCGGAGGACATGCGTTTCTCGGCACAACACCGCTAACAACAACAACAACAACGATCGCAAAATGAACAACGAACAAGCGAAAACCACCGAAAATGAAGATTTGTTGCCAAAAAGAAAAGGAAAGTCAGTTATCTGGAATTATTTCGGTTAAAAGAAGGATGATGTCGACCAAAACACGTCTTCTGTGTTCATCTGTTGCCACAATAACGTCCCAGCACAATAAAAGCTAAAAATATCTCTGAGACAGACAGAAGCCATTCTAACATTCACAAAAAGAGGTAAGATCAGAGCAGATTAACTGTCCTCAAGATTTCAGCAGTGCAGCATAACATTAAGTGCTATTCAGGTCATCTGGTGAAAATACTGTATTTTTAATATCGCAATATATATCGCAGGGTTGAAAAAATCGCAATATTATTTTTTTCCAATATCGTGCAGCCTTACTTTGGACCATTGTCCAGCTTGTCTTTGAACGCTCTGACAGTCTGTTCTTAGTGGGATTCATTTTTTCTCTGGTGTTTTTTTCTCACTGTGTCAGTGTCTCGTAGCCTCCTTGTCAAATGTAAACAAAAGTTTCCTTCAAAGATGCATTTTGCAATCGTGTGGCCTTTGAATATAGACAGATCGATTTGAGTGACGTAGCTGCTTATGCGAAAGAGAGATGGAAATGGAGACAGAGATGGCGGCGCTTCATCTCAGGAGAAGATTTTTTCATCATGGATGTTTCCCAAAGTTGGTGTTTTCAAATTTGTGTGTTACTGCCTCATATCCTTCTTTATCCTGTTGTGTGACAGTGAGTGATTGTGTTTGCCCATGTGCCTCTACACAATAAATTAGAGCAAAGTAATAAGTTCTGAAGTTACTTTTCAAATGCAGTAACTAGTTAAATAATCTCTTTACAATTTACAGAAGTAACTAGTTACAAGTAAATAATGACTTTTTAAGAGTAACTCCCCGATCACTGAACAGGAGTATTAAAGAGATGAAATCACACTTTCTATGGTTCCGGTTTTAATCCTGTCCTGTCTTTGGCAGCTCTCCCTGAACAGCAGAACTGGAGTCATGGTCTGGACCTGAACCAGTTAAAACCTCCTGTTGTCAAAGCCGAGGAAGAGGTGACTGATGGTGGGAAGTTGCTGTTATTCAGTAACAGTGGTGTGAAAACTGAGGAGGAAAATGACCCTATGACCTCCTCGCTCTCAAAGTTCCTGCAGCCGGACCTGGTGGACTCGGAGATGGACCCTCAGCCGGGCACTTCAGTCCCACAGAGCTCCTCAGACCCTGATGAAGACGCCTCTGAGAATGTAGATCTGGCCCCAGGTAACGGTCAGCTGGACTGTGAGGACCTCGAGCAGACTGTGTCTGAGGTGGTGGACTCGTATATTTGCACCATCTGCGGCCGAGCCTTCGCTCAGCGCTGTCACTGGGCCAAACACGTGCAGGTTCACCGGAAGGTGGGCTCCAAAGGGGACCGCTCCTTCACCTGTGACCTCTGCGGGAAGAGACTCACACGCTTTGATGGCTATCAGAAACACATGAGGGTTCACACGGGGGAAAAACCGTACAGCTGTCAGCACTGTGGCCGGAGATTCAGCGACAACTCCAACTTCAAGCGGCACATCCGTACACACATGGCGCAGAAAAACCAAAACAGCTGAGGCCAACAGGAGGGGTGGGCGGGGTCACAGTGACGCCCATTTTACTGTCATTTTAATCTGATTGTGCGTCTTTTAAACTTCTGAAAGTTCTGAAAATCTGAAAATATAAACTCAAAGGTTTAAAATCTTCAAGTCTTTAGGTCCTTACACACCAGGCACGAATTCGCCAGGCGAATTATTCGCCTTTTTTTAAAACAGCATAAAGTCAATGCAAGCTTCCACACCGGCGGCAATTTTTCCGTGGAGTGAAAGCGTCTTTTATTTTTTCGCTCTTGTGTCGAATTTTTGGGAGATTCGCAGGCGAATATCTGGACCTGCTAGACCTCTGGCCAATCAAAAGTCATGTTGTTGATGACATCACAGACCCATGCGGCTGCAGTTCACACGACACACACCACCACTGGCACCAAGAGCAACGATGGGAGGGAGGCTGGTAATTGCGGTACAGGACCATCCCGTGTTGTGGGACAAGTACCAAAGACAATATATATTTATTAATTCGCTTTGCAAAATTTATACGCATATTCGCTTCGCGCCCGGTGTGTATAAGCGAAAGCGATTTTTCGGACCGGTGAATATTTTTGCATTTTCATCTCGCTTTTTTGCTTCGCTCCACAAATTTGCTGGTGTGTAAGGACCCTTTGACTCTGATGTTGGAGGGTGGTCTCTCTATGCAGCTGAATCTCGTAAATGAACACATGAAGTTTGTGTTTTAGAAAAATTAGAGGAAGTGATCGAGTCAGAAGAAGAAGAAGAAATAAAATGAGGACTGAGCTCCATGTCACAGCTGAGACATGACAGTTTGAAATCTTCTCCTTGTGAGTCTGGACGTGTTAAAGAAGACGAAGAAGAAGAGGAAGGAGAGGTCTGCTTTGTATTTTTATAACAATTCTATTTTAAATAACTTTTCTACGGTTCTTTCTATGGTCAGTTTGCAGAGAGTTGAATTCTCAGGAGTGAAATGGTTCAGAGAGTCTAGAGTTTGAATTAATGGGACACTTAATCAGCATTGTTTTCTTTTTATGGGCGATTTTTGCCTTTTATGGATAGGACATAGGACATTGATAGGACAGGGGGAAATGTGGGGAGGACATGCAGCAAATGGTCGGGGCTGGACTCGAACCCGCGACCGGAGCGGGAGCTGTGGTGTCCCTACCTGTGGTGCCCTAACCCGCTCAGCCATCTGCGCCGTTTTAACAGTTGTTTTCGACATTTTTGAAGAAACAAAGTTTTCAAGTTTGAAATGAAATCACAGTTTTTTTCTTCCTTTTTTTTTTTGCTTGAGTTCAAATCCACGTTTCCTCAAGTATTTCTGGCCTGCTGTGATCAACCGAACGAGAGTTAGGGTGATTAAAGTTTGAAATAGAATTTAAAATATATTTATTTGCAAGTCCATTTATAGTATGATGTATCTAAATACAGATTTTAAAAGGGATGAATTTATAAAGCCAGAAACATGTCGTCCTTAGAGTCATTATGGCGTCCATGGAAACAGATTCGTTGAAACATTTTCCTTACTGTCGTTGAGTTTTGACCAATCAGAATCAAGCATTAAACAGCCAGATGTGGCCACCACGTCTAAGCTTGTCCTGAGTCCTCCAAAGAGTTTTTCAGTTTGATAATATTTTAATCAAACGAGGATTCATGTCATGATGTGTTTGGTGGAGAAAACCCCGAGTCCTCTGGTCAGCTGCTCTTCCTCACCAGCAGGTGGCAGCAGAGAACTTTATCCAGAACTAGGTCTTAGTCAAACTTTGAAGTGGGGTTCATACTCAATACAGTAACTCTAGAAAATAAATCATTTTGATCGTCTACATTATAGGATATGATTCATCGTTTTATTGAACACTGCAGGAACTTTTGGGGTGAACTTTATTCAGGAGTTCAGGCCTTTCAACTGGAAGTCTGAACCTTTCGAGGGACTCTGTGTGGTTTAACAGTAGAAACCAGGGTCTAGGTTAAGTACAGAGGTCCCAGCTCAGTGTAAATGTGTCCTTTGTGTGAAAGAGACTAAAACACGCTCATAAAGAACTTTTAATTAAACCCTTAAAAGAGAAACCTGACCTCTGACCTCCTGTCTGTTTTTTTTTTAACTATCGCCGAAGGAATAAAAATATGAGCTCTCCGTGATGGTCAACAGTTTCCTTTATTAACACCATCTTCATCATCATCACGTTCATTTATAGCAGTAAGGTAAGCATAATAGCTTTTGGTGCATTGTCATTCAAATAGTAGTTTTAGTTACTTAAAGTTTCATAAAAATGTCAGCGTATAGTTTGATAAAAATGTCATAGTATAATATAATAGAAATGTCATTGAAGAGTAAGTGAAAGATTACATATTTTATTATGAAAAAAAGGTAAATGATGAAAGTATGTTAAAAATTTTAGAGTGAAAGAAGATTTCATATTTAAGTATGAATATTAATTTCATAGTATAGTTTGATAACAATGTCAGTTAAGAATGTCAAACATTTCAAATTTTAGGATCAAAAAGATTTCATTATTTAGCATGAAAAAAGATGTCATAGTATAGTATGTTAAAAATGTCGTAATTTAGTGTGAAAATTTCTTTTATATTTTAGCATGAAAGTAAATGTAGTATAGTTTGGTAAAATGTCATAGTATTGTATGCTAAAACTCAAATTTTAGGAAAAAAGATTAATATTTTAGCAAGAAAATCAATGTCATAGTAAAGTGTGTTAAAAGTATAATTCAGTGGGAAGAAAAATTATGTTTTGGCATGCAGATAAATGTCATAGTGTAGTATGATAAAAATGTCATAATATAGAATGTTACAAATGTCAAAATTAGGTGTGAAAATGAAATTGGCATGCAAATAAATGATATAGTATATTATGATAAAATGTCATAGTGTAGTATGTTAAAATGTCAAGTTGGACTGAAAATTTTTTTCATATTTAAGCATGAAAATAGATGTACATGTACAGTATAGTATGATAAAAACGTCAAATTTGACAGTGAAAAACATTTCATTTTTTGCATTGAAAAAGTTGTCATAGTATAGTATGTTAAAAATGTCAAAATTAAGTGTGAAAGAAATATATATATTGGCATGCAAAAAAATAATATAGTATAGTATGATAAAAATGTCATAGTGTAGTATGTTAAAATGTCAAATTTGACAGTGCGAGAAAAATTATATTTTGGCATGCAAATAAATGATATAGTATAGTATGATAAAAATGTCAGTGTAGTGTGTAAAAATTGGACTGTTAAAAATTTTTTTTCATATTTGAGTACTAATATTAATGTCATAGTATAGTTTGATAAAATGTCAAAGTATTGTATGTTAAAAATGTCAATTTTTTGGGTGAAAATTTTTTTATTTTAGCATGATAAAAGTTGTTGAAGTATAGTATGTAAAAAATGTCATAATTGAGTGAGAAAAAAAATTACATTTCAACATGAAAACTAGTGTCACAGTATAGTAAAATAAAAATGCATAGTATGATAAAAACGTCAAATTTCAGTGTGAAAAAATATTTCATTTTTACGAATGACAAAAAATGACATAGTATAGTATGTTAAAATTTATATTTTAGTATGACAAAATTTTTCATATTCTAGCATAAAAAATGTCAGTATAGTATGATAAAAAAAATCACATTTAAGTGTGAAAAATTTTTTATATTTTAGCATGAGAATAAATGTCATAGTATAGTATGTTAAATATGTCAAATGTAAACGTGAAAAAAAAATTCATTTGCAGCATGAAAAAAGATGTCATACTATAGTATATCAAAATTATCATCTTTAAGTGTGAGAAAAAAAAATCCTATTTTAGTATTAAAATTAATATTACATTATAGTGTGATAAAAATGTTACATTTTAGTTTGAATTTTTTTTTGTATTCTTTAGCATGACAAAAAAATGAGTACATTTTGTTAAAAATTTCCTATTTTAGTGTGACAAAAAAGTAATTGAAAAAAGATGTCATAGTACAGTATGATATTAATGTACAATTTGAGGGTGTTTAATTTTTATGTCGTAGTTATATAGTATAGTAAGATAAAAAAAATGTCAGTACAATGTTAAAAATTTCATATTTTAGCGTGAAAAAGATGTCATAGTATATGTTGAAAATGTCCAATTTAAGGGTGATAGAATTTTTTTATGTAGTAGTATAGTATGATAAAAATGTGAGAAAAATTTGATAGTTCAGTGTTTTTAAAATGTCATAGTATAGTAATATAAAGAAATGTCACAGTATAATTGGAAAAAGGAATAGGAAATGTGAGTTATATAAAGTAAAAAGACAAATTTAACGACTTTAACAGTTTGTTGGTTTTTGCAGAAAGTCAAAACAGAAACTCTTTTTTTATTTTGAAAATCCAGATCAGAACCCTATACAGACTAAAGTTAGTGGGTCTTCATCAGGCTCAGAAACTCTCAGAGCTGCAGTTAAATTCTGTAAATTACCTCTTTTTTGACCTTTATCAAAGTTTTTTCTCTTCTTCAGATTCTTGAAAAAACCCAAATCTGCAGAACCCCGTGTTTGCTTTTCTCGGCTGTTAAATTTGGACTTCGATTTACACAGACACACACCTGATGTGTGATAAACCAGCAACCGTCTGCAGTCAGATGAGAGGTTCAGGTGTGAGATGAGAGAGTATGATGTAAGCTCTTCAAATACAAACTGTGACATGAAACAGAAATCGATATCAAGCTGCTGCTTTGTCCTCTCTCATTAAATCCCAGCCTTCGCTCGTCTCTCTGCAGCAGGACTCTCACAGCTCGTCTCATTCCGCAGGCCTTTCACATCCCAGACCCCCGCTGACTCCTCCTCCCACCCCCCATCCCTGGGTTGTCTGCTGCTAGCAGACTCAAAGTTGCATCATTTGGTGCAGAGCGTGCTCGCTGCGTTGTCAGCAGAAGGGAAACCTCACGGATGCCACTGCAGCATCATCACAGCTTCATTGTTGCTTACCGTGGTCACAATCCAGAGGATATTAAGTTTCTGTGAAAGAGACCCTGAGCTGCTGGAGTCTTCCAACATCGTCTTCAACTCAGGATTATCTCTGACAGACACCAACAGCAGCAGCAATAAAAAAATAAAAAAAAACAAGAGATTTGTTTGTTCTAGATTGTTAACGGTCTTTGGAGATAATCTGACCCAAACAGTTTTCAGACAAAATTTCAGATATATTGCTTTCATCGCTTCAACAAAATATGCGGCAGTATTTTTAAGATTTCTGAAAGTGTATCATCGTTTAAATTCTCAAGAAAAAAAAAAAAAAAACGTTAAAATTTTCAGGAAACTTAATGGTGGGGTAGGCAGGATCTGAGGAAGTTCCAGTTTTTAGGAGAAATCTTGAATGTAAACACTGCCCCTCCCAAACAGTTTTCCTCTCAGCTCCTCCTCTCCCCTCCCTCTCTGCTCCAGCAAGCCCCGCCCACAAACAGACGCTCCTGCTGGCTTGTATCGTTTCAATTAAATTCAGATATAATGCAGTTAAATACTTCAGATAATTACAAATGGGGCCCAGTCAACGTGAAAGTAAAAAGCATTGGTGCTACTGTCGATGCTAACAGACTACCAGCAAACACAATGTTTGCACGACTTCTACAACTAGGATAAAGTGACATAGTCCAGGACCCGAGGGAGGACAGTTTGGCGGTGCTACAACACGCTACAGCAGGTCCTGTTTGACAAGAAACACTTCTGTTACAGACACTTGTCTTACTTTGTTAAAGCGGTTTACCTGTCCAGCAGAAAGGTTACAGGGTCCGGGAGATCCCGAAGTGTCCCCCATCGTTTATGTTGACCTGGCTTTTTTAGCTCTTGTCCGGTCTATCTTCTTTTTAAGCGCCTGTTATTCTGCCAGAGTCTCCAGTATTTTGTTTGTTTTTCTTGCTTGTGTCGGCAGTCGTGGCCAAAGGAGGATTCAGACAATTTTCCGAACTTTCTGGTTGGTTTCTACTGTCCGATATTGTAGCACGCTAACTTTGTTTGGGCTTTTGAACGACACGGAGGAGCAGCGTCTACCTCACAACCAATCAGGTTAGAGGAGGTGGAGAACGGTTTTGTTTACAGTCAGAAAGAGCGGACCGTTCAAAAATGTTAAAATGTTGACTACACAGACATAACAAAACAGCAATATTGTTATATTACCAAATGTCATCAATAACTAATAACTATTGACTAATATTAAAAAGGTTTTTTATAATTACACCACAAAACAAGATGCTTCCTTAACAGATTCCTGCCTACCCCACCTTTAATTCCAATTTCAGAAAATTTTCAAGGAGATCACATGGAAATTTTCAGTCATTTTCAGTTTGCAGAAGTTTGGGGATTTTTGGAGTAGAAGTTATAATCTTTTGAATTTTAAAAGGTTCTGGAAATTTTTGGAAATTAAAAGGTTTTTATTTGAGTTTTAAAGGATTTTTTCAGAATTTTTGGTAAAGTTTATTCAAAGAAGTATGGGGAACTTTTTAATAATAATAATGCATTAGATTTCATTTCTGACCACCACCACACAACACTCACAATCACACATCAGTGGAGGACACACACTGGGAACAAGAGTGGGTTAAGTGTCTTGCCAAAGGACACAACGAACAGACTCGGGATAGGGGGGAATCGAACCACCAACCTTCCAGTTATACCACAACCGCTCTAGCTCCTGAGCTGCTGCTACCCCAGTTTCAGTGAAAGTTTTTGGAAGTTTCAGAGGAACTTTTCAGGAATTTCGATCTTGAGATTCTGAGATTTTTTTGAGGAAACAAAAAGAAATTTTAAGAGGCTTAAAGTTCAGGACAGGTTCAAGTTTGGGAATTTTAAGGATTCATTTAATAAATAATTTGGAAACAATTAAAACAAAAAAAGGAAATCTTTTTGTGTTTGAATTTACAGGTTTTCTTTGCAGGAAAAAATCGCAAACTGTCACAAACTGTTTCAGATTTTGCTGTTTTAGTTGAATAAGATAAAAATATTTCTGCCCTTATTGATAATTAAGTTACCTCTACCTTGGTTTTATTGTATTTATTTAATTTAAGTGTCTTTGACATTTAACATTGAAAAGTACCCAAAAAATTTTGATTTTTTAAGAAGATTTTTATTCCATTAAATATGGTTTTTGTATCTTTTAATCGTCTTTGAAACATTTGAAATCTGCAGACTATTTTGGATTTTAAAACCCTTTAACAGCTCTTTCAGGGAAAAATCTGCTCTTCCAACAACTTCATATTTGCCGCAGCTGCTAAATTTTTGCCTCATGTTCATGTTTCCTACGAGCTCAACATGCTGGTCTCAACACCTCAGGTTCGAAAACAGCCTGTATTAAAGTAAACAGATTTCAGTAGGGCTGCACGATAAATCGTTTGAGCATCGTCATCACGCCACGCAGACTACCCTGCCAGCTGCCAATCAAAATCAGAGAGGAGGAAACTACGTCCCAGTT